CCCCTGACCACCACAGCCCTCAGCCCCTTGTCTGGGCTGCTGACCTGGAGGCGCGGCCCAACACCAGTGTAAGCCCTGGAACTGTGCACGAGGGAGGCGCCATCACGGCCTCTGGCGAGGAGCTCAACACACATGGCTCCCTGGCTGGCTCATGGGACGACTGTGATGCATCCTTGACCCCCATCTCCGCGGCCTTCTGCGCTGCTGAGCGCAGCCAGACGGCTGCCTCGCCGACGGCCTGGCCTCCGCCCCAGGACGACCTGGAGTGCACGGGCTGGGAGCACTTCATCCTGACCCCAGAACGCCCGCCCATGGCCAGCGCACAGCAGCAGTGGCATGGCTGGAGCTTCGTCACACCCTACCCACAGCGCCTGGAGCAAGACTCCCCCATGCTAGGCCGGGAATTCGAGGACCTGTGATTGCTGCCCACCACCTGCACATGCGAGGTGCCATTGCAAGGTTGTTATTGAGATGCTGACGCTTTGTTTGTTGCTTACAAATTGAGTCTTCGCTTAACGCATTGTGATGTAGAACAGAATAGGAGGGATTCTGTTTCTGGGTTGGCCTTGTAACTCTCAATTTGTAGAGCGGGTCGCATGCTGGAGCCAGAGGTCGAGCCTGTCCTGATCACTCTCTGTATCTTGGGGTCCAGAAGTCGTGCATCGGTCCTGTCCTGCGTCTCTCTGCCACATGAGGTGCAAGCCAAAGGACGGGGCAAACCCAGGATAGGAGAAGGTGTGACTGCAGGAGTCGTCGGCCGCAATCAAGCACTGACACCCCTGACAAACACCAGGAATGATGAAAGCATACTGAAGGACCACCCATAATTGATGCAATGGAAGATTCATCACTGTCGCCAGATCTCAGGAGCACTTGGAACCTTGATCATCGCATACCCTTTCGGTGCCGTCTTCATTTTGTGCAGCCCACAGAAGCTATTGGAGGCCTCCTGGGTTTAGAAAGGGACCGTGCACCTTCCAGTGGCGAACGCTCATCCTTGTACATTTATACTCCTTGAAGTTGCTTGATGGTGATCTTTTCAGCGCGCACCTCCTTGTAGACCGGGGCTCGTGCGGTGTTCGTCCTGCATATTTGAAACTCTGAATCGGACCCGAAGTCTTTCCGAGCACGATCCCCATCCTTGATCGGAATTGCCTTTTCCACGGGGAATGCGTGAATGGGGGATCCGAGAAAGACCACGATGTGCCTATCGTTGTGTGGTCCGATCGGTACTGCGGCCCCTGGTCCCGCAGGTTTGGGATTGGCATTTCGCACCTTGCCACACCGCACCCACAAAACTACGCAATTAATTTGGAAAGATGTAACGCAGGATGGTTGCACGTTCACTGGTCTGTCAAGGGACAGGAGTCTCTTACCAGGGATGTAAGCTTGAGGGCCCGTGAAGAGAGCGATGTCGTGCTTGCGCGCGCGCGCTGTCTCGGGCACTCGTATTAACATTGCATGCGAGGTGCACAAGGTGCCAGTCATGCAAGCACCGACATGAGCATTCATGCAGGCTGAGTATGGCCCATAGTGCTGCGATGTTGGGGACGCAACGAAGATGACGCGTGGCCCTGGGCACCAACATGACGCCCAACACGCGCGGGGTGCCTGAGGACTTGGAGGAGGGAGAGCTAGAAGGTAGGCAGCGACAGGTATCCATGCTTTACTCTGGTTTACAATGCTCACGTGCTCAATAGCGAGACGTCTTTACGTCGCTCGCCGGCAGGTACTCCGGAATGTGCCTTGCCCTGGTCCAGCGGCAAGCGGTGCAGGTGTGGGGCAGTGGGGTGGTGTCCGGCGCACCGGCCGACGGTGTGTCAAAGCATGCTCCGGCATTCATCTTGAGGCTGGGGGTCTGTCATACCTGCCGTCCCTGCAATGTGCCACTCTCAGGGCGCCTTACTTCTATGAGGAGCTGCTGGATGACAGCCTGGAGGTTGAGCAGCCGGAGCCAGCCCGCAAGCCGAAGAAGGCCAAGAAAGGGCGGGCCAACGACACCGGAGGCCCAGCCAGCTTGGCCCGGGTGGAGCTGCGGCCCGAGCACTCCCCAGTGACGCTGGAAGACATTCAGCGGCTCATCCTGTGGATCCTGGCGGAGGAGACCAAGCCCCGATGGTGCTCTGTCGAGGTGCGTCGGCAAATGGGAGGTGTTTTGGGAGAGGATCGCTCAGGCAGGCCCTCCCGGCCTGCGTCACGCCAGCACCCTGCTTCGCCTGCGTGTGAATCAGGCCGCCGCTCCTTGCGCCAGCCCCGTCGGCCCCCACCCCTGATGAGGCGGCACCCCCAGCCCCCCGCCTCCCCTCACACACACACACAAACACACCGCCCCTCCCTCAGAACAAGGCGCTGGTCCCCCGGGTGGTGCTCCTGCTGGCTCACGGGCTGGACGCCGAGGCCCCCCCGCCCGCGCTGGGCACCCTGCTGGGGACCCCGGTGCAGGTCCGGGCGCGGAGCGGGGTGCTGGAGCCCGGGCAGAGCGCGCACTCGCTGCTGACCCTGGCGCGGCGCGCCCCACGGGAGGGCCCCCCGCCATTGCGGGGCCGGCCACCCACGCTTCCCGCCCCCGCCTCCTACGCCCTGACCCTGGAGCAGATGGAGGAGAATGGCTACCCCCTGCCGCGCCTGGCAGAGGGCGGCGGCGGCGCGATGACCGTGCCGGCGGGCTACCTCGCGACGTGCGCGCCCGAGGCGGGTGAGGGCGGGCGCGGCGGCGTGGGAGGGTGGCGTGGCGGCATGGGTGCTTGCGCCGGGCATCGGATTGTGGAGGAGCAAGGGGTTGTGGAGGGAGGGCCCTCCTTCCGCCTCCAATCCCAAGAGCCGGCTGCCCGACTGCCCGGCAACCCTGCCGCCATGGCCCCCTCCCAGGCACCCGGCTCAATTTCGCTCCTGCCCATGCGCTGCCCTCCCCCAACACCCGCGCCCACACTCCCCCCCTGCTTGCTTCCCCTCCTTTCCCCACCACACACGCACAAGCATGCCCTCATCCCATCGCAGGCGCCGCGCCGCCACGCGAGCTGGTGGCCCTGGACTGCGAGATGTGCCTGACGGCCGAGGGCCTGGAGCTGACGCGGGTGGTCGCGCTGGGGTCTGGGGGCGAGCTGCTGCTGGACCGCCTGGTGGCGCCGCGCAACCCGGTGCTGGACCACGTCACGCGCTTCTCCGGCATCACGCCTGCCATGCTGGAGGGCGTGACCACGCGCCTGGAGGATGCGCGCGCTGAGCTGGCGCGCCTGCTGGGCCCGGACACGCTGCTGGTCGCGCACAGCGGGGAGAACGACCTGCACGCGCTCAAGGCGAGTTGTTTTGGGGGGGGTGGAGGGGTATTTTCGTGCCTTGGGGGGTGGGAGTGGGCACCGAGGGTGGAGGGTGGACGGGAGGGGCTCAGGACAGGCGGGGAGGGAATTGAGGAGGGTGCTGTGTGTAGGGACCGTAGGAAAGGGAACAGAGGAGGATTGGACCCAGGTCCAGGTCCAGCCCACCGCCATGCCCAGGAGGGCAGCTTGCACCCTACGCCGGCACCGGGGAACCCACTGCTCTAGTGCCACCACGCCACCGCCCCTCCCTGTCCCCCGCAAACAAGTGCAGATGGTCCACGCCCGGGTGATTGACACGGCCCTGCTCTACCCCCACCCCCGGCCCCCCGCCAAGTCGGCGCTGCGTGTTCTGGCCAGCCGCTTCCTGAAGCGCACCATCCAGAAGGGTGATTGGGGAGGGGGGGGGATGTAAGGAGGGGCGTCGGGGATTGTTGCGGGGGGAGGGGAGATGGTCGAGGGGAGGGAAGGAGGGCCTGGGCCGCGCGGCAGGCCAGGATGCAAAGGTCAGCATGGCTGGGCCGTCTGGAATTGTGCGTGCTCGTCTGACATCTCCTGGTGGCATTCCAGGGCCCCTGGAGGAATCCTTCGAGCCGCAAGCTTCCTGGTGACCCCCCCCTCTTCCCCCCTTGATTCCAAACCCTCGCCATCACCCGGCCACGCAGATTGCCACGACCCGGTGGAGGACGCGCGTGCTGCGCTGGACCTGGCCCTGCTCAAGTTCTCGCGCGGCCCGGACTTCGGCCTGCCCGCATCCCCGGACGCGCGCCGGGCGCGGCTGGCCGACGCGCTGCACGCTGCAGGCAGGACCTGCACCTTTGTGGACGTGGGCGCCAGCCTGAGGCAGTTCATGGGCGCCGCTGGCGCCGGCGTCGACGCCAGCGACGACGGCGAGGCGGCGCGGCGGCTGGCGCGCGAGGCGGGCAAGCCCGGCGTGCCGCACTTTCTTTTTGGCCAGCTGCGTGGGCTGCACGCGTCACAGGTCGCCGCGGCACGCCGCGCAGCGGGCGACGCCCGGGGCGGGGACTGCGCACGTGCCCTACGCCTGCGCCTGCGCCGCGTTGGGGAGGGGTGTGTGGGCGGTGCGCCGGAGGCGGCGGCAGACGGTGGGCGAGGATCCGCGGCAGACGGTGCACCGGCGTCGGCAACAGAGCCGGCAACAGCGGAGTCCGAGCCGCCGTCACTCGCCGAAGCTCCATCGCCGCCGGCACCGCACGACGAGCGCGCCGCGCTGGAGGGCGTCGTACGCGCCGTGCGCAGCGTGCACTCCGCGCTGATCCCCGGCGCGTTGCTCCTGGTGGTGGCGCCGCAGGGCAACACGGCGCTGAGCGCCGCGCTGGTGGGCGCGCGGCGGGAGGCGCAGCGCGGGGCGGGGGACGTGGCGGCCTGGACGCCGGAGGCCGAGGAGGTGCTGGCGGGAGCCTGCGCCCGCGCCGCCGCAGGGCTGTGCTACGTGTGCGTGAAGGGGGGGGAAGTGGGCAGTGGGGCCCTGCAAGCGGGCGTACAAGGGGACAGCCCGCTGTAAAACTGGGCGCCCGCACCGTCCGGGACAGTACAGGATCTGGGGCCGCGGGCCCTGCAAGTTCCACACGTGGCCAGTTTTGAAAAGGGGAATCTGGCGCGACGCCCTGATCCGGTGGGACGCCCAAGCATCTTGGGCGACAAGGCAAAGCCCCGGTCGGCCCAGGGCAGAGTGGACCCAGTCTCCAATCTTAACCAGTGCATCACACGATGGCAAGCCTAAACGTCCCAGGTATGGCGCGCACCGGCTCGGGCCCGTGCTCGTTTGCCGGATCACATGCTGGAAAGTCGCTGAATTCCGTCCCCCATTCGGCAGGTGCCTGCGGCGTGGTCCGGAGCAATGTTGCATCTGCTTCTGTGAGATCATGCGTCCAAGGTGGGGGTATGAAGGGTGGGTGCGCGATGCCGCCCTTGCCTGCTGCCCACTCCCCAGCACCAACCCGGCATCCAATCCGCGTCCTGGTCCTCCCGCCCCTCCGCAGCCCCAGGGCTGCGCTCCCTACAGAGTGCCAAGGCGACATTTGGCTGCCTCGTCGCGCAGCGTGGATCTGGGCTGCGTGCAGCTGCCCCACGGGCTCGCTGCCTACACATCTCGGCCATTGCGGCCGAGGCTCCCCCCCCCTCCAAGGTCCACGAGGGAAACGGCGCCGGCACCCGCGTCATGATCATCGGTGGGTGGACGCGGTGTGTGCACACACTGATGTACCGGGTTTTGTACTAACCGCCCTTGGCCCTCGGACGTCACATGGGTCCAGAATCTGAGCACGCTGGGAGGGCTGACCAGCTCCACATGGGACCGTGGATGGCCCTGGTGATCAGCCGCATTGCTTGCCCCCCCCCCCACCCCTTACCACATCCTCCAACAGGCGGCGACGGGTACTGCGGTTGGGCAACGGCACTGCACCTGTCGGCGCGCGGCTACAGTGTGTGCATTGTCGACAACCTGGTGCGCCGTACCTACGACCTGCAGCTGGGACTGGACACGTTGACGCCCATCGCCTCCATCCACGACCGCGTGAGGAAGTGGGCGGAGGTGTCTGGCAAGCACATCGACCTGCAGGTCGGGGACCTCTGTGACTTTGAGTTCTTCTCCGAGACCTTCAAGGTGCTGGTTTTGTCGTGTGGGGGGTGGGTGGGGAAAATGCGAGGGGCGGTGCGGGGAGGGGAGTAGGGTGCCGGGTATCTCAAGTGGCGCTGCCCAGTGGTGCTTCGACCCCGGGGGCGTGCAGGGATGGTTGGCAATCGCTGTGCCCTGCCCTCTCCTGTGTCCACCTGTACAACAACAAGCACTTTGCCCCTCAAAAACCACAGTCCTTCAACCCCGAGGCCGTGGTGCACTTTGGCGAGCAGCGCTCCGCGCCCTACTCCATGATTGACCGCCAGCATGCGGTGTACACCCAGCACAACAACGTGATCGGCACCATCAACCTGATGTATGCCATCAAGGTGCGGCCTGGGTGGGAGTGGGAGGGGGACTGGCGTGAGGCTGCAGGAGGGGGCATGGACAAGAATTGTTCCCCACTGCACCTCTGCAGGGGAATCGCGGGGTGCATGGTGGCGGACTGGCTGAGTTCCTGCTCACGATCTGTATCCCCACCCCTCACCCAGGAGTTCAACCCCGACTGCCACCTGGTGAAGCTTGGCACCATGGGCGAATATGGTACCCCCAACATCGACATTGGTAAGTGTGTTTGGCTGGACAGGGGAGAAGGGGTCTGGCAGGCGGCGGGTACAAGTAATGCTGCTATGCACCCAACCTGGGCTGCAGGACATTAGTGAAAGCATTCTGTGTTCTGCAGTGGCCGCTGGTGGTCTGATGGTGTGGTCTTTTCTCCATCCCAGTCCCTCAAATGCCCCCCCTCGTGCCCTGCAGAGGAGGGCTTCCTCACCGTCACCCACAACGGCCGGACAGACACGCTGCCTTACCCAAAGCAGGTGGGTGAAAAAGAGGAAGACCAGTGCTGGGAGTGTCTAGTGAGAGGTTGGCATGGCATGGCCGGCCAATCCGACCTGTACGCTGCATCCCAAGCCCAGGGCCCTTGGTGTCTCATCAGCGCCTTGGCCCCCACGACCCTCCTGCCGCAGGGAGGTTCCTTCTACCACCTGTCCAAAGTGCACGACTCCCACAACATCCATTTTGCCACCAAGGCCTGGAAGCTGGCAGCCACAGACCTCAACCAGGCGAGTTGGTGCAGGCGATGACATGCTTGTGGGAGGGAGTTCAGATGTGGTTGGGCTGCCAGAGTTTAATGTCTGCTGCGGGTCAGCAGCTGCCCTGCCAAAGTTCCCTTCTGAATGGCTACCCCCCCACTCTTGAGCTCACAAACCCCGACCTGCATTCACCAATAGGGTGTCGTGTATGGCCTGCGCACCGAGGAGACCACGGCAGACCCTGCCCTGATCAACCGCTACGACTACGATGGCATCTTCGGGACAGGTGGGTGGTGCGTGTCTGTGTGAGAATGCGAGGAAAGATACTATCGGGATGGGGTGTGTGGAAGCCGGCGATTGAGAGCTTGAACAGAAAGATCTTGCGATGCATCATACAACACCCAGTGGGACTTTCAATCGGCGTCGCCGGCGACGTAGATGGTTGTAAAGCTGCACCTTCCCGCCTCCATCAATCGCTCACCCTTCGTACCTGTTCTCATTCCTCCAGCCCTGAACCGATTTGTCGTCCAAGCCGCCGTCGGTCATCCGCTGACTGTGTACGGCAAGGGTGGCCAGACCCGCGGCTACCTGGACATTCGCGACACTGTGAGTTCCCGGCAGGGTCTGCAAACGGGTGCTGGGAAATGACCGCGGCGGTTTCTGAGGCGAAAGTGATTGGCGCAGGAAGGCACTTGTCGAACATGGCCTCGGGCGCACCTGCATCCCGCCCATGGCGTGCCCAGGGGCCTTGTTGAATCGTCCAACACTGTTCGGCCACATCCACGCCCCGTGTCTCGCCTGTGGCCATGTGTACAGGATGTCCAACCCTCGACTGCCCACTCATTCCACTGCTGTGTACTCAGGTCCGCTGCGTTCAGATCGCCATCGACAAGCCCGCCGCGCGCGGCGAGATGCGGGTGTTCAACCAGTTCACCGAGCAGTTCAGGTGGAGGGAGTGTGTGGAGGCGTTTGGGCACAGGAGCTTGCATGTGGCCTGCTGCACGCGGGTGTTTGCCGGGGACGGTGATGGTGAGGTTCGCTCTGGCAGTGCTGTGGCGGAAATGGTTGCAATGAGCTCACCATTTTTCCCACTCCCAGCGTCAACGACCTGGCGCGCATCGTCGGACAGGAGGGGAAGAAGCTGGGAATTGACGTCGAGGTAGGAGGGGGTGAGATTGTGGTGGGGACCTGTGAATGTTTGGCTGGCTGTTATTTGGGCGTGGGTGTTGCTGGATGCAGCAGCAAGCCTGGCAACGGAGGACAGTCTGATCTGCAACGGTGCGGCAGAGACCTACGCCATTTGCATGGCTTATTGGTCGCGTGCATGCGATCTTGAAGGCTGGCATGCTCCCCAATGCCCTCGCGATCTGGTATGACTCCGTTTTCCAGCTGGCTTCGTGTGTGCTGCACATGTTCTCCAACCAAAGACACGGCCTGCTTTCCCACCCCTCCAGGTGAAGAACATCCCGAATCCTCGTGTGGAGGCGGAGGAGCACTACTACAATGCCAAGTGCACCAAGCTAAGGGACCTGGGGCTGGAGCCCCACCTGCTCAGTGACAACCTTATCGATTCCCTCCTCTCCTTTGTGGTCGAGGTGAGTGGGCGATCTCGGTATGTGAGGTGGGCAGGGGTACCGCTTCGTTGGGGCACCGGATCCCTGGCTACAGGTAGTGCTGCGTTCAGGCAAGGAAAGACACTTCACATGGGTACCGGTCCAGCCCAAACGCTTTACATCCTGACACCCCCACCTTGTCGCCATACTCCTCACAGAACAAGGATCGCGTCCGCATGGAGCTGATCAAGCCGGCGGTGGACTGGCGCAAGTCTGGCGTCAGCGACGCCACCAACCGTGCGGCCGTCGCCCCCAAGTGACAGGATCCGCGAGCCACTGACCTGCGCAGGACGTGCGCCCAGCCTGCTGCCCCACGCGTTGAGAACCTCGCTCGTTACATTGACCCCGCTTGATGTATGTGCTGGGGCTGCTCGCCCCTCGGGACAGCAGAGCATGAGCGAGAGTAGCTAAAGGATCAGGTCAGGCACCTCAGACAACCTCGGCCTCCACTTTCTGCGCTGTTCCGGCCTTGCCAGCCAGCATGCTGTAGATCCGGTCCGCAAAGTCCTTGGGCGAGTCGATGTCATAGCCGCCTGGGTGAACCAGGGCAATGCGGGGGGTGGGGGGGTGAGCTCGAGCCAGGCATGAATGATGGGATCTTATGGATAGATGAGTTTCCCTGGCATAGTAGATCACCCTAACGCTGCCTGCTCCAGACCACAACAAGCCAGCAAGACTCACCAGACAAGGATGCCGCGTCATACAGCAACTGGATCTGCTCCTTCACTTCCCTACTATCAAGTGAAACCTGCCAAAGGGGGGAAAGGGAGGGTGAACATGGGCTGTGCCACCTGTGATTGGGTGAATCATATCAAGCTCGCCAGGTCCACGAGAGTCCTGTGTTGCAAGCGATCACTTGCACAGCGGCCGGGACATCTGCACAACCACACAAGCTACCCCTGCCAGCATCGCAGCTCTCATCCCAGATCAAAGCCCCCAAAACCACCTTCTCCTTCAGCGACTGGATGATGGGGTGGTTGGGGTTGATCTCCAGAATCCGCCGCCCGCGCATGTATTCTGCCTGCTGCGCGTCGCCCATGGCCTGCAGGGTGGGAAGCGGGGAAGCCACTCAGTCCTGCGAGGCCTGTGCAGGGGGTCTGGCGCAGGAGTACAAGCTTGCGGTCCGCTCTGCGGCCACAGGCGCCGCCGCCGCCCTGGCTCCCAAGTCGTCATCACCATACAACAGAGGGTTAGGCGGCTCACCTGTGCGCGTGCGATCCGCTCCATGTTGGTGGACCAGCCGAACTTGGAGAGCACGACGATGGCGGGGGAGTCGGTGAGGCGCTTGGAGGGCACCACCTTCTCCACCTTGTCGCCCAGGACCTGCGGGTGATCAAAGAAGCATGCTGTTGGGTGAGGTTGCGAATCTAGAACTCCTGCTCCTTGAGTGCTGCTCCTTGAATGCTGAAGGAGATGGACACGCAAGGGCAGCTAGGCGCACAGGCACTTGGTAGCTGCCAATGCCTGCGATGCCAGCCAGCGACCCTGCGCCCCATCACCTTCTTGACGTAAGAGGTCAAGTCCTTGAGCTCGGCCTCGACGTCGGCGCTCTCCTTCTTCCCCTCCTCGCTCTCGTCAATCTCCAGATCCTCGCGGGTCACATCGGTGAATGTCTTTCCCTCAAACTCCTGTGGCACGGCAGAGCACTGAGTTAGTAACCACGGCGAGCCACAGTTTGTGCAGGTGATGAGGAGGTGCCTTCCCTGCTCCCATCTGGGAGTGCCACAGTCCCATCGCAGCTCTTCTTCCTTTGCCTGGTAAATACTCTGCATCTTACCTGGATCTTCAGCACCACAAGCTCGTCAACAGACTCGGTCAGGTAGAGGACCTCATACCCCTTGCTCGTCTGTGGGCACAGAAATAATCATGGTAAGAGTGTGTGCCCACCACAAGATCCAAGGCATCATGAAGATAGGAAAAGTAATTGATGTGCAGGAAAGCGCTGCCATAACCCCAGATGCCAAGCGCGTCCAGGCTGATCTATGGCCACACCATAACAAAGTAAACGTGCTTACCAGGGCCTCTACGAAGGGCGCATGCTTGGCTGCGTCAGGGCTGGAAGCTGCAAGGAAGGGGAGGGATTGGGGAGATGGAGACACATTGCTGAGGTGGATGCCCAAGCACCATGCATGCCGGTTGGGTGGGGCACATCGGGAACCTGACACTTCCCAGCATATTCACAAGCAAGGCTAGGGCAAGTCTTCCATCAGCATCCCACCCTTCCACACATCCTAGCTCACCAATGAGGAAGTAGATGTTCTTCTGGCCCTCCTTCATCCTGGAGACATAGTCTGCAATGGAGGTGAGCCCCTCCTCGCTGTTGGAAGACTTGAACCTGATTGGTGGGGGAAGGGGGGGGCCGCTCGCGCACGGAATCGGTGATTGGCGGGTCCAGGAACCGACTGCGAGGCCACTTCACCGCCTCTGGACGACCTTCACTCCCTTGCAGCTCAGACCAGCGAGCTGGCCTATTCACACTTTCCTCCAATCGACCTCACTGTCCCCTCTCACCGCAGCAGCTTTGCCAAGGCATCCTGGTTGGAGGCATCATCCAGGATGCCCACCTTGAGGTACTTGCCAAACGACTCCCACACCTTGCCATACTCCTGTTTTGGTTTGGGGGAGGGTGGGGAGGGGGTCTTGGTCGCCTCTTTACAACAAGCATGCTGGTGGACCGTCACTCACCCAGGTCGAGCACTGTCCCTTGTCCACGCAGCCTACGACCCCCCCTGCCCCACCCCACCTCCTTGTCCTCCTTCTCGGCAAGCCCGTTGAGCATGTCGAGCGTGCGCTTGACGAGCTGCTTGCGGATGGCGCGCACGATGCGGTTCTCCTGAAGGATCTCACGCGAGATGTTGAGGGGCAGGTCTGAGGAGTCCACCACGCCCTTGACGAAGCCCGCCCAGCGCGGCAGCAGGTCCTCGTCAAACTCGTCTGGTGGTGTGAAGGGGGAGAGAGTGGGGGGCCTGGTTGAGGAGGGAGGTGTTTCTCTTGGGAGGGGCTGCAGTAACTCTCTAGCAACCAGCGGGAGATTCACTGCCCAGCGGATGTGCTTCAGGTGGCCAGATCATGCTTTCACTTTTGTCACCCCCCTGTCAGCAGTCGATGGCATGCACACGCCCCTCTCCAGGCTGCCTTCCTGCAAAGATCATCCACCCCAGCCTAACCCATCCACGCACCGGAGATGAACACCCTCTTGACGTAGAGGCGGATGTTACGGGGCTTGCCCATCATGTTTTGCTGGTCAAATGGAGCCATGCCTGTAATTACCGGGGGAAAAGGATTGGAATTTGGAGCTCAGCCCCTGCTGGCAAAGGACAGCTGGCGCAACGAGCCTTGTCAGGCTCGATGCACCGCGTCAGCCACGGGCTACATCTCCCGGCCCCACCTGGGATGTATAGCAGGCCGGAGAACTCCAGGGTGCCCTCCACGTTGAATTGAGAGACTGCGGCAGGGTCCAGGAACTCCCTGCATTGAGCGGTGACAGGTTGGTAGGTGGGATGAGGAAGATGAGGGTGAAAACCCATGCGGCTACGAGAGGGAGGCCTGTGCTAGACGCCCATGGGATGCAGCGTGTGCTGCCGTTTTGAAGTGAGTGGCCCTGCAGTCACCACCTCGTCTGCGGGACCAGCACAGCCCAGACGCTGCCTGGCAGACCAGCTTTCCTCCTCTGTTCGAGCACCCCCCAACTCGCATGCACCACTCAGCTCACTTGAAGGTGGTCTTGAAGAAGGCATTCTGCTCCTCACGCGTCACCTCCTTGGCGGATCGGGTCCAGAGCGGCTTGCTGTCGTTCTGGACCTGCAAGCAGGAGCATCACTCTCGTATGGGCAGGGCTGGTCGGAGAGCGCAAACCGAGGTGCATTCGGTTCCACCCCGGCACAGCCCCGGCCAGTCGGTGTTCATGCCCAGTGATAGACCCCGCGTGCTGGCCCTACACACTGAATGTTCTCCAATGCACACCAGGGCCGCTTGCAGCAGGGGCCACCCTTCGTCACCCCCCCTTTCTACCCAACCTACCTTCCAGGCCTGCTCCTCCCGGCGCTCGGTCTTGAACACCGGCTCGATGGTGGTCTTCTCCTTACCCTCCTCCTCCGCCTTCTTGTCTGCCTCCTCCTGAGCCTTGGTGGTAGCCTCCTCGTCCATCACCTGCTCATTCACAAAGCTGGTGGTCCACAGCTTGATGGGGAAGGAGATGAACTCGGAGTACTGCTTCAGCAGGCCTGGCGCGGCGGGGTGGAATGGGGATGATCATGTGTGGAGAAGTGTGTGAATCACCGCAAAGGATCATCCCTGCCCTTTGGCACCTCGAGGCAGTGCAGTGCACGACTCGTTTGCACAAGAACAGCCTTGTCTCGACCGAGGTAGCACACCATAGGGGGCCACGCCCGACCATTCGCACCCTGTCTGGCCCATCGCCTCCTGACCTTCGATCTTGGCGGCATCCGCAAACTCCTTGGCGTCCTCCTTCAGGTGAAGCGTGATGCGCGTCCCCCTTTTCAAGTCCACCTCAGCGTCCCTACGGACCTGCAAAGGATAGAGCGAGGACGGACGTGTTGGGAGAAAGGGGACGTGACACGATTGAACCACAGGCTCTGCCCTCTCCCTGGGCGGCTCATGGCAGGGCATGCAGGTGCACCAGCGACCGTTATTCTCATCCACAGACACACGCATCCCTCCTCCACACACCTTGTAGCTGTGGGCGCCGGCAGCGCCCTCCCAGGTCCACTGGTCCTCGCTGGCGTTGCTCTTGGTCTGCACGGTCACCTTGTCGGCCACCAGGAAGGCCGAGTAGAAGCCGACGCCAAACTGCACGGCGACGTGCGGCGGGGCGGATGCGAGACCTCACAGATGGTGGTGGCAAACAGGGAGCAACGCAGAACGCCTGCCGCTACCAGGCACCCAGACCTCTGCAGTGCTCCACATTGCAGCCGCACGGAAAGCTCCCCACCCTCGCCACCGTTGGCCTCCTGTCCTACCTGGCCAATCAGGTTGGCGTCCTGCTTGTCCTGCATCGCCTCCATGAACTTCTTGGTCCCGGAGCGGGCGATGGTTCCCAGGGACGACAGCAGCTCCTCGCGGGTCATGCCAATGCCGGAGTCCCTGCATGGGGTGGGGTAGTTGAAGAGGACTTTGGGAGGGAACGAAGGCGCAAGGGGGCAGTGCATCCAGCTGTGAGAAATCCAGCTGTGAGAAATTGTGCCAAAAGAGGAGGGGCACGATGCGATAACACCTGGCCTCCCCTCCACCCCCACCAGGTTCCCAACGCACTCGATGGTGAGGGTGCCAGCCTCCTTGTCGACCTTGATCCTGATCTCCAGGTCAGCCCCAGACTTGTACTCGTCCTGGTTCTGCAGCGCAGTCAGCCTGGGAAGCAGGAGTTGCATGTGGGGTCGAAGCAGTACCGTACGATACTGGGTGGCAGGCTTTGGCGATGTTCATGGCCAGACCAAGCGAGGGATTCACCACACTGCCATCGATGCCACAGAGACTACAGCCATCGAGGCCGTGTCTGTCCGTCGATCATCAGGCCCAGGCGGCACACGGCGCCACACCGGGGCGCACCTCATCTTGTCCAGGGCGTCCGAGGCGTTGGACACCAGCTCACGCACAAACACGTCGCGGTTGGAGTAGAGGGAGTTAACGATCATGTCCATGATCCGGTCCGTCTGCATGGAAAGCGTGCAGGACATTGGAGCTGGAAGAGGGGGGACAGACTGCACACCACCCAGGCAACACATCTCCTCTCACCCCCACCCCCACGCACCTCGGTCTGGTAGGAGAAGGTCTCCTCGGCAGGCTCAACAGCAGAGGGTGTGGCTGCGGCCCTCACTCCCACGCCCTGGTGCAAGGACCGGCCCAGAACGGCACCGCATGCCCGGGATCGGGAGGGTCCAGCCACCAGGCTGGAAAAGGGGGCGGGCAGGGCAGCGGAGGGGCGTACTCGGCAGCACTGGGCTCCCGCCAGGCGGGGGGAGGCCTGGGGGGCAGGAGCGGAATGGAAATCTTTAGGCCTCCCACTGCTTGCACGAACGATCGAATGCAATATGGATGAATGATATCGAGCACCAAACGACACCTCGACACGCTACCTGGGACACGGTGGTCGTCACTCGCCTCATCACGGAAGCCATGCGAGCCAGCATATGCCTGGTGAAACACTCGGATGCCTCCAAAAGAGGTGGATTGATGCAATCGATATAACACGTATACAACTGTAATGCCTGATGAGGATTTACAGTGCTAGGGATGCAGGAATCGCACGGCGCTCTGACAGTCGTGGGCTTATCCTCCTCCATTGCCACGTGAGGGTCCAGCCGGGAAATTTCCAGAAACGGAAGCCTGCTCCTTTCCCTCAAATACACAGTCTGACAAGCTCCATGGTTTCAGTTTCGTCATCAGCGCATGGCCATTGCCTGCTTGAATCGAGATATCCGAGGAGGAGCCTGAGGTTCTAGCGCTGGTGAAGCCTCCGTTGCTCGTCCATTTGGGGCATGACAAGAGGCTGATGCAGGTGCGTCGGCTCGGCAGCCTTCTGGCTCCCTGGCACTCCTCTCCCTCACGGTGCCAGAGAAAGCCAGGCTGGAGGAGCTGGTGGACGGTCTTGATGGCGATGCCGTCGACGTCTCTTGCACTGCTCGCTCCTTGGCATGTCCCACCGTAGACTGGGATTTCAGTGCCGGCTTGAGCGGGACAGCAGGCTTGGGCAGCAGGAACCCTCGTCGTAAGCCTTTGCCCTTGCCCTGTGTGCCCTTGTCCCCTCCATTGGGAGCTTCTTGGTGTTCGGCTGCGCCATCAGGCTGCCTGGTATCTGGTTGCCCAGAGGTGCCAGGAGTTCCAAGGCTCTCATCCCACTCCAGGGCCTCCATCTCCTCCAGCACAGCGTCAAAGTCTTTCAAGTCGTCGCCACTTCCTGAATCATCGCTTCCCTCGGCATCATACTGCTCACCAGGTCCGGCAGCGTCGGGCAGTGCCCCGTCAGCCTGCGGCATGGGGTACCTCTTCACGATGGCCTGCCCACTCTCCCCCGTCTCATCCCACGTCTCCTGGATATCCACCACCTGCAAATGAAGAGAAAGAGTGCAAGGTGCTCAAAGCACTAAGTGATGGCATCCACTTTTTTGTCCATCAGGCAGGACGTACCATGTCGGGGTGCTTCCCAGGGCCGACTTCAGCCGCCCCCGCCATCGCTGCTTTGGATCGATTTGAACTCTGCGATTAATCTAGGATATAAAAATATATGGAGTGAAGGGCGTACATGGTTATCGGCTCGTGGCTCCGAATAGTGTCGATGTTTACCCTGGTCTTCGTCGTGCCTTCTCCCCTGCAAGCCCCCTCGTGCTGCATTCGAGTCCTGGGAGATGCGCAATCACGCAAGTAATTTCCCTCTGACTCATCAGAGGTATCCAGCCACCCTTGCTAATGATTGGCGAGGACATTGAAAACTCCCCCCTTCAATGTGTGCTGACACTACAAGCTCGCATTGCTACTCGAACGTCACTGCTCCATGCACTAAGAGCGCAGGGACTCTCTCCTCAGCCTCGAGGAAGCCCGCTCGAACTGCGCATGCTGCGCACTCGTCTGCTGGGACAGAGGGGTGGAAGGCCCCAAGGGACTGCCCGGTTTTGCGCTGGTCCGGATGGAAATCAGGGAGTCCAAGTCATCGCTGCGCTGCTCCTCGATGCCGGCCCTGTCCCGCTCGCCCCCACCGGCCAGCTTGGCTACCATGCTGATGATCTGTATGGAGTGAGGGGTACACAGTGGTGGAACGCTTGCTATAGGAAGGGAGAGACATGCGACATGGACCCTGGAGTTGCATTGGAAAACCACACCATCTGGCCCTTCCCATGCCCCATTCCAGCCTGATACTCACCAGGAAGGGAAACACAAACTTGTAGGTGGTGAGGAGCCAGTCCAGGCTGAACTCCAGATGTGGGTGTGCTCTGCAGTGGGACAGTGAGGAAGCATACTCAGTCGTCAACAACATTGTGAGATTCGCTTCAATATCGTCTTACCTCATGAGGAACCTTCCCTTCAGCGCCCTGCCTACAAGGAGCCTTCACCCCATTTCGTAGAGGGCTGCAATGCCCAGCCCCTCAGACACTCACAGCGCTGCTCGTCGTGACAGGAAGTCTTGGAATGACAGCTGGACTGCAGGGTCGACCGCGGGGCCTTGCAGGAACTCGGTGATCAGATTGGAGAGCTGTGGAGGGAAAGTGGGTGGTGAGTCTCCAAAGCTTGAGATCCACAGGGAGCACCCAGCAGAGCCTAGCTTGTCCACCATCGCCACATCGCGCGCACCTCATCAAAGTCCATCGTGACATTGCGTATTGATGCCTTGATTGGGTTCACGGGGAATCCCTGCTGCCGCACATTAGTGACGAGAAATCCCCCTGCTAGCCTCACCACCGAGCCCGCCAGGTCGTACACCCAGAGCGGGGCCCAGAAAACGGCGAGGAGGAGGGCGATGCACGTGGCAATCCCCCTGAAACTCCTCAGACGGAACGCCATGCGACTTGCGGGATCCAAGGGGAGCCAGAACTCCCCAAGCTGGGTGTGTGCGAGCTTATGGAAGGTTCAAACGAGCGGGACACACAGTAATGTCGTCTTCAGACTCTGTCGCTCAGACGGAGCTGTCAATCATGCATCACGGGCTTCTTAATGCGTGAGGAGCCAAGTAGAGCGAGTCTTGGCCCCCTGATCACCTTGCATCCAAGCAGGGACCTCCGCCGTTCGCTCCGCGCCTTCGAGGCAGCATCCCAGCACCCATACGAGGGAAGGAGCCCTTCTGGCTACAGCCAGGTACTTGTGTACAAAAGAGATTAAACTCTTCTTTATTGAATCTGCGAACCCATTACATTATCAGAAGTAGCAGCGGGGAAGGGTCACGCATAGTCCGCTTCCCGAGCACTCGCTGCCCATAAGCATACCTGGAATGGACAGATCGAGCGTCGATCACGCTTCCCGCTCGCTGGACCACCCTCGTTCGATCCTCGTATCTCCGTCCGCGGCATGGGAGACCTCCCGCAGCATCGTTGCAGGTGGCAGGGCGGACCAGGACTGGCATGGGAAGGGAGACCCTGTCCTGGCAAGGAGTGGCAATGGACCAGGATCGCGACATACACCACCATCTGCCCCCAGGTGTCACGGGGGCTGTCCTTCCTCAGCACACCCAGCGGGCCCTGGCGGCGTGTGCCTCTGAGGTCTCGGATGACAGGGCCCCCAAGGACCTGGACTTCCTGATGAGGCACGCCCACGCCCTCCGACCCAGGACGGCCCTCGGCTGGGTGGTGTGCAGGAAGGGGGTTGGGTTGGCCTGTGCTGCGAGCTGATCGGGTGCACGGGAGGTTGTCATGAGCGTGCAGAGGTCGGGCGGTCTCCATGCCGAGAGGCAGCCCACGCCGCCCCCCCCACCCCCCCACCCCCGCCATCCACTCACCACCAGGCCCTGGCGGCGGCGGGCACCTTTGGCTTCAGCGCGCTGGCCGTGGTCATGGCGGGCACGCTCATGCTGTCCATCGGCGGCCTTGCAGCGCTGGGCTTTATCCTGGCCCTGGGGGGGAGCGCCATTGCGGCAGCTCTGGGCCTGATGGCGGTGTGCCTCGCGCTGGCAGCCCTGGTGGCGGGCCTGCTCTCCACGGCGTCGGCGGGGGCGTACGTGGCGCTGGCCACGGCGCAAGGCACGCTGCGCCTGCTGGGCGGCGTGGCCGCGCCCGGCGCCGCGAAGGCCAGGGGCGCCGCCATGCGGGCGGCCCTGGCCGTGGGGCGCAAGGAGCTGCCCGAGGAAGGGAGGCCCGCGCGCGACGCGGCCGGTGAGTCGCCGACTTGATGCTTCATTCTCCTGCATGTGTGGGACAGCTCTGCTGTATTCCCCGCCGCCTGGAGGCCAAGGGAGGACTGAAGTGGGTGCACCGGGAAGTCGGGCGCCGGACCCTTCATGTCCTCGAGCTCGCACGCCTCGCGCTCGCACCTCACACAGGCACGCACCCTGCCCACTGGTATGCAGCCCCACCGCACCAGGCGGAGCACAGCCCGGACGACGACAAATTCAGTTTCCAATGGGATGGCAAGAACGAGGTGCGGAGCTCGAGGTGCCTCCCCTCGAGAACCTGAGTCCCTCATGGTCGTCTCTGGGCGTCCGCCTCACCCGCCCCTATCCGCACCCTGCTGCAGGCGGGGGCAGAGACCACCAGCTACGCCCTGCCCGGGAATGCGCGGCAGGCTGCCAGCCCCGTGCCCTCCAACCACGTCGTCCTGGCGCCTCCCCAGCCCTCCAAGCCTGTGGCCATGTAGAACCCATCTCCCTCAGCAACCGGGCCCAAACTGGCCAGTGATCCCAATCATCTGTACCCTCTTTTCGGATTGTCAGTGTGTTGTGTATATTCTTCTGAGTGTGAAAGACCTCACTGTCAAAGTTTCAGCCGGGTGCAGCAGCGACTTCCCGGTTCACAGCCAGTGACGAGATCACTGCTGCTGCTTGGGCGCCAGCGACTTCCAGGCCTGGCCGTTGACGGGGCAGGCCACCGCCCAGCAGGCCTGCCAGGCCATGGGAGACCCCAGGGCTAGCGCCGCAGGCTGCAGCTCCGCGGTCACCACGCAGCCATCGGCCGAGGCAAAGGACTGCTGCCGGGCCCAGTCCAGCCGGGCGCCTGGCGGTGTGGTGTGTGTGTGTGTTGAGGGGGAAGGGGGTAAGAAAGGGCGACCTGTGCTGGCACGCCGTCCTGCTTGTGGTACGGCACACGCCACCCCTGCACACCCGAGAGAGGAAAGTCTAAAAGGTGCCCAGTTTCCCCCCCCTTTTCGCCCCTTAGAACCCCCCCCCCCTTCTCCTTCCTCCCTCACCAGACAGGGCGTCCACCAGCACCTGGCACCGATCCACCCGCTCCGCCGCCTCCGTGCCCCACCACGGCTCCTCGAGCTCGCTGGCCTCACCGCCGACCCGTGCGGTCGCCACGCCGCCGCTGCCCCACCCTGTGTCCCAGCCCGCGAGGGGGGGCAGCGAGGCCTCTAGCGCGGCGGCCGCCTGGCGCCGCCGCTCACGGTGCTCCAGGGTGGCGTCGGGGGCAGGAGCGGCGCCCAGCACGCCCAGCGCGCGTGCCTCGGCCAGCAGCGAGGCGGGCGTGTCGTTCCGCCAGCGCGCCAGCACCTCCCCGCTCCCGGCCAGCGCGGCCTCCAGCCGGCGCCAGCCCATGCCCGCCGCGGCGCCGGGGTAGTGCAGGCGCCAGGGGCCGCCCATGCCGGCCACGGCCGCCGCCACGACTTCCGGCGAGGCCGGGTCCTGCGGCGGGGCGCCGCCCTCGCCGCCCGCCGCCTCGCGCTGCTTGGCGTCCTCGGCGATGGCACGCACTGGGTTACATAAGGATGGGTAATGGGGCTGGCATGTGGGGCCTGGGACCTCGGGGTCGCTGGAGATCTGTCGTGCAGCGCACAGGGTGTCGCGCGACCTTGCTGAACACAACAGGCGTGGCTGCCTTGGCCGGCTCAGGACTTCCACGATGCCCACAGACCATGCTCAGCCCATCCTTGGACTCACGTTTCAAGCACCCCCCCACCCCCGCCCCCCCATCCCAGAAATAGGAAGACGCCACTCACGTATGCTTGCCATGGGCTTGTAGATGACGTTCAGGCGGGCCATGGACTTGACCAGGAACTCGGAGTGATTCGAGCGCCCACCGTCCACCATCTTCTGCATCTGGCGCGCGTACTGTGTGTGATGTGGGAAGGGAAGGGTTGAACAGAGGGGGATTCAGATACCCGCGTCGGTTCCTCCATGTGCCCGGAGGGTGACGCAGCATATTCAGGGCATGGCGCCCTGCTCTCGTCACATCCCAGCCCCGCCCATCCCCTCAAACCTAGACCCTGCAGCCTCCCAGCGGCATCACATAAACACAGGAGAGCCCACCACCCCCCTCACCGCCACGGCCGTGGAGAGGCAGGTGGACAGGCGCTTGATGAAGTGGGTGTCGGCCAGGCAGCGCATCCCCGGCACGCAGTCCGGGTGGGCCTCCACCAGCGCCGCCCAGCCCAGCGGCCAGGGCCCGCCCGCCCCCGCGCGCGCGCCCAGCTCCGCCACGGCCTTGGTGCCGCCGTGGAGCGGGGCGTCGGGCGCGGCGCTGCGGCGCCGCGCCCACAGCGCGGCGCAGCGCAGGACGTAGGTCGCGGCGTCGGCCACCCAGCACGACCAGTACTGCACGATGAACCCAGCCTGGAGCTGGCGGTGCGAGGCTTCCCGCCCCGCATCCCCGCCCCGCGCCGCGGCCCCACCCGAATCCTCCACTGGGGCTGCGAGCGCGGAGCGCAGGCTTTCCTGCACCGCCGTCACGTGCCCCGTCCAGAGCTGGAGGCCCAGGTCGGCACGCAGGGCGTCGGCCAGCGCGTCCGGCGCGGGCGCCAGCGCGGCGGCCTTGAGCCGCGCCCAGGCGGCGGCGGCGGGCGCGCGCAGCGCGGCGCGCGTCGCCAGCACGGCCGCGTCGACCAGCGAGAGGTAGACGGAGAGCGGGGAGGGCCCGCACGCTGCGGCCAGCGCCGCGCCCGCGCGCTCCAGGTCCCAGGTGGCGCCGGAGCGCAGCGCGCACAGCGCGGCGCGCTTGGCCAGCTCCACCGCCAGCGGCATGCCGCTCTCGGGCGTGGGGAAGCGGAAGAGGGGCAGCAGGCGCAGCGTGACGCCCCCGGGGCTGGCGCTGGCCGCGTAGCAGCCGTTGGGCGACACCGCCAGGGTGGGGGGTGAGGTTGGAGGTGGCCTCGACGCCGCGGGGCCGGTTCCGGGCCATGCGTCGGCGGCGCAGCCGGGGCCCAGGCCCCGGGCGTCGGCCAGGGAATCAGCGCGCAGGACCAGGGGCCGCGGCGCCGAGGACGAGAGGGAGAGCAGGACTAGGCTGCCGTCGGCGCTGAGGGCCGGGGCCGGGGTCGGGTCGTCGGGGGCGAGCGGCACGTCGCGCGCGGCGCGGCGCGCCCAGCCCCCGTCGGCCCCCCGCTGCAGCACGGCCAGGTGGCAGGCGCCGGGGTCAGCGGCGCGGCGCCCCACGCACAGCAGCGCGGCGTCGGAGAGGAAGGCCACGCGCTCGGCCGCCACGCCCTCGGCCAAGCCGAACGTATGGCTGGTGGCGGGCGGGGCCGGGTGTGGGGACCCCGCTCCGCCCGCCAGCCGCGCCAGGGGCCCTGGGTCGGCCATCACGTGGGCCCGCCCGTCGGCGTCGACCAGCGCCGCCAGCACGGCCGCGCCGTCGGTCGCCAGCGCCGCGGCGCGCAGGGGCGGTTGGGGGGAGGGGTTGCCGGCGTCGGTCGCGGCGTCGGTCGCGGCGTCGGTCGCGGCGTCGGTCGCGGCGTCGGTCGCGGCGTCGGCCCCGCCCGCGCCCAGGCGCAGCGGGGCGGCGACTGCCCAGCGCGAGCAGCCCTGGCGCCGCAGGCCGGCGGTGTCCTCCCACAGGTGCAGGAGGCCGTCCTCGGACACAGCGGCCACGGCGCTCAGCCCGGGGCGCAGGAGGGGCAGTGCCGGGGCAGACTGGGGCCGGCAGAAGGCACGCTCCAGGCCGTGCCGCTGCCAGAAGTCCAGCAGGTCACCCACCTTGTTGAAGTGGCGGCCCTCCCTGCAATGGTGGGGGTGCGGGGGGGTGGAGGTGGGGGCCAGGGGGGTGGGGGGTAATGGTCAGCGTGTCGTGCGGGGAGGAAAGGTCTGCCCAAAAACCACCGTGCTGACATGTGAGCGCAAGGAAGGCGTCCGGGGGAACCCCCCCAAAAGACAAAGCAGGTACGTGCAGACGGTCATGTTTCAGACAACAGAGCAGCCGGCTCGTCACCTGGTGGAGTGGGGGGGGGCCCTCCCCGATGTCCCAGGGGGAGGGGGGGGCGAGGGCGCTGAAGGCCAGCACGCGGCCGCCGCCGGGCGGCAGCTGGAAGGCGGGGGCGCCGTACCAGACATCCAGGCACACCGCCGCCGCCAGCTCGGCGTCGGGGTCCACCTGGGACCAGCTGTGCGCGGCGCCCCGGCTGGAAAGCGTGAGCAGCGTCCTTTGCAGGGGACGGGAGGAGGGGGCCACGTTGGGGGTGTTGGCAGGCGGCACACCCCGTCACAACATCCATGAGCCCCCAACCCAGCGTCTCACTTGGGCCCCGGCCCCGGCAGCCAGAGGAGGTGGGTGAGCGCCTCGCCCGCATGCGCAGTGGGCACCTCCAGGATGGCATGGTCCTGCGCGCATGGCTCGCGGCAGGGGCTGGAACTCGGTACAGTAGAAACACTAGCACCGGCCCTGTGCTGCTCCAGGGTCTGGCACCGCCATGCTGACAGGCAAGAGCGTAGCACGACCAGTACCCGAGACGCCCACCCACCACACCAACAGCCCTGCCTTGCCTGGGGGCAGCGCGGTTCGAGGATGCAGACACGCAGGGGGGCTGGGTATGGTGCAGAGGCGAGCTGCACGGCCAGCAGGTTGCTGTCTGCATCCCAGGACACCAGATCCAGCACCCTCTCCCGCTCGAAGAAAATGTCCTGGCCACCCGGCGAGTCCATCCTCAGGCTCCTGTGGTGCGCAGGGAGTGCCTTTGGGCCGGCATTTCTAACAGATTCAACGATCTAGGAGTGTCGCACGAGGCGAAAGCCTGGCAGTTGCGCGATGCGATACAGCCGATCTGTACCTCTGTCAGCGTTCACGACAGCAGCGCGCGCGCCAGGTCGAAAGTGATCACAGGCACTATGTGATCTGCGACGCTGGCGATGGCTTTGTTGGTAGTTTGTGCGCCAAATCAATGAAGTATACTTCGCCATGTTATGGATCCTCTTGCAGGTTGGAGTCGCCCTTGCAGCCCTTCGATTCGCCCTTGCACTCCTGACCAGGCGCAGGCATAGGCAGACATGCGCCACCATGGTCGTCCTGGGATCGGGCGGGCACACCGCGGAGATGCTGAGACTCTTCAAGAACTTTGATGCCTCGGTGTACCGTCCTCGGGTGTATGTCGCCGCGGCCACCGATGCCCTGAGCGGGGTCAAGGCCACTGCCTTCGAAAAGGCTTGGGCCGGCATTCCTGGCAAGGGAAGTGATCCCTCGGGCCCCGCCTACCAACAGGCCGTGATACCACGCAGCAGGGAGGTGGGCCAGTCCTGGACCAGCAGCGCACTCAGCACGGCCCATGCCATGCTGTGTGCGCTGGCCTTGGTGTTCCGAGCAAGGCCAGACCTGGTGCGTGGTTTCTGTCGAGGACAGAACGACTGTTTGGCGGTGGATGCGTTTGAAACAACTCGGGTACATGCATCAAGACGAGCTTCGCGCGGCGCTGCATGCCCCGCACTCCATGGTCGCCCACCTCGCCCTGCATCACACCCTGCATGCAAGGTGTTGGTGAATGGGCCGGGCACCTGCATCCCCGTATGCCTCTCTGCACTCCTGGCAAGGTGATACATTGCGGGAAGGGGCTTGCAGGTGGATGCTGTGTCGCACACCGTTTGGTGTGCAAATGTGGTGGCGCTTGCACACTCCATGCCTTCTCGGTGTCCACCTCTTCAGGATGCTGGGAGTCGCCACCGCCAAGATCGTGTATGTGGAGAGTATAGCGCGGGTGTATCGGCTGTCCCTCTCCGGGAAGATCTTGTACCATGCTCGATTGGCATCGATCTTCTTTGTCCAGGTGAGCGACCTTGCAGAGGCACGGGTTGGCGTCTGGGTGACGAGCCGGGTGGCAAGGAGTGACAAACTTCACTGAGCAAACCAATGAGAGGGATGGGTTTCTCACAGCCAGCCTCAGGAGAATGCTGAATGTATATCCCAGGCCTTGCACTGCGCCCCCAGTGTGACTCTGCTGTACCCCCTGGATCCTTGTAGTGGCCAGAACTGCAGGCCAAGTATCCACGCAGCGTCCTCGCTGGTCGGCTGATGTGACGGAAGGTGGTGGTCCTCCCTTCAGCCCATCAACATTCACCTGCTGTTACCTTGTCCATACTTGATTCTTGAGCATTGCACATGCCAGCCAGTCCAAGGGCTTGCTGGTTCTCTCCCCCCTCCCCCACCCCCTCTATTTGGCATGCTTTGGCTGTTGCACGCTGACGAGGGCTGTGCCTCACCCAACAGTGAGGCCCCAGCCGGGGCGCCAGGTGGTGATTCTGCGCTGGGAGTGCTCAGCTCATTTGAGCCAGGCACCTCATCCGAGCCAATTCTCCGACTTGTGGTCGCCTCCGCTACCGACCTTGCCCCTGTGGGATACTGTGGCTTGGGACCAGGCAGCTGAGACCCTTTCAAAGGACGTTGTGTCGCGATTGCTCTCCTTTGCGCTGGGGCCCTGTGATCGAGGATGTGGTGCGTGGGGCCGTTCTGGCTGTGCATGGCAATTGATCTCAGCCGGCGCACGTGGCCGCAAAGGCACCCGGTGCGCCCCGGCCACCCAGGCACACACCCCTTTCCAGGCTGCTACGATGCAGGGAGGTCAAGCCAATGCATGGAGGGACCGCCATGCGGCGCACGGTCCCAGCACCTGCGCCCCCCGGCCAGACCCTCACCCACCTGCCGCCTCGCCGCACGCTGCTCCTTCACAAACACAATCATGGCCGCGACGCGGTCCTGCTCGGCGGGTAGGAAGCGCCGCACGTGCTGTCGAAAGTGGTCCACCAGCAGATCCACGGAGGTCCGGGCCCAGGGTAGCCTGTGAGGATTGTAAGGGGGAGGAGGTGGATGGATGTCCTGGAATTGAGGCGGACTGATGGTGTGCCCAAGACATTGAGCTCCGAAGTGGTGGGAGAGCACAGGAAGGTGCGCCATGGTTGACAAGTCGTCAATTCTGGATCGCAAGTTTCCCACCTGGTCCTTCCCGCCAGCCCACCTGTACACGACCCTGCCGGCTTCCAGGCAGTCCAGCAGGTGGCCTCTCCTCACGCCCTCCAGGACCTCGGCTGCAATGACCGCGCCCTTTGCATCTGCCTCCAGGAGAGCAGCAATGCCTGGCTCGGACACTCCCTCTGACTCAGGCAGTGTCGCAGGCTCCTCTGGGAGGCCCGCCACCGCCTCTTTCAGGCGAGCCACGACCTTGTTGAACTGGAAGGAGTCGTCTGTGGTGAGGAGCTGCGACCGCAGGACGCCGCGCAGAGCCAGGACCTCCAGCACCTCTCGCTGGCTGGGCGAGAAGAGCTGCAATGGTGGGCGGCGAGGAGCACGAGAGGGTTGTCATCATTCGACACAGAATGCTCGGCAGGGACGCTGGACTCCTGCACCCAGCAGCCATGCAGCATTGCATGCAATCAGTAGATTTAACGACGCCGGATGACAGGAGGAGCCCACATTGTCCAACCCTGGCATTCAGCTGTTTCAAGCAATTGTGCCAGAAAATAGTACCCAGGGTGTCTCACCTGACCACGCTTGCTGGCCAAGGTGAAAACCTTACTCAGCTCCAGTGCCACTGGAGTCTCATCCCCTGCAGCCGGTCCAGACAGGCTGCCGACAAGGGCTCTGTAGACAAGTGGCCCATGCGCTTCAGGGTCCAAGGTACCCTGCCAGTTGGAGGACACACCAGGCTCAGGGGTCTGCCGATGGGTGCTGCTATGCAGCAGATAATGGCCGATTGCAAGCTCTGCCTCCCGCGGCCCTCGGGTTTGCACCGTCATTCACCTGTTCCAGGAGCTGGCGCAGCAAGCGAGAGGCCTTGACGAGCTTGGAAGGTTGGGGAATGTGCGATGCGATCTTCTCCAGTGCAAGGCCTATGCCGTCCACCGGAGGAGGTGGCGGAGGTGGCGGGGGCGGGGGCACCTCGTCATCATCTGTGATCCACTGGGGAGCCCCCGACTCAGCAGCGGCTTCTTGGGGTACTGTTTCCCCTCTGGGCTCTGTGCCAGTCGCCTGTGTCTCCTTGGATGGAGGTGCGGAACTTCCAGCCTCACCCACTTCTTCTCTGACTTCAGAGTCCACTGTTTCATGACGGGGCCGCTTAGAGGGTGGCACCTCTCTCCCTCTGGCAGCACTGGGCTCCGGCAGATCCCCGAACAAACGGGATGCCATTAATCTTGCTGTTACTTCAGGTGCATCATTATTTGGTGAGTATCAGGATGGCGAGGCAGAGGTGTATTGGTGGGATACACAGTGTGGTCGAACGCTGTGCTCTGAGCGTTGCAACGGAGGACGTGGATGGAGTCCTCAGGATGTAGACCTCGCCATGGTCATGACGATGCGACACACTCTTTTCATGTTGGATTCGTCGTGGTGCCTAGGTACTTGCCCTGTAACGGAATATTTGCATCGCCAGACCTGTCGCTCACGTCACACCGCGCGCCCGGCGTCCCTCCCGGGACATCTACAGATGAGGCAAGCCCAGTTGCCGATATATACGAGTATTTAATGATTGTTTGTTCTGGACCCACATCGCTGGAGCTTGCCGACCGCCCCTCTCCATTGGCATACGCTGGAAACATACGTGTGGGGGTGTTCGACACTGCGGTGGGTGAGGGCGGGCCCCTGGCCTCCACGCAGCCATGGCCAGTGACATTACCACCTACCCATGCATCGTACGATCTGTCACTTACTTTGTTCCCGAAGGGGATGTCGGATCTGCCGGCTGGGAGGGGGCCATGCAGGAGGCTGCAGCCTTCCTGGCCACCGCCAGGGGGAGTCTCGAGCAGGAAGGTATGCGCTCGACCGGTGTGGCTGGTGGATGGGGGACACAGTGTGCTCTGTATGGGATTGCTGCTTAGGGCTCTAGTTGCGTGGCGCCACGCCATCGCGGTCGACCAGCCCTTCAGATGCACATTCAATCCTCCTGTCTTGCAGGGATCACGGTGCAGACGCTGCGAGTCGCCACCGACATCCTGACCCGGGTAGAAAGCGTGGAGGAAGCTCTGCGCAAGGCCCGCGTGGTGCAGGCCGCCGCGGCCGCCAGCGGCATCTCCTTTGTATCCTATGGCGCCTTCTCCAACGCCCGACTTCTGGAGGAGGGGCTCGCCACGAAACTACTCACGACGCCCGGTGGCGATGCCTACACCTGCTGCACTTTCCGCTGGCAGCCGGTGAGCTGGTGGGGACTGTGGAAAAACGCGTTGGACAACGCTGCACGTTTGTATGGGGGGTGTCACGAGGTGGGAGGCTGTTGCTGGCAAGCAGGGCGCCGTTCAGGTAGCCCATGGTATGGAGGCCTGATGATAGACCTGCGCGTCCCCTGCGCGCCCCACGAGGCCCGCCCACCAACCACCTCCTCCCCTCGCCGCAGGGCATGGGCGTGGAGGAGGCGCGCAGCGCCGCCCGCGCCATCTTCTCCCTGGGCAGGGCGACGGGCGACGCGGGCCCCTTTCACTTCGCCCTGACCTTTGCCGAGGAGGGTTTCCAGACCCCCTTCTTCCCCGCCGCCTGCGCGACGCGCCCCGGGTTCGCCATCGCCACCGAGAACTCGGCGCAGTACGCCGCTGCGCTGGCCTCGGCGGGGGAGGGGGGCCCGGCGGGCGTGACCCCGGCCCTGCGTGCCGCCATGGCGGCCGGCCTGCGAGGCGCGCAGGCCTGCGCCGTGAAGCTGGCTACGGCCACGCACGTGCCCTACCTGGGCATCGACACCAGCATCAACCCGGGGCTGGAGGGGCCCAGCCTCGCGGGTGCGTACGGGGGCTGGGGCTTGTGGGCATGCATGAGCTCGGGAGGAGGGGCACCACGCGCGGGGCTCCCGGCCTGCGCCTGCAGCCGCCCTCCCTTGCTCGTGCTGCATTCCGCGCCGGCGCCCCGCTGCACCATGCCTGGCTTCCTGGACTCCCGTCACAGACCTCCATGAGAACCCCCGCTCCCTCTCATACACACGCCCACGAGCACAGGCGCTTTTGAGAGTGTGGGACTGGGCCCCTTTGGCGGGCCGGGCACGCTGGCGGTGGCGGAGCGCGTGACCGCGGCGGTCCAGTCGCTGAGCGGGATCGACACCACGGGGTACTGCGGCCTGATGCTGCCCCTGGCGGAGGACACGGGGCTGGCCGCCGCCAGCAGGGCGCTCTCCGTCCAGACCCTGCTCTTCTACTCCGCCGTCTGCGGCTGCGGCCTGGACACGGTGCCTGTGCCGGGCGTGTCGGATGAGACACCGGCTGGGGAGGCGGCGCGCCTGGTCGCCGCCGCGGCGGCGCTGGTCCTGGACATTGCCGGCATGGCCGCCCGCCTTGGCAAGCCCCTGACCTGCCGCCTGCTGCCCGTGGCGGGGGGAAAGGCGGGGCAGGCCACGGCATGGGACAGCCCCTACCTAGTGCCGGGGACGCTGCTGTCGCTGTGAGGCCCAGTGCGGCAATGGTCGTGACTCCATGGTTTTCTTAAATGCGGCCCATTTATGCTGCCTTGAATCATTCCTACTCCATGCTGCAAAGCTCGCTGCTGAACTGGTAGGTGCTTAACAGCAGAGGCAAGCGGTCCATGGAAGGGAGGAGTAAATGGGCAGTCAACAGCAGGGGCAAAACTGAGGCCCGAAGTCAACGTGGGACGCGGGGCGGCCGCGAAACGCAGGGGCTACCACAGCGCCTACCACGAGGGCCGGTCCTCCTGCCGCTTCTTAGCGCGGATGTCGGCGTAGTAAGCCTTCTTCTGCTTCTTGGCAATCCTGCATGAGACGCGATGGATTGGAGGGGCAGCCTGTCAGCGTGGGAAGCATAAAGAGGTTACCAGAGGACACTGACAGCTGCAGCTAAAGAGATCAAACATGGGCTAAGGCTGCAAGTATCAACCCGCCACCCAGACGTGCCCCTCGCCCGATCACTCACTGCGCCTCCTCTACCCGCTTGAGCATGGCGGGGTCCTGCTTTCCAAAAAAGACGGGGTACTGGCCACGCCGTAGGGCCTGGCGGGAGCCTGCACCCTCCTCTTCGTCATCATCATCGTCGGCGTCGTGTATGCTGCAAGGATTGATGCAGGGGGCGGGGGTTGGGAGTGTGTCAAGGTGAAAAGACACGGAATCCCAGACTGCACCCACGATCCCCTCCCAAGATGAGCAGCTCTGTTCTCCCACGTGAAGAGTCATGCAAACAACCCCACACACAAACACGCACACACCTGACCATGCCACTCCTTGTCAGCATCTTTTTCTTGGCGGTCTCGGTGTCCTCAATGTTCTTCAGCCTCTGATGCATGGACAGCGGGACCTCCGTGATGCCCGTGATCCAGGAGGGCCCCAGCTCCAGGTCGTCCTTTCGCTGGTACTGGCTGGTCGCAAACAACTCGTCGTCGATACCACGCGGCGCCGCCGGCTGCTCCGACCCCGGCGCCGGCCTGCCCAGCCGAGCGGCCAACTGGGCCTCCACATATTGCTTCCTGGGCGCACGGGAGGGTGATGGTTGGGAGGGCAGGGCCTGGAAGCTGTGGGTAAAGAACTGGTGAGGGGCACAAGCATCTCTCCCGAGGAGCCATGACCCGGGCATCACGCAACACAAAAGATTCCCTGTCACCACATTGGCCCCCGCAACTCACATGTGCGGGTTGTCGGCGTCCTCATCCTGCTGCCGCTCACGCTTGAAGGCGGCGTGCAGGCCCCCCTCCTCCGGCGCGGCCGAGGCCGCAGCGCTCGCCAGCGCCAGCTCCCTGTCCTCATCATCCCTGCGCCCCTGCAACAGGGCCGCGGCATCCACGCCCTGCGCGCCTTGGAGCATGGAAGCGTCAATGGAGTCGGCGCCGAGACAACTGCACTCCCCGAGCATGGAAAACGCCAGGCTCCCCCCCACCCACCGTCTGGCGCTGCCGCTGCCTCTGCAGGAGCCGTGTGTCCTCCACGCTCAGCTTGGGGGGTGCATCCTCCTCGCCAGACTCGTGTGCCTCATCCAACGTCACAGGACGTTTCCTCAGGCTGCGAGGGGGCATTCCACGCGGGTGGCCACCACCTGAGCAGGCAAAAGGTGTTTATGAACTGTTCTGGGCCTCGAGATCAGGAGCAGTGCTCAGCAGAGTGGATCCCAAGACAATACTCATCCTTGATATCGACACTGGTGCGCTTGCCATGCATGCGATTCAAGCGATGCGACGGTCCAGGTCCCCTCGACTGCAAAACTTCGTGCTTGGCGGGAGGACCTTTCCGTGACATTTCGCTCCCCACCTCCCCCATCTGGGCCCCATTTACCCCTCACCATGGTCCTGCGCAACCGATGGGCAAGACTCACACTCTTCACCTATTACTCCTGAACATAATTCAGAAGGAGAACTTCCCCTAACCCTCTTCACGAGGGTCTAACCCTTGGAAGCCCTGCCCTGCCGACGACAGGCGCACACCCAAGCAAACCCCAACATATTGGGCGTCGCCTGACCATCACGCTAGGAACTTGGGATGGATCCCAAAGACGATCCTCTGATCAATCATCCTAGGTACCGCACCCTGAAGTACATCAATAAGGGCAGCTTTGGGTTCGTTGTCCTGGCCGAGAGCCGGGACACCCGGGAGACCGTGGCCATCAAGTTTGTGGAGGTCACGTAAGTACACCAGGCCATGGCCGAATCTGGGCCTCGCCGGGGCGGTGTCGTGGGGATGCCCTGGCGCAATCCCGCATGACCGCATGTCGCGCAAGCATGGAGCCCCCCGGTTCCGGCCTCGCCAAGGCAATCGGCCCTCAAGCCCCTCCCCCCCGGGGGTCCACCGTCCCCCCTTCCGACCCTTGTCCCGGCTCCCTCCCCCCCCAGGAATGAGTCGGACCGCAAGCACTCTCACCGGGAGATCATGAACCACCAGAGCCTGCTGCACCCCCACGTGGTGCAGCTGAAGGAGGTCATGTGCGTCCCCCCCTTCCTGGCCATCGTCATGGAGTTTGTCCCCGGCGGCGACATGTTCCAGTATGTCGTCTCCCGCCGCGGCCTGCCCGAGGCCGAGGCCCGCTGGTTCTTCCAGCAGCTCATCCTGGGCATGGACTACTGCCACAGGAAGGGTGCGTGGCGTCGGAGCCGGGTGGGATCTGGGGCGGCCGGTGCGCGGGAGCTGGGCCTTGTTTGGGGCGAGGTGGGACCCTGCGGCGCCCCCGCGGCCCCGTCCCTGAGGCTGGGCCCCAGCGACCGGGCGAAGTGGATGGGGCATGGCTCCTACGCCCCTCATTCCCAAGCAATCATACGTCCTGATCCCCCCACGTACCCCCCCCACCGCCCCCCACCCCCACCCCTTCAAAAATCCGCACACATACTCCAGGCATCATGAGCCGCGACATCAAGCTGGAGAACACGCTGCTGGTGCTGCAGCCCGACAAGAAGCCGCTGCTGAAGCTGTGCGACTTTGGCTACTCCAAGCACGAGCTGCTGGACTCGGTGGCCAAGAGCAAGGTGGGCACCCCCGGGTACACCGCGCCCGAGGTCATCTCCAACCTCAAGGGCTACGATGGCAAGGTGGCGGACGTCTGGTCCGCGGGCGTCATGCTCTTTACCATGCTCTTCGCGCGCTACCCCTTCGAGCGCCCCGAGGACAAGAAGCTGCGCCAGAACGAGCGCCTGCAGCGCATCCTGCACCGCATCATGAAGGTGGACTATCTCTTCCCCGAGCACGCCACGATCAGCGACGACTGCCGCGGCCTCATCGGCCGCATCCTCGTCGCCGACCCCCAGCAGCGCATCACCATCCGGGAGATCCAGCACCACCCCTGGTTCCAGCACGTGAGCCTGGTTGGGGGGTGAGGTTGAGGGTCAAGAAGGGGGGAGGGGGGAGGGAAGGAAAGAATTGGTAGACTGGAGGCGAGGAGGAGCTGGCGTGGCACCGCCCCTCGCACGAGTCGGCCTGCTGCGAGGCAGTCTGTGGAAGGGGTCCAGGCGGCGAGGCTGGGAGCCTGGACAGCCAGCCCCTCCCGCACGGTGCTGGCATGCACTCCCTTGCACCCATTCTCCACAAAACACGCACCGTTCCACCCCATGCCCTGCCACGGCCCACCCCAACAGGACCTGCCACCTGGCAGCTTGGAGTACAACGACTGGGCGCTGAACCTGGAGGTGACCCCCGCCCAGACGTCAGAGGGCGTGGACGCCATCATCAAAGCCTCGCGCGACGCCTACGACTCCAAGAACCGGTCCGGGCGTGATGAAGCAGACATCTTCTCCTCGGGGCTGATGGCCGGCTGAGTCAGGCCGCGCACGGCACCGCCGCGTGGCCAGCCGGGGGAGGGGCAGCTGCGCGGAGGAGGGCAGTTGCGCGGAGGAGGGAGTCCGGCGATCCAGGCAGACCCGCGCCGGGCGCCTCGCCAGGCCGCTTCCCCGGCCATCTCGCGCCGAGCGCCCATGCTGCGAGGGCCCCTCACCCCCATTCCTACGAATCGAGGCGTGCTTGTCTGCATTTTCTCGAGCAGGAGGCGCCGCCGAGGTGCTGGAAGCGCCAATTGGGGCCAAGCAGGCCGCGCATGGTGCACCCCGTGGGGGCTGACATGGGTCTCGGCCGCCCACTTTGACTCGGCAGTCTGACTCTCCATGCGTGTCAAAGGGAAGAATAGGAACAAAGTGTACAGAATTGATGCGAGACCGAGCGCTGCGCACCTCGAGATGCACGATAGCGGCACAGCCCAGGGGTTCAGACTTGGCACCCAGATCCCCCCCCACTCCCGCGCGGCCGGATGGGGCGCGTGGCGGGAAGGGCGCGAGAGCACGACCCCGTGGTGTGGCGCCCCGGGCGGCATGCACATGCCGCCTACAAGTGGCCTGCGACGCCGCATCGGAGCTCAAAGTTAAGAAAAACAGTACTCTTACTGTTCTTCTGTTCCGCATCCATCACCACCCCCACCTCCCACCCCTACACTTCGTGCATACAACTAAGTAGCATGGCCAAGACAAAGGCAGCGGTCAAGCCCGCCGTCAAGGCCGCCAAGGCCGAGGCAGAGAACCTGAGCAAGAAGAAGCAGGGATCCAAGAAGAAGGTGTGTGCGGGGGAAGGCAATCCAAGCGGGGCCTGCCACCTCTCGCGAGCGGCATGCCCCTCGACCCCCGCACACCTGCCCTGGCGTCTGCCATGCATACTGGCCCGATGCTTGCACTCATAATACATCTGTTGATACCAGGGTGCATGCATATGCTGCATCAGTCGAACCCCGCCACAACCGCCGCCGGCCGTCATCCCCCCGAAGGTGCCCGAGCCCGAGTCTTCCTCCGAGGAGAGCAGCTCAGACGAGGAGGTCGCCGCTGTCGTTGAGTCCAGCAGCTCCGAGGAGTCGAGCGATGAGGAGCCCGCCGTGCCTGCCAAGAAGGCGGCTGCCTCCAAGAAGGCGCCCGCAAAGGTCAGCAGCGTGCTTTACGAGTGGGGAATTTCCATCCATGGAGGCCTTTGCCTGGCCCGCAGAGTTGTCGCACTGCTCTTAGTAGCTTTGATCCACCAGCTCTGCTCCCTTTGCTCAAAAGACTGTGGTGTGGCTCACCTGATTCCGCATATGTCTCTGTTCAGAAGGCCGAGTCCTCTTCCGAGGAGGAGGAGTCCTCTTCCGAAGAGGAGGAGGAGGAGGTGAAGGCCGCGCCTGCCGCCGCCAAGGCCGAGTCCGAGTCCGAGGAGGAGTCTGAGGAGGACGAGTCCGAGGAGGAGTCCGAGGAGGAGAAGCCCGCGGCCGCCAAGGCCGAGGAGTCTTCCGAGGAGGAGTCTGACGATGAGGAGGAGTCCTCTGAGGAGGAGGTGGAGGCGGCACCCGCCAAGGGCACCAAGCGCGCCTCCAACGGCAAGGCCAAGGCAGAGTCCTCCGACGACGAGGAGGAGGAGGAGGAGTCTGACGAGGAGGAGTCTGACGACGAGGAGGAGGCCCCCGCCGCCGCGCCGACGCCCGCGCCCAAGAAGCAGAAGGCCGCCGACGGCAGTGCCGTGGATGCGTCCGCGGCCAACGGCTCCAAGACCATCTTCATCAAGAACCTGCCCTGGGCCGCGGACGAGGACGCGCTGCGCGAGTTCTTTGCCGAGGCCGGCCCCATCGCCGAGGTGCGCATCGCCTACGACCGCGAGACCGGGCGGGCGCGCGGCTTCGCGCACCTGTCCTTCGAGACCGTGGAGGGCGCGGCCAAGGCCATCACCCTGTCCGGCCAGGAGCTGGCAGGGCGTGAGGTCTACATCGAGTCCACCACTGAGCGCGAGCAACGTGCGTGGCGTTTTGGAAGGGGTCGAGGGATGGGAGTCGGTGCTTGGCCGACGAGGGGGTGGGAAGGCGGGTGTTTCACCATGAACACGCTCAGTTCGCCTCCCTGCTGTGGTCTGCCTTGCGCTGCGTGGCATCTCCCCTCCGCCCTTGCTTGGTCCTCCCCCCCTGTCTACCTCACACCTGGTCTCTCGAGGTCTGGTCGCCGCTCCTCCCATGGTCTGCGAGTCCCTGCCTCTTGCTCCCCCCCCTCCGCTCTGCTCCATCTTCTGGCCAGAGCACCCTCCCCGCCGCCCCTCCTCGGGACGCCCTTTCTTCCCTTGCACCACCACCCATGCGACGGGGTGGGGCCGCGTGTGCCACGCGCCCCGCCCACTGCCATATCCAAGGGGTGCTGCCTTCCCCATCAGCACACAGCCCTTCAGGAACGTCGCACACTGATGGGCCCCGGTCGCAGGCTTTCCAGCCTCCCGGGCGCCCCCGCATGCTGATTCCATCTCCCTGAGGTCAGCGCCGTCGGCGCCATTACCCCCTGGGAATTACCCAGCAATCGACATCTCTTTTCTCGTCCCTGTTGAACATGAATGGTGCAGTCCTTGAGTCCTCACACTGCACGATGCTCACCTATGGGTGTTTTTCAGTCCTTCCCCTTGCAACCCATTCCTTCCATGGACAGGCTTTCAACCATCTTCCAGCCCACCCACCCACCGCCTCAACACCCCCACCTGCCCCCCCTTCCACCTGTTCCTTACAGGCACTCCCGGGCAGGACCGCTTCGCCGCCAGCGAGGGCCAGACCCTCTTCGTCAAGGGCTTCGACTCCAGCCTGGGCGAGGACGACGTGCGCGCCGCGCTGACCGAGGCCTTTGGCGCCTACGGCGAGGTCACCAACGTGCGCCTGCCCACCGACCGCGAGACCGGTTCCATGCGCGGCATCGGCTTCGTGGAGTTCTCCACCTCCGAGGCCAAGAACGCCGCCATCGAGCTGGATGGCGCTGAGGTGGCTGGCGGCTGGCTCAAGCTGGACCTCAACCCCTCCTCCGGCGGCGGCGGCCGCGGTGGGCGTGGCGGCGACCGTGGTGGGCGCGGCGGTGGCCGTGGCTTCGGTGGCGGCCGTGGATTTGGCGGCGGGCGCGGCGGCCGTGACGGCGGCCGCGGGTTTGGCGGCCGCGGCGGCGGCGGCTTCAGGGGCGGCCGCGGCGGCGACCGCGGCGGCCGCGGCGGCCGGGGAGGCCGGGGCGACTTCAAGCCCCGCATGTCCATCGACGCGGGCGCGTCGGGCACGGGCCAGAACAAGAAGATGACTTTTGACGATTAGATTGCTGCCATCCCCCCTCCCAACTGACAGCGACGTGAGGTCCCCTTTTGACGCCGCTCCTTCTACCCCCGTGTACTCCCTCTGCTTTTGCTCCACGCTCCCCGCTCCCCCGCCCCGGGGCCATGTCATGCTTTCCAGATAACCCAGAATGTTCCCTGGGAGACTGTTCCGCCGTCCTTGCATACCCCACTGGAGAGCCAGGTTCAGACACCGAGTGGGTTATAGCCTTATTGGGGACCAGAAGCAGCATGGGAGGGGGGATACAGAGGGGCCATGGCAGGGGAGCACTGCCTGCTGCTGTGCTGCTTGCATTTGTGGACCAGGACCAGAATCCACACGCCCTCCAGTGGGAGCATTGGGGGTGCTGCATTGCTTGCAGGTCCACTGGGATGCCTTAAGCCTGGGATGGAAGGAGGCATGCTCCTATTCGAGCCACCCGCCCCAGGAAGGGAGGGGCTGTGGGGTCTCTGTGCCCATCACAGACACCCCCTCGATAAACCTACCGCAGCAGCATGAGAGATCAGAGCTGGGGGGCAGGAGCCCCGAGCTGTGCTTCGTCAGCGGGGGCGCTTTGCGGGGGCGGGAGGGCCGGGGGGGCGGGGACGCTTTCCAGCAGGCCTCCCTTCTTAAACTCCTTGAGCACGGGGTAGATGTTCTCAAAAGCCTGGTAGATCTCCTCCCTTCGCTTGGCCCCCGTAAGGACAACCTTGCCTGAAACAAAGATGAGCAGGACGATCTTGGGGTCCACCATCCGGTAGATCAGGCCTGGGAACAGCTCTGGCTCGTACTGGGAGGGGTGTTGGGGGGGAATGGGGTAGAATTGAGGATGGCGAAGGGGGTGAGGTGGCATCCCTATCAGGTGAGCAGCAGGATGGGCATGCAAGTCCTGGCACCTTTGCAGTGACCACCAGATCATGGCCCAACGACCAGCGGTTGACGGTAGCATGGCCTCCACCTTGACGAATTCCACCAAGCAGGGTTGGATCTTTGACAGGTAACAATCCGATTGTGCACCTTCAGACCACTGTCAGGATTATTGCGACACGGATGTCCATGACCCATGATCAACCCGCCCCAGCTGTCCCACTCACTGAGCAGAAGACGCTGTGGGAGCTCGCCAGGCCTTCCAGCCGGATGGGAAAGCGGACATCGCAGGAGCCCACCATGTTTTGAATCTTGAACTCCTTGAAGATCACGGGGTTCTCCAGCTTTTGTAGAATGCGGGCATACTGCATGTGGAGGTGGGGGTGGGTGTTGGAAATGGGTGGATGCTGGCTCGGGCTTGCATGCCTTGCGACACGCAGCGAGGTGCGCAGGAACAGCTCCCCGAAAACACTCAGATCCATTCAGGGGTCATGGCACAGACAACACGTCACGAGCTCATGGCCCAGGGCCTCAGCCTCAGCCCTGCGCCAGTCAGCCACCGCCCTGCCTCTCTGTGTCTGGACATCCAATCCCACACCTTTCGTGCCGCCAATCGCGACTCCTGCTCGCTCTTGGCTCCTGTGCAGACCTACATGAGCACATGAGAGTGGCTTGGGTCACAGGGACTCCGTGAAGGGCCTGGCATCAGCCTTGGCGGCCCACCCTGCCACCTGACGCACCATCTTGCCAGATGCAAAGATGAGCGCTGTACTCTTGGGCTCGCGGATCCTCATGATGACAGCGGCAAAGCGCTTGGGGTTGTACTCTGCGTTCCTCGCCCGCAGCGCTATGTCCTTGAGGTCCAGCTTACACTCCAGATTCACGGTGGCAACAACATTCTGGGGAGGCAGGGAGGAGGACATTCTCGCTGCGGGCCCAGTGCGGCCTCGGGAGGGGTGACCACAAGACTGGGCACGACTTTTAAATGAGTCAATCCGAAATTATACAGCCCCTCATCCCACCTGAAGCTGCGGAACGATGCCGCTGGGGTGCACCGTCAAGTCCACCTGAGCCTCGACTTCCGTGCTGGGGCCCTCAGACATCGCGCTCTTGCCCTCTGCTGCGCGCTTCCCCGCAGAATCTCGCCTTTCAGGCGCCTAGTTCGGCATGCAGAGTACCAGCTGCTCGGGCAAGGGAGGACGCCAAGTATGTCGGTCGCGAGTTGGCTCTAGGGGGAACGAGGCGAGTGGATACTACAAGTGGAGTCTCTTCAACCAAAATAAGAAGCAGGAGTCGGCAAGGACTGCTGAGCACGAGCATGAGCTGCCCTTTTGTCTCACCACACGGCCCTGCGGGCGAGCAGATTGTGCAGCCTTCTTGAGAAAGCGCGAGATACCAGACGGGAAATCCCTACTGAGCAGAACTTAGCATCAGACTCGCAGGCCATACTTACTTTGCGCTGGACAAAACACTGCCGGATCGCATACATAGGCGCGGCCTGGCCCCACCTTCTGATATTGTCGCGGGGAGGTCGCCGCCCGAGGAAGTGCTGGACCCCACCAGAAGCCCGGACACAGGCTGCAGCTGGCCCGAGTAAGGCTGCTTGCACTGTACCGAGAGTAGCTTGATATATTATGAAGCACAGGGTGGCGTTCCGAAAGCTTCGAAGGAGCTCAGCCCACCGATGGGCCATGCTGCGGTGAGTTCTTGCAGGGACACATGTGGACATTGGTTGCATGGCATCCCATGGAGGTTTAAGATGTGCAGAACCTTTAAATTTGTCGATGTTTCGGCATGCAGGACCATGGTGTCTCAGTTGGTGGAGCATGAGCGGATCGAGACCACCCTTCCCAAGGCCAAGGAGCTTCGACGGGTGGCGGACCAAGTGGTCACCCTCGGCAAGGAGGTGTGCTGGTATTTTGAGAGCATGTCTTGACAGCGGATGTTATACGCTGGGAGTCGGCATCCCACAGGATCGCTTCTTGTTCCGACCGGGCATGCAGTGCATTCCCAGCTTGCCCTTCCTGCATGTTCACACAAGAGCCTCTGGCCCCAGCCTCCATCTGAAAGTGCAGCCTGGACCCGCTCAATGCCTCTGGTCTTGGGTCCACGAACACTCTATCTACCATCCAGCATGTGGACCCTCTCCACCCCCCCCTCCCCCATTCTCATCCTCGTCAGGCCTCCCAGCACGCGAGGCGGCAGGCCATGGCCATCCTGCGGGGGGACGCGGAGGTGCACAAGGTCTTTTCCGTGCTAGCCCAGCGGTACAGCCAGCGTGACGGCGGGTACACCCGCGTCCTGCGCACGCAGCAGCGCGGCAACGACGCAGCGCAGATGGCCTTCATCGAGTTTGTGGACCGGCCCGGGGAGCTGCGGCCCGCGCGACCCGGCCGACCAGCCAGCCTCCTCCCGCCTGCCGCTCAGCTGCTGCAGCAGCAACAGCAGCAGTAGACTGAGCAGGAGGCCTGCTGGCTGCTCAGAGGAGGCAGTCAGTGGATGGGCGCGATCCCTTGCTAGGGCGCAGGCGGAGCGTGAGCCAGGCGGTCCTCCCTGCTGCCCAGGATCGGGCTCGGGGACGGGCCTTGGGTGCCCAGGTTGATATCTCGTGGCGTTTTCCAACCGCCAGGCCATGTGGAGGCCTGGGTCTACACAGATTCGCTCAGCTGTATTCCTCTGAGCGTTTACTTCTCCATGGAAGGAACTCCACTGCTTGAGCAGCGTACGTCACCTGCCATGCTGCCCATTCCCACTTCCTTACAGCCAGCTTTCCCCCTTTCCTGCCTGCCCGACAAGGTCCCTGTCTAAGGGCTTTCCTTACCTTGTAACACTTGCACAGTGACCAGGCTCACATACATGAGTGGGAGGTCTGCAGCGGATGGGGAACTTCCGAGTATGTCGGCGGGCTCTTTGGTTTGTGCCATCCTGGATGAGGAGGCAAGCCAGTGACGGCCCTTGGCAGGGGACTTTCTGCAGAGCATTGTGCTCCCCTGCGCGGCTCTGCTCATGGACGCTGCAGCCCTTGACGCTCCAGCAGGTACTCCACTGGCGCTCCGCCCCACCCCCCTCACTGCCATTCGCCGAAGCTGAAGGAGTCGCCGCCGGGGCCGCCAGCGTCGAGGTCGCGTGCCACCCGCTCAAGCCGGTCTGTGAAGCTGGCGAAGCGGTTCATGGCCACCAGCTGGAGGAGGATGGAGGGCGCGGAGATGGCGGCCAGGCCGCCAAACACGTAGGCGGCCACGCGCGGACGGCGGTAGGCCATGATGCCGATCATGGCGAGGCTGAGGGCGGGGACCGCGAAGCCAACCACGCCGGCGCCGGGGGCCTGCATGCCTGGGTCCTGCAGGTACTCTTCGGCTCGGGCCTGGATGGCCGGGGACCCGGCCGCGGGCCAGAGCTTGCGGATGTCGGGAAGGGTGGAGGCAGACACCAGCCCCACCACCGGCTGGCCCCCAGAGGATTGCCCGGCCTCCCACAACCGCCTTTGGTTTTTTGGGGGGGGAAAAAGAGGGGCAGGGGGTATGAGGGGTAAGAACACGAGGAGGGTTTCCATGCGGGATGGGGGAGAGTTGCCACACACAGCCCGAGCACATTGCTCGGCACAGCACTCCTTCAGATGGCGGCGACACGTGGGCTCCAGGGGAGAGGCATGCGCTGCGCATGGCTGAAGGCGGGAGGACAGGCGCACGATTCCCTTGCCGCCAGCAAGACAGCCACGCAGCGCGTCGCAGCATGCATGGACCGCCACTCCCTCACCCCCTCCCCTCTGTTCCAGGACCATTCCCGGACGCCACTTTGCCACACCACCAGGCCGCCCCCCCTTCCTCCCTCCTCACCTGGCCATGATGGTGGCTGTCTCCTGGTTGAGCGCCTTGAAGCTCTCGGTGAACCAGCGCGGCCGCGGCAGCTGCCCTGCCCCGCTCTCCACTTCGCTGAGCAGGGAGGAGAGGCCGTGCGCGTCGCCCGATGCGGCGTCGCGCCGCAGCCGCTCCAGCACCGTCAGGCCGCAGCCCCGCACCCGCATCACGTCCTCGCCGGAGATGGGGCCGCCCTCGGCCAGGCCTGCGTGGATGGTGGGTGGATGGGGGTGGGACAGATGCAGGCGGGGGTTGGGGGGTGGGAGGTGGGGGCCACATCGAGCCTGCTATCCTGCACAGCAGGCAGCCCTGCGGAGAGTGCATGATGTTGCCACACCTGCGCTCCCTCCACACACCCAGGCTCACCCTCTTTTAACAGGCGCTTGGCCGCAAGCAGGACCTCGTTGGGCTGCTGGCAGCCGGCCTGCGCCATCATCTCCTCGATCTTGGCCTGGACCTCAAAAGGGGTGCGGCCCAGGCCAGAGTCCTCGGCGGGTCGCTCCGGCTTGGAGCTTATCTCCCGGTGCATGAAGTCCGGGGGCCGGCCTGTGGGAGAGACGGAGTGCCGGCCATACTTGGTATTGGCTGCATAGAGCGGGCAAGCCAGCCCCTCATGCCATCTCACGGCATGGCCGCCGGCCGCCAGTGCATGGCACCGCCGGAGCATGCAAGCCACGACACCAGGCCAGCGGCTGGCCCGGCCCTTCACGAGCCCCACCCTTGGATCCCGCACCGCATGCCATCAGCATCCCCCCCCCCGCCCGCCACCGCACAGACATCCCTGCTCACCCACGTCCCGGTCGGCATCCAGCCCCCCCGCGGCCCCCGGCCTGTCGTCCATGAGGCGGCGCATGCGCGCCATGTCCGCCTGGCCCCGCCGCAGCTCCTGGTTCTGGATCTGGAGGGCGTGCGCCGCCAGCCGGGCGCGGTACAGCGCGGGGCTGCGCCCCGCAGGCTGCACCTGGGCGCCCACCTCCTGCGCAGCGCGGCGCACGGCGCGGACCTCCGCCGAGGGGTCGGAGCCCAGCAGGGCAAAGGCACTGCGCAGCACCACGCCTGTCACCATGCTGGGCAGCTGGCCGGAGAGGTAGACGCGGAGCAGGCCGGGGTAGGAGGAGGGGGCCTGCTGCGAGCCCTCCCAGCCCCTGCCCAGGCCATCCACCTTGTGGTAGGTCCCCTCATCCGTGTCCAGGACCACTGTCACGGGCTTCACGAGGCCGATGGTCTCCACTGCGTCCACTTGCGACTGCGGGGTGTTAGTCAGCATCGAGAAGTTATGGGCTGTGTATTGCGTGAGAAGGAACCCTGACTGAGGATGGGAGTCACAGGTTGCCAACCCATAATCCCAGGCAGCACCTGGGGGGAGAAGGTCAGGCCTCCGACGACATAGACCTGCAATGGCGAGGATCACGAGGTATAACGGTACGAATGTTCATCTCAATTGTATCACGTCTTCGAGTTCTTGCGTGCCCACATACCCTCCGCCAGGATCACCTGACTCCCGGAGGGGTGGTCCAGACGAACTACGGTGGGCTTTGTTCCCTCCACCGGCCCCTCCCCCTGCTCCCGCCTGTACTCCATGCTGATATCGTGTTATTCTGGATTTGAAACAAGGAAGGTGCTCGATGTTGAGGACCGCATGGCTCGCGAACGCCCCTCTCGGAAATGCTGCTCAGAATGTAGTACGTGATGTCATCACGTAACAGTGGGAACCCTTGCGCGGAGAGTTGCCAGACCCCATGATCCCGCGGCAACCTGGTCGTTGCTCCAAACGCATTGCCATTGCAACTGGCTCCGTTCATCTACATACTTAACTTGACAGAATGGCCGGAACCCCCATCAGCACACACTCTGACTTGGAGTCCGTGTACGGCGAAGGTAGGGGGCGTCACTGCTCCGGCGCATTCCCCTCAACGTGCGCTGTATGCATTGTGATGGACATCACTGTACTTCAACGTCCCTTCAGGTGCCGCTGCGGTCCGTGATCGCTACGTCGCGCTCTCGAAGGCGCACCACGCACGTTTCGGGACCAAGCCTGAGATCTTCGCACGGGCGCCCGGTACGTTGGGTGCTCATCTGGGGCAGGAGGTGCAGCCTGGAGCTTGGTGTCGTGCATTGGGTGCGAGCCCGAGGTCGTAGGCCAGGGCCCCGGGGTCCTCACCGGCAGGCGCCACCCCCACCTTCCCAGGCCGAGTGAATCTCATCGGCGAGCACATCGACTACGAGGGCTACGGCGTGCTCCCCATGGCGATCCACCTGGTGCGTGCTACGGTGCAGTGCGAGTCTGGGCTGGTGCCCAGGACGCCTGTGTGAGCCCAGGGTCGCCCGCAGCGACGCATAGTCATCGGGCTGTGGACACAGTGCACTTCGTTCCTCACCCCTCAACCCCAGTCACCCCGGCATCCATCCCTCCCCCCCCTCCCCCCCCAAAACAGGATACCATTGTGGGCGTGTCCCGTGGCGGGGCGGACCTCACCATCACAAACGTGGAGGCCCACAAGTACGGGGACCTGACCTTCAGCGCCGACCCCGACCAGACCGTGGACGTGGGCAAGCACAACTGGGGCAACTACTTCCTCGCCGCCTACAAGGGCGTCTTCGAGACGGCGGCTGCCAAGGGCCTGCCCCGCCCCGACATCTCCGGCCTGAATGTGACCATTCAGGGCACCGTCCCCACAGGTGGGTCTCTCGGTGTGTCGGGGACGGCGTCGGGTGTGTGGCGCTCGAGGCACGGGCCCGCAGTGGATTCGAGTGGGCAGCGAGACGTCGCGTGCCCCTCTTCAGCGCCGGTGTATCAAGGTCTCACCCCCATCCTCCCCTCAAATCCATTTCCCAGGCAGCGGGCTGTCCAGCTCAGCGGCCATCGTGTGTGCTGCCTCGGTGGCGCTGATGCACGTCTATGGCTTCGACTTCACCAAGGAGGCAAGCCTGGGCGTGTTGTACTGGTGCTTCATGGGAAAGCAATGGAAGGGTGTGGCCTCTTCGAGCAGGCGGCGCATGGAGATCTGTCACGTGGAGCCACTGCAGGCTCAGCGTGGCCCTGCTCGATTTGCACTCCTCACCTCCTGCCTGCCTGTCGAGCCCCCATCATGTGGCCCCCGAAAGAAGGCCCCCCCTCCAACACACACACACTTCTACTCTCCCCCTCACGCCCCCACCAATGCGCGCTGCAGGAGGTGTCGGAGTTCACGGCGCGCGCGGAGCGCTACGTCGGCGTCACCTCCGGCGGCATGGACCAGGCCATCTCCATGCTGGGCGCGCGCGGCATCGCTAAGCTCGTGGAGTTTGACCCCGTGCGCGCGCATGACGTGCCCCTGCCCGCCGGTGCGACCTTTGTCATCTGCAACTCCCTGGCCGTCAGCAACAAGGCCGAGTCGGCGACGGGGCGGTACAATCTGCGCGTGGTGGAGTGCCGCCTGGCGGCCGCCGTGCTGGCGGCGCTGCTGGGCGAGCGGCGCGAGGCCGCGCGCGCCGTGCGCACTCTCAAGCAGCTGGAGCCAGTGGTGGCGGCGCGGTACTCTGGGCCCAAGGGCTCCACCGCCGGGGCGCCCCTGGCCGCCGTGCACGAGCTGCTGCACCCCGGTGGGTTCTCGGAGGGGTGGGTGGGTGGGTGGGGGGTGCTTCCTCAGGGCGGATGCTTGGGGTGTGGGGCTGAGAGGCGTGAGTCGCGCCAGCTGGGCCGCAGGGTGCCATGTGTGGGTCTCCAGGCGCGGTTCGCGGGGAGGCAGCCCAGCTGTCGCTCAGCATGCCCAGGCCCGGGGTTTGAGCAGACTTCCCCCCTTTCCATACACGCCGCCAACAGGCACGTACAGCGCGGCGGAGGTGGAGGAGATCCTGGACGCGCCGCTGGCCTCCCTGTTCGAGGGCGACGCCTCCGCGGCCCTAGTCCTGGCCGCCTTCCGGGACTTCAAGCTGCACGACCGCGCCGCGCACGTGTACAGCGAGGCGGCTCGCGTTCCCGCTTTCCGCGACGTCTGCCTGGGCCATGGCAGCGCCGACGAGAAGATCGCGGCCCTGGGCAAGCTCATGGACGACAGCCAGGCCAGCTGCAGGTTGGTGTGAAGAGGTTTGGAGGGAAGGAGGGGCTGGGGTCCAGAGGTTAGGAGGGGGGGGAGGGGCTGGGGGTGTGTCAGGGAGGTACAAATGGCAGCGTGGATGGGGGTTGGGGCATTCATGGGTTCGTGGTGCTGGCTCTCCTGGGAAATGACACAAGCGAGGACATGCCACTTGCAGGGGAATTGTGGTGTTTTGATGATGATGAGGATGGCACTCCTTTACTGGAAGACCCCCCTGCTCGACGCGGCCCCACAACACACTCAGCCTCTCCACCCTCCATCTACGATGCGTGCGACAGGGATCTGTACGAGTGCTCATGCAAGGAGCTGGACCAGGTGGTGGCGCTGGCCAAGGCCAACGGCGCCATAGGCTCGCGCCTGACGGGGGCCGGGTGGGGCGGGTGCACTGTGTCCCTGGTGAAGGACGAGGATGTGGATGCCTTCCTGAGGGTGGTAAGATGCAGGGGAGGTATTTGGCTGGCGATGGAGGGGCTGCAGGGGATGTGGAAGGGTTGTGTTTGGGGGGTCGGGGAGAAGGAATGGCAGGCGGCGGCTGCGGATGGAGTTGCAGCTGGCCTGATGCGCGCAGTGCGAGGTACCGATTCCTCGTCGGTGCTGCTCGCCATCATCTCGCCGCCTGCTGAAGCACCTGCTGACAGCCGCACCTCGCCTGCCGGTGCAGCTGACGGAGGAGTACGTGCGCCCGCTGATCGCCGAGGGCCGCCTGACCGAGGAGACCCTGTCGGACAACATCTTCGCCTCCAAGCCGTCCAGCGGCGCGGCCCTGCTCAAGCTGGACCTGTGAGTGGGTGCAAATGATTCCAGGGGGAAGACCCGGCAATCCTGGAGGCCTTACAGAGGAGGAGAAATGAACTCAAAGACTGGCCGTCGGGGTCGCAGATGGGGAAATGATGAATCAGACACTCCAGAATGATATTCCTGACTGTATGACGCCCTGCAGCCCATCGCCTGTCCCATGCAAGCGCTTGTCACAACTAAGGTTCGACCGAGTCATGTTCGAGTGGGGCATCGAGATGCACAGGTTGTGCAAAGGGAGTTTGAGGGAGGCACCACTCAGTGCCTGCTGCCCCAAACAATCTGCACAAGTCTTCGCGCCCTCTCTAAACCGTTCAAACTCACGCATTCGCACAGAGTCGCAGGCAATCAGATGCCGGGAGAACTCGGTGCACGCTATTGAGAACTTTGGTACCATAAGTCACACAGGGCTCCTTAGCATGGCCACGGGTGTCCTCGAGCAGGTGGTGCTGGCCTTCTCGGCCCAGATATCGGAGCTCCAGCAAGCCACGCTTCTGCGCGCCGATGGTGCGTTACCTTGCTCATGACGGGACACTGCGTGTGTGATCGTCATGGAATTTTTATTGAACACACTCATATATGTCTCTTTCAATACCCTCCTCCCCCCCGCCCAGATGCCAGTGCCGCCCTGTACAAGGATGATCTGGTGGCCCTGGAGTCCCGAGTGCGGGAGCTGGAGGGCAGGGTGCGGGGTGTAAGGGAGCAGCTGGCCAGGGACCGGGCCGCCCTCCCCGCCGCCCAGGCCGTGATCCGGGCGGCTACTCTGCAGCAACGGCAGCTGGAGCATGTTGAGGCCTGCCTGCCCACCTTCCTCCCCTCCCTCCCGCCCACCCCCCCGGTGCACGGCGGTGGGGGTGACACGGTCCACGCCGAGCCCGCCCGTCGCCCCCGCGCCCCTGGCCAGGAGAACTGCGCCGAGCCCAACGCCGTTCCGAGGTGAACACGCTGGGAAGAGAGGGACAGCCTGCCGATCGCCTGGCACGTGGGCGCGGAGGTGGTCTTGCACGCCTCAGGCATGCGCCCTTGATATCGTGGATCGCGTCGGGGCCGGCGAGCTGGCGGCCCCTCATGTGCCAGGCCGCACTCCCACACTCCACCCATGCACATCGCAGGTACATCAGCAGCGCCGAACTGGAGTCGCTGTCGTCCTACATGCGCGGCCGCCTGACCGCGGACCGCGTGAACCAGTCGCTGGACGAGCTGGCGGCGCACGCGGCACGCAATGCCGCGCTGGTCCTGGCCGCGAGGCGGGGGCGGGTGGCGGGCGCGGACAAGAGGCACGGCATGTGGCTGGCCTACTCTGTCGCGGTGATGGAAGGAGGGGTTGGCCCTGCCGGGGTCGCCGAGGGGGCTGACCGCACCCTCGATGAGGGCATGGGGATGTCTGCTGGTCGCCTGGCATGGGGTGCTGCGACTGCATGAGGTGCTCTGTGAACTCATGGCCCTCTGCGCTGCTAGCTGACCACCACATCCCTCGTGTCTCACACCCGCGGCGGCAGATCAAGGAGCCCCTGCGTGGCCAGCGCTGGGTCCTGGAGTCCGACCTGAAGACAGGCAACGCCCTGAAGCTGGACAAGAGCGGGAAGGCCATCCTCACTGTTCTGCGACACCTGGGACGAATCTCCGAGGCCCGGGTGTCGGTGGAGGGGACCACCCTCCTGGCCATCCTCCTGCAGGACTGACGCCGCACAGGGTGTGCGGTGAGGCTTGGACCCTCCTTTGCCCCATGGCAAGCGGCAGCATCCTTCTCACGGGCATCCCCGGGCCCACCTGCCTTGCCACACTTGGGAGCAGTGGTGCCGCCAGAGACTGCAGCAGACCGGCTGCCCTGTCTGCTGCCGAGATGACCTCCCATGCGCCCAGGGTCGACATGCCTGGTTGTGTGCGTGCCTTGCATACCTGTGGGCAACCGCCCGCGCCCCCTGCACGCCTCCAGTCCTCCAGTCCCTCCCTTGCCGCACCCCTTCCCCCCCCTCTGTCCAAAGCAAGCACGTGGGTTGTTACACCGCTGCCCCACACAGCCTGGCACGCGGCGCACACTTCACTCCAGCAGCAGCGCAAAGGGGGTGAGCTTGACGGAGGCCGCCACCAGGTCCATCTGTCGCTGGCCCTCGGGCGTGATCTTGCGACCGCCCTTCTCGGTGTTGGTCTTCTCTACCAGGCCCAGGGCCTCCAGCTGCTGCAGCGCATGGCGAACCACGCCGCCGGCGGCCTTGGCAAAGTGCTCTGTGGTGTGAATCGTGGGGAGGGGCCAGTGATCAGCAGGCAGGGTTGTGGTGGTGGGAAGGGGGGGAGGGGTCAGCAAGAACATGCACACCATCATGGGCACTGCCAAGCTATAATTTCCCTATGAAACGCCTCAGCAGCGGCATGCACAACAACTAGGAGCGACTGCCGTTGCGCCAGCCTCGTTCCACCCTCCACATACCGGGGGCGACGCTGCCCTTGGCGTTGGATCGACCGCCAAAGATCCTGCGGAAGGCACCCACGCCCAGACCCTGCCTGATGTACACGCGGCGAGCGATGGCAGCTGCATGATTAGGGATGAGAACAGGCTTTGACTTAAGTGATGATCTCGGGGGTGCCTCGTCGGTCCAACAGCAATGAGATATCTAGCACGCGCCCAGCGCCCAACGCCCACCGGCCAGTGCCCAACATCGCTCAAGCAGAAAGACAGACTCCACAGCAGGCAGCCTCTGGGAGGCCTCCATACTCCATCCGAGGCCCGGCAGCCATTTTCATCCAACGGCTTGGCGCACCTGCGCGGACGTAGTACCAGTCGGCATCGTAGGGGGCCAGCTCCTTGAAGGATCCGGTCTTCATGATGTCAACGCTGGCGGGCAGCTGGATCTGCAGGGGCGAGGGGGAGGCATTCCAAAATCAACACAAGGGTATGCATATCCCAATGGTCCGGCATTCGCGGCTTCGTCGCCAGAGTGCCTGCATGTGGTCTCCGGGAGGTGGCTCGACAGCACTCCCCGGCCACCGCCAGGAGCCCGCTGCGGCTAAGCCGATAGGTCCCAGTCAATCGCCGAGTATATCCAGCCTTTTAGCAACGCCCACCTTGCCGGTCTTCTTCAGGTAAGCGGAGAAGGCCTTGATGAACTCGTCGGCGGGCACATCCTTCACGGACTTGGGGCCGGAACGGCGCTCCTCGACAACCTCCGCCATATTGTCGAGCCTGAATGGTGGACACTCAAGCTTGAAAGGGGTGGACCAGGGGCCCTGCCAGCGTCTCACACCCCCTGCACCTCAGTCGCCTTGCGGCCGGGGTCTATTCTTTCTACCTGGTAATGTTCGCCTTCCCGCGCGTTTGGGAGTGGTTGACCTGTCCCTATTCGCCGATCTGAACTGGTACTATAAGCGATGCATTCGCGCGAATGTGATCCTTCATCGCGAAACTCCACTGCCCGGTCAGGGGTATGTGGTGCTACGCCCCAAACCATCTGGGAATAATTGCACCTAGCATTCGACGGCCGGGGCGGTGCCCAAGCTCAGCGGGGTGTGCAGGCCGTGGGCACTGCAGCCAGCCATGATCATCACTCAGTACAATACAACTGGATATTCCCGATGAGGGACGACATCGCTTGAAGAACGGAAGTATGCAGCATCGTCTGAGTTGTGGCAACAGGACATAATACTGACATGTCAGCAAAGACCAGCCAAGCCGAACAAGGCGGAGGGTCAGAGGAGCCACGAGGGGTGGAGGCAATGGAACAGAAGGACAATCCAGAGGAGGTGGATGCTCGAGAGGAGGGCACCCGCTTCCGCCTTGCCGTCCAGCTGGCTCGTCAGAAGTCCTTGATTGCAGAGCTGGCTCCCCAGGTCGAGCACACCGGGCGAGGCCGCCTGACACAGCTCCGGGAGGAACGCCTCAAGTCCCACGTCGGTCCAGTGCTGGGGTGGTATGGTGAACGGACAGCCCTGCGCCTCAAGGCCCTTGAGGTGGGCGCAGATCCGCAGAGGGTTGGGGTCAGCCGGTCCTGCAGCCCAGTGCATTGCACCGTAAGGGCTTCATCACCACAGGCAAGAGAGCCACGCCGGCTGAGTCCAGCCCACACTTCTCCCAGCTCCCAGGGGATGAGTGCTGCCATTCAGGAGTGCCGGCTGGAGGTCGAGTCTGCCAGGCAGCGGCATGAGCGGTGCCTGCAAGACCAAGCAGCGGCCCAGGAGAGCCGACTGGGTCAGTGGGCTCGCCACGCCATGGCCGCCGTCTCCCACGCTGCTGCGCACCATGCCAGGTGTGGGATGAAAGGTTGAGAGGTGTCGGGCAGCGGAGGATGGAGGGAGTGCTCCCGGGGCCGGCGGGAGTGATTGAACACAGGACGATGCCACTCCACAAGCGAAACCTGACGAGCTGAGATCTGGATTCCATGAGAGGAGGCCTTGGACGACCAGGATCCCTCCGTGCATCCTCACCGCCGCTCTGGCCCCATCCCCTCGCAGCGCGCGGGAGGCGGCCCTGGCCTACAGCCTGGCGCAGCAGGACGTCCGCAGCGCAGCTGCGGTGGCACAGTGCGTGGAGCGTGAGGCCTGCATGGCGGCCATCGTCGCCGAGCGCGAGCTGGCTCTGGCAAGGGCCGCAGAGGCGGGGGAGCGGCGGCACGCCACTGCTCGCGTCCTCTTGGAGCAGGAGATAGGCAGGGTGGCTGTCAGGCGACGGAAGCTGGTTCAGGTGGGGATACAGGAGGCACTGCGGGGGGCGCCAGCCTTCAGTGCTGGTCTGGGCCATGCATGTCTCAGATAAGGCCTGCCTTCGGCTAGTTCACCACTGTGATTCAACCCCTGGCCGGCCCACCATCTGCCTCCTCTTCCCGCATCCACCAAGCCCCAGCCAGTTCCACCTGCTGTCCACTTCAATCCTCAGTTTGCTGCCTCGTCCTGACGCCCCACATTTTCCCCCTCGACCACACCACGAGTCCAGGAGGAGGAGACGGCGGCGGCCTCACGGGCTGCGGTCCTGACCAGAGCCGCCAAGCGCCACGATGCAGCCAAGCTTTTCACAGACAAGGCAGAGGCACGCCTGCATGAGCTCCAAGCGGCGGCATCTCGCTTGGATCTAGGCCCCGGCGGTGCCGGCACGGGGGCTGCACTGCGTGTGCTGAGTGCTGAAGTCGCTGAGAGGCGTACCCAGGTGCAGGCCCTCCTGCTGACGAGGAACGCGCTCGGTGCGAGGCTGACAGACATGCGTCGCCGGCATGAGCGGGCAATCGCTCGGTTCTGTGAGCGCTGGTGAGCCTGGCGCTGGAGCTAGGGCGGTACAGATGGAAGTTTGGGCTGCATGGGTGTTGGTCAAGAATGCCAGGACTTGTGCAGATGGATGCTCGAGTCAAACCCTCACCCTCATGCTCTCATGCCCCACAGTGACTCCATGGAGAGAGACCTGAAAGCCTGGGTGTCGATGCTGCAGAGATTGTGCAGAGGGGTCAGATTGGAGCAGGACAACCTGGTTTTTGCCCTCCTGTGCACCTCGCTGGCATCTGAGATGCAGGGCAGGGTCCTGAGCTGGCGCGGCGTGGGGGCCGATGGCCAAGGTGGTCATCACAGCCTCGATTCCCAGGAGTCCCGGGTGCCGGTCGACCGGAGCACACCCTGTATGCCCATTGTGGCTGGAGAGGGGCCTACAGCTTGATGCATACAGTCGTTTCCTGCTGTAGTGTGATCCTCTATTGGGCGAGGTTCTGCATGCAAGCCGGACGGCCTGACGCAGACCATCAGGCAAATTCATGTTACATCAGTCGGTATCAGCGCTGCCAAGGGCTTCAAGGGTGTAGAACATCAGGGAAAGGGGTAAGTGGGAGTGTCAGATACATCATGAAAGGGTCCACTCATGGGCCGCTTTGTCATCATGAGCAAAGCAGACGATGTGGCGGCAATGCATGCGCAGCTCCAGGTATGCATCCGTCCGAGACAGATAGCCTGGGAATTCCTTCTGCCAAATTGCGTTAACCCCCACGCTCCCTATCGTGGCTCCCGCCCGCATGCGGCAGCACGCTCTCGCCAGCCCGGTCGTCCACAGCGGCAGTAGAGTGGCTGTGCTGCAGGCGCCGCGCCATCTTGCGCAGCAGGGCCAGCAGGTGGTCTGGCATGTGATCTGGGCATGAGAGAGAGGGAAACGAAGGCGTCATCTTGGTGTGGGCATGCATGAAGGCGAGCAAGCCGAGTCACGAGAGGCTTGCGCACCGCCGCCCCCCAGCGGACACCTCACCCACACATCTCGTGGGTGCGTGGGAGAACAGCACCGTCCTACTTTCTTCCCTCCGCACCTGCCATCATGCGGCCCGAGAGGATGATGCCCTCGCTGCTGAGATCCTCGGCATCGATCCACACCGCGCGGTACTCGTGGGAGCGTCCGGGGCGCCAGCCCTTGCGCGGCGCCGACCCCACCGACTGCAGCCACATCACCTGGCCTGGGGGTATGGTTTTGAGGGGGCGTCTATCAACGGATGTGAGGGCCATATTGCTGAGCTTTGCAGGTTTGGAGGGTCCACACCGAGGCCCTGATCGCTCACTAGCCACCGCAAGGCAATGGCAAGCGGGAACAGGCTCAGCTCCCTTCCTCATCCCCTCGAGGTCCCCCCTCCACACACAGAGACATACACACCCGGCGCCGCAAAGCTGGAGGCGTGGTCGTAGAAGCTGTCCTCCAGCTCCCCCCGCCGCGCCAGGCTCTTGCGGTACTCGTTCAGCACGGGCCGCGCGTGCGGCGGCACCTCTGGTAGCACCAGGTCGGCCTCGGTCCAGGCTCGCCGGCGGAGCACGCCCCAGCCAAAGGCCAGCTTGGGCAGGCGGCAGCGCAGCGCGGCCAGCACCATCTCATCCCTCAGACGGTCGAAGCTCTGGGCGGTGAGGCGCGGGATCCACTCCTTGCCGCACACCACGGTGGTGCACCAGGCCTTGGCGCTGGCTCCCACCGAGGCGCTGGCCAAACCCCCGGGGGGCGAGAAGGCCCAGCACCTGCGGTGGCGTGTTGGGGGTGGAGGTTACTTCCGCGAGGGAATGGGCGTGTGGAGGTGAGAGCTGAGGGGATGATAGACTGGGAGGGGCCCAGCGGGGGAAAACAGGCGCATTGCACATCGATGCGTGTGACATTTCTGGGCAGACTGAAGAGCTCATCGCCCAGTCCCCTCCTTGCCGTGGACAAGTCCCCTCTCCTGGGGGCCCCCTCTTCGGCGCCTCACTTGAGCCCCGGGCAGATGGACTGGCTCAGGTAGAGGCCGACCAGGAAGGCGCAGCCGGCGCCCAGCGAGTGCCCCGTCACCACCAGCTGCCAGCCCCGGTGCGTAGCCTCCGGGCCCAGCAGCGTGCTCCACAGGTACCCAGATTCCTGGGAAAGGAGGGCAAGCGAGAAGGTATGGTCTGTCTGGCTGTCAGGCGCCCAGCATGGGAGACTGAACCGGGCAGGCCTGTCAATGACCAGACCCCGCAGAGACCGCCGCCAGGGAATGTAAGCCTAGCAGCAGGACACTTCCCAGACAGGCACCACTCGGTCCCCGTCGGCAAACCTGCAGATCCATGAGTGTAGCCCGAGCGGCCTCCAGGATGCCGGCATGCCCCGAGGCCTCGGTGTTTCTTTCTGTGGCGGCGACGGGGACCGGTGGGGGGGCAAGGAATCGAGTGGCCATTCGTCCAACGCGGCAGGGCTCCAGAACGGGGCCGAAGACCCGCAGCATCAGTGGTCCGGCCCAGGTGTGTACCGGGACAGGCAGCACTTGCCGTGGCCTCTACCTGGTCGACTGCCTCTGTTGGTCCAACCCTCAAAATCACCCAACTAAAAACACAAACCCCAAAGCATTGCCCCACCGGCCATGGCGATCTCAGGGATCACCCCGTGCCACTCCTTGCCCGACGATATCCAGCTGTCCAGAGAGGCGGGCTCGATGAGCAGGTCACGCACCACGTCGTCCAGGCTCAGCGAGCCGCGGATAGCCAGCACCACCGTCTGCATTGCGTGGTCCAGGGCCAGGAAGTAAGGCAGGACATTGGGCTTCTCCGCCTCGTACCTCACGAAGAGCAGGTCCTCCGTCGAGAGGCCGGCGGCCTGTATGAAGAGGGGATTCATGGTGCTTCGCGTAATGTTGTGCTGAGTGTGGGAGAATGCACATTCGGGCACGATGAAGATGCCTCGGCGTGTTCATCCAGGCCGACTCATCTGCATAGCTGGTTGAAGCCAGTCAAGCAGTGCATCGGTACCCCCACAGAGTCCGCCCTCCCTCCATTCGCTGTATCTATATCACCCAACCCAGAGAGCTGCACCCAACACCCCCCTTGGTCCACATCCCCGCTCCAGACCTGCAGCGTCGCCTCGCGGTTGAGGTTGGTGATCACGCGCAGGTCTGGCAGGACCCCCCTCGACGGCCGCAGCATGTTCATCGCCAGCCCACAGCTCCGCCCGCAGCACAGCTCCAGCACGCCCGTTCTGAAAGGCAAGGGGCAATTATTGCAGGGAATCCCTATCAGCTGATGCACTGTTCAACCCGCCTGCCGCAGCTAGAGGAAGGCTCCCAGGATGCAGAGCTCAGCGAGCTCCCTCGTCATCCTGTGGACATTTCGGCGTTGGTCCACACAAGATGCAAGCCCTCCTCTGCCCCACCCCACTCACGCTGGCTTGCCCCACAGGTAGAGGAGGTAGCCGTATGCAGCAAAGGCATAGGACATGTAATGGGAGGCCTCCTGCAGCGTCTCCGCATCGACGCGCAAACGCTGCCCCTGCAGACCGGCCTCCTCATCTGCAGCAGCCAGCCCCTCGTCGTCGCTGCCTGCATGAAGTCGCAATGAATGATGCATGGATCCTCTGCTGCCTGGCAGGGTCTGCACAGGCCATGACACAGGACCAGCTCCTCTGCAAGTGGGCACTGCTTCAGAGCAAAGTCAATCTGACCCCTGCTGCACACATCCAAGACCGCTTCAGTTGGTGGCGACGAGTCGTGCCCGAGTCATCCAAACCCCACCCCCTGATCACCTTCCGAGTCGGACCAGGGCGAGGGGCCGGCACCAGAGCCAGGGCTCCCCCCTCCGACCCCAGTGGGAGCCGCGCTGGCCCCTTGAAACCGGGGTCCAATCCCCCCCTCCCCCGTCCCGTGTCCCATCCATCAGCGGCGCCCCCGCCCCCGATGACGAGGGGCTCGGGGCCCGGTAGGGCTCTGCGCCAGGCAATGCAGCCGCGGTCATCTGCAGCGACCCTGCCCGGGCGGCCCGGGCACTGCCCCGCCGCCTGAGCTTCTGCAGGGTCATGGCAAGCGCAAAGGAGACCACGATGTCCGAGGCGGTCATGTCGATGTGCCCAAACATCTGCGTCAGATGGGGAGAAATGGGGTTTACTGGGGTTGTGGAGTATGGAGTGGCCCGGTGATCAAGGAACACTGACGTGGGAGGGATCAAGATCCCCTGCGCCATGTCCCTCATGTCAGGACCCAGCCCTCCCACGGCCACCGCCCCACCAGCGCAAAGATGCGCCCCAGCCGGGCGGCGAGGTCCTCGCGCCGCCCTTTCTCGTGGTTGCTGATGCAGCAGAAGCAGCAGTGGGCCATGGCGGACCAGCGCCTCTCCCAGGACTCTACGGCCTTGTAGTCCGGGTAAAGGTTGTAGGTCAGGGCCAGCAGCAGCAGGGAGCCCGCCAGCACCGCCCACGTCGACCACACCAGGCCCTGCGCAGGATAGGAGCTTGGCATGGCCGAGTGGGGCAAAGGTGAAGGTCGGATCTGACCCAGGAAGCGCAGCGAGGGGCGCCATGTGCCATGGTTGGCAGTGGCCGGCACTCGTCTAGCCTCGAGCAGCCAGAAATCCCCACCAACACATTCAGGCAGACCAAGCTGCGCCTGAGCGGCCGGCCCATCACCCACCCACCTTGAGGACCTGGGCGGGTTGCCAGAGCTCCCCCGGCTCCACCTCACACTGGGGTGGCTCCGTGTACAGGAGCCTCGTGCAGTAGGCTGCAGCGCTTGGGAGACTGGGATGAGGTGAGCCGCCGAGGAGGATACATGCAGATCACTGCATCGCGGTCTCCAATCATCTCGACTGGCAGACACCCTGACCTCGCACTGAACCTCTCAAACTCCTGCTGCTCACCGTTGAAGGCAATCTGCCCTGTCACGGCCACGATGTCGAGGTAGATGAGCAGGGGCAGCCTCCTCCGCTTGCTGGTCTCAAAGATCGAACCGCGGAGACCGATGATGGTCATTGCAGTCTCCAGGGCAAAGGAGGCAAGGAAGAAGCCCAACAGGCCCCCCGCCGCCACATTGTACTGCCATGCGCCAGTGCACTCCTTCGGGCCATGGATGCTGATCAGCCAGCCCACCAGCAGTCCACACCAGATCTATGTGTGGTGGAGGCAGCGCTTACAGAGTTGGGACCAGCTGCAAACAGGCATGCTGGCAGTCATGCCTCCGACACACCATGCCATACTAACGCTATGGTACTCACAAACCGGAAAATGGCTAGGAAACCGGCGGGAATCGGGATGTCGTCGCTTGCAATGAGCCAACGACGCCCAAACACGCGAAGAGCAGGCATGTGTGGGGGCTGTGGGATAGGCGACTCCTCCCTGTCAACGCACTGTCGGACACGACAAGGACGCAGACGCGGTCGACACCGCCAAGCACATGCTGGTCCCCTTCCAAGAACGCGGCATAGACATCAACGTCGGCCTGAGTAAAGTGCATGGGGCGTTGTACCCTGTCCAGCAGAAGTGCACCCTGAAGGAAGTGATCCAAGCTCCTGGTCGTCACGAGCCCTTCTCGCGCCCTCGAGGCAGGAAAGCATCCGCACCACACCCCGTTCCTGAATCCTCTCTACGATGGGGAGGCGGGGTGACGAACCCAATGCATAGCCAGGCGAGAATGTTTGGAGATTACCCCTGACTGGTGTCCAGTCCCCGAGCGGCTCGGCGCGATACACAGGAATGGCAGCACTGCCGCGCCTCGCGCTGCGTGCTTGCAGCCATGCCACACATAGGCTGCAGGTATGCGATGTTATCCAGGAACATTCCATGTAATAATACTGCAATTCTCGCGCAATACTCCCCCCACTCCCCTCCACTCCAATATGTGCAGGGTGCGCCACCGTGCTCTGCACCCGCAGCTTTCACCTCCCTCCTGAGGCTTGCCCAGCATGCTACATGTCCGTCTGGCTCCTACCAACCCACCCGCGGGTACGCTGGCCAGGAATACCTGGCAAACAAATTTCCCAAGGGCGCCTTTGCCGCCAGCCAGACGCTTGGTCGCCCCGCTGGGTTCAGGCCCTCCGTGGTCACCTCTGATCACGTCTTCGATCCGTACCAGGTGACCCAGCGCGTGGTGGCTGTGGGTATCTGTTACCTGGATGAGTTCATGAGGGCTGCGATTGCTTAAGATCGACCATGCCAGCATGGTCGTTTCTGCACAGGGATGCGCCAGCCCATACCCGCCCCTCGTCAGCACACACCCTTCCCTCGCGCAGGGGGTGCCCAGTGGCCTCAGCGCCGCCACCATGCTGACACCCAAGGGTCTGAAGTACCTGTGGCGACGAGCCAAGGGCTCGGCGCAGAACGTGTATGCGCTGGCCATGGCCCACAAGTACGCAAAGCCCTTCAAGATGCCGCTCTTCAAGCAGGAGGCGCTGCGGCTGTACGAGGAGGTCAACACGCATGTGGCTGCGGGTGACCGACGAGCGCTCATTGCTGTGAGTCCCTGGCCCGGCCCGGGCTGCATGCTTGGGGTCTGGGTGCCTGGGTGCCTGGGTGCTGCTCTGTCCCGAGTCAACAACCAGGCTGGTGACCCTGTGCGGCGACCATCCTCCTCAAGCAAATGCCTGATACCACACCTGCTTCAACTCCATCACCCACCACTGCAGCTGACGGCGCCCAACGTGAACACGACCTTCAAGCGGCAGATCAAGGCCAGGGAGGATGCAGGCTGGACTCGCGTGGAGTGGGCACTCGTCAACCGGCCGACAGCGGAGAACCTGTCGGTGGTACAGGGGCGTGCAGCCATGGGAGACCCCAAGGTATGTAATTTCGGTTTGGGTATGGAAGGTGGCCCATTCTTGCAATGCACTGCACTGGATGAGGGGACCGAGGGGCTCTCAAGCGGGTTGCAGGCCCTGGCTTGCTCTGATTGACATCTAGGAGCTGGCGAGGTGTGAATGTCAGGCAATACAGGCCACACTCTCCCCCCCAAAAACACACAATACTTCTCCTAACATTCTAGCATCCCGACACCCCACCCCCAATCCTCGCAGGACCCAAACACCGGTTTTGTCCAGTTCACGATACGCTTCAACACCAAGCAGCGGTTCCGCGCTTTCTCAAAGTCCGGCGCGGTCGTGGCGGGCGGGCCCGACCCCGTGGACGTGGAGGAGCTGTGGGTGGTGGAGCACCCCTTCAAGAAGCAGGAGACCAACCGGTGGCGACTGGTGGGCAAGCTGATGCCCGTGCCGGGGACAAAGGAGTACACGTCCTCAGCCCCCGTGATCACGAGCGAGTCGCTGCGGCAGCACAAGGCCGCGCAGCAGGCCTGAGGCTGAGCGAGGCTGCGGGGAAAGGGGCTGGGACACGCTTTCCTCCTTGCGTTTATGTGAGGAGTCCATCTTGCCTGTGTCTGTTCTTTACAGCCCCTGCACGCCTGACTGGGCTCCTGCTCAGCCGACCAAGCGTCATGTGCGCTGGCAATCTGTTATGCAGACTGCACCAGACGCCCAACAACAGGCAGGGTGCGGTCATGGCAGGTTCACTCGACGGTCAGGATGCCCCGCTCCTTCATCCACTCCAGCACATTGTCAGTCTGCGCGGGCAGGGAAGGGGGTCACAGGCCAGTACTTGGGCGAATAAGCTGCAGGGGATGCTGCAGGGACAGGACGGTGGATCCTAGTCTGTACATGCATCGTCATCTGCATTGCACCTGTGCCATGACATCGTCCTCCCCTTCCAACTCATTGCTGTAACTCCAGGTAGAAAATGGAGTCATGGCAAGCCCCCCCCTCTAACAAACGTACGATGAGGAACTCTGTGATGTGCTCCCTGACATTGGGGTCCTGCAGCGGCTGGCTCTGCTCGCCCAGCTCACCAGCCACCCGCTCGTACCGCGCCTAAGGGGGAAGAAAGCGAGGAGGATGCGGTGATGAGGATTCGTCACAGGCCTGCCCGCCCCGAGTCACAATTCTCCCGAGGACGGTGCCCCCCTCCCGCCCATGCAAGCGCAAGCATCTGCCACCTCGTAGCAGCAATCACTTTGCGTCGCCACTCTACCTGGACGTCTTTCTCAGACGGCAGCAGCTCCTCGCTCTCCGCTATGTGCTCCAGTCCGACCTGAGACCTCAGCGCCTCCTCCACCTCGGCCCGGTTATTCTTTGCAAAGTCCGTAGCCTGGGAAAGGGAGGGACACGAGGGGATTATTTTGGGCGTTGTTGAACCATAGTTGAGGCGTGCAGGGGTGCTCACAGCAGTACAGTTGGAACATGCTCGCCAGAGACCAGACCCTCCGCGCTTCATTGGAGACAGGCAGCCTGTTGCTGGCATACTTTCACGCATCCAGTATGCCTGCACCCCGTGCTCCCGTCGTCAGTGAGCGGAGCACCGGCATCAGCCCCTGAGGTATCCCCCCTTTGCTCCCCGCACGTTGTCCTGGGAGCTGAGGGCCGACACCTGGGCGGCACTGAGCACGCCCTCGTCATGCAGGTCGCGCAGGCGGCACTGCAGCAGACGCATGGCCACGCCCCTCACCAGGTACTCCGGGCAGCCGCACTCCATGTTTGCCGCCACTGGCAGGGTGGGTGAGGGGGGGTGATGTAAGGGGGGGAGAAGGCAATGGCCGTACATCGCCTGTGTACCGGCGGACGATATGAACCTGGCCCATCTTTGGCCCCTCTTGGGCTACCAGGGCCGTTCCAGGCACAGCAAGCCTGCGCCGCCCTCCAGCCACTGCCCCTCCAGCACCGCCACTCACCCGCTTTCTTCACCGACTCCAGCTCCAGACGGTGTGTGGCCAGCTCTGCCTCCCCCTCCACCGCCTGGCTGAGGTAGGAGCGCAGCGTCTTCAGGTCCATGGGTTGCCCGGGCGCCAAGCTGGCCGCCCAGGCGTCGTCCAGCTGTGAGGGTTAGAAGGCGGGAGGGGAGTTTGTCAATATCCAAAAGAAGGGCTCCCTTTGGGATCTCCAGGCGGAGCCCGACACGAGTACAGCCTGGCGCTGCGGGACACCCTGTGCCCTTGCCCATCCCCCGTGCTGGAGGAAAGGGAACATGCACCTCGATACCAGCTCAGCATAGGCCGCTGGTCCCTGCCTTCCCTCCCTCCTCGATCCAGCAACTGCTGGGAATCCCTGTCACCCCCCACCTCGACAGGTCGCCGCTCAAAGAGCTCCTTGAGGTGCAGCTGGAGGGAGGCGGTCCTCCCCCGCCACTCCACAGGGAAGAAGTCCGTGCTGGTGGGGAGGGTGAGGGTGCACGCCTTCTGCTCCCCCGCCTTCATGCCCTCAAGAGCCTGGATGAGCCCTGTTGGTCAGTGGAGGGCGGCCCAGAGGGGGAGGACCGGATGAGCAGTCAGGGTCAGCGGTGTGTGTGAGGCGTTCAGCTCATGCACGGCGGCATGCAGCGACACATGCCGGAGGCACCCGCACCCTTACTTGCAGGACCTCCTCCAGGCCACATCATCATCCTGCTCATGCAGACTCCGGCCCACCAGGAAAGTAGGCGTCAAAGGCATCGTTGCCCGTCTCCAGCCGCAGGTCGCTCCAGACCGAGTCGGGCGGGGTGGGGGCCTCATCGTCCTCAAACGTGGCGGCCAGGGACAACATGGCGCTGTCCCCGCGCTGCAAGCAAGGAAATAGGGACAAGGGTGTGAGAGGGAGTGTCCAGGAGGATGCATGCGAAGCTGGATTCCCACAAAGCAGAAGCCAAGCGCCCTGTTTTTTCCGCGCCTGAATGGGATGCTCCTTCTAGCACCAGCCTGACATTCGCAACACCAGTTTATCGATTCCTTCTTTCTACCTCTCACCTGCAGGCCCCTGCCAATCACAATCCCAAGCATGGCCCTCTCCTTGGCCAGACTCTCCAGACGCTCCTGCACCGCCTCCGGCCCAGGTTTGACCTTTTGCACCTTGACCTGTGTTGCCGGGAGGACAAGGCATTCTCGTCACAGAGAGGGGGCGGGGGCAGGTTCCAGGGCACGCAAGGATGCAGATGCAGGCGGAGCAGCTCTGGTGATGTATCCCCAACAGGATTGTGCGGTGGCTTGCAGTCACAAAGCGCCCTTCAAACATCCTCTGACCCATAGTCGCACCTGTAGATCCCGGTAGGGGACGGTCCAGACAGGCTTGGGCGCAGGCTCGAAGGAGACGTTGACCAGCATGTCCCCGGACTCGGTGTAGTCCACCCCCAGCAGCTCCGATCCAGGGTCAAACTGCCAGGCATGCCTGTCAGGCATGAACTTCTCGGCGGCCTGGCGGTGGGACGGCAGAGAGGTTGGCGAGTCCAGGACGTGTGCCGGCAAGCAGGCATCCACTCCATCTGATGCGCTCCCAGTTGCAGTTCGGCTGGCCATCCAGGTGCGTCCACAGACTGCCGCCATGCCCCGCCCCATTGTCGCCCCACTCCCCACCCCTACCACCATCACCTCTGCGATGGCGCAGGACACCGTCTGATTCAACACCATGCTCTGCACCGCGTCTTCGCCACCCAGCTGCTCGATGATCGCCGAGTCGGGAGCCTGGACGCGCAAATATAGAGGCGGGGAAGGTCGAGCCAGAGAACATTGTGAGCGTGCTGACCTATCAATATCCTCGTGATGCCACTGGGTGACATGTCCGGGCGTCCTACTCCAATCACTGTGCAAACGCACAGCCTTACACTCCCCATCCCCTCACCCCGCACCTTGCCGATGGCGTGCCCCTCAACCTTCAGCTTCTGCCTGAACTCCGCCATGGTGTCCTCATAGCACAGCTGCCCATGCCGCCTTGGCACCATGATTTCCAGCTGCCTCCGGCCGTCTGGCAGATCCTTGTGCGTGTACTTGAGCTGCATGGGCCAGTGAAGACGCACGTCATGGCTCGAGATGGGCAGAGCCGGCGTCGAGGGTGGTTACCGGAATGATCATATGAGTAGGAGGAGGGGTGGGCCCGGGCTGAGCTCCAGCCAGCACCCCACCTTCACCACCATGCCCTGTGCCGATCCTCCCTCTCATCGATACCTGCATGGAATCCTCCTTCTTTGCGCGCCGGGACTTGCTGGGCGCCTTTCCTGGGGCCCGGATGGTAGGCGCGCTGCCAAAGCCACGAGATGTGGCCACCTGGGGGCAGGGATGGGTGGCAAAAGTGCTGGGAACAGGCGAGGCCATCATGGGGGGCGCCCCATTATCTCCTGCGGACGCCCACCTGCACAGAGGGTCTCGAGGCTGGTTGGCGCATGTGCCCGTGTGTCAGTGAAGGTCTTTTGGTCGTGAAGGCTCCATGGGAGCATCGCCACCCACTCTGGCCAGCTGGCACCTGCGCCCTCGTCGCCATGCGCGAATCGCACACCGAGGCCTGCATTATTGGTGAATATAGGGCTCTAATTTGATTGGATTCTTGACAAAGACCTTGCATCCGATCCACTCTTGAGACTGCGAACGGGTTGGAGTGGGCCCTTATCTGCCACGTCGGCAAGCTTTCGTTGTTGCAGGGAGCTGTCTTTGCTCTCGGGGCCGACAGGGAACCCATTGGGCTATGTTCCGCGTTGTATTGCGCAGATACTCGGTCTTATGCCCAGCAGCTGCTCGATAATTATCGCAGAGTCCGGCATCGCTACGGCTTGACAGGGTCTCACACAACCACGATGCAACGCTTTGCAGCGGCACAAGCTGGAGGCACGGACGGGAGCGATCATGGCTTTCGCATGGTCGTAGAGACTAGTAAGCGCGCCTTCTTTGGCCTATTCGCGGCCCAGAAGCATTTGCTCGCATACTAGCCCTCCTCATGCACCCCGGGCGCAGGATACAAGAAGCTGGCGGTGCTGAGGAAAACGCTGCGAGGAGCCGTGACCGCCCAAACACTCCTTGCCTTTGCCTTTGCAGCCGAGCAGTTCTCGTCAGGTATTCCAACATGCTGAGGAAGGGGGACCAGATTAGGTTCTGATGAGGGGCTTGGCTAGACTAAACCTAATGAGGGTGCCTGATAACAGCAAGTGTGGGGCCTAACCCTAAGTTAACAAATCCATTTTTGTAATACTCCTTGGGCAAGCTCACGATACAATCCTCGCTTGCAGGTGGTGTGCTGTTTGGTGCTGCCATCGCATCCATCGCTCTCTCGGCTGGGGCAGCCACCTTCCTGTCGCTGGGGAGCAGGGAGAGGCTCGCAGGGCTGCGAGCAGCGCGATACCTGTCCGCTTTCCTCCTCCTCCTGTGCATCTGGGACGTGTACAGCGCGGCTGCCAGTGGCAAATCCGTGTTTGGGCCCGGGAACGCTGCCCTCCGGCTGCCTGGTCTCCCGGCGGCCACGGCAATCAAGATTACTCAGGTGAAGCTTGGGAGCGTCCAGGAGGCCCCTCTGCCAGCCCCTCTGCACAATCTCACCCTGACTCTCCTCCCTGCCAGCTGGCATATACAACTCCCCGTGCCCACTCACGCGACTGATCCATGCCTGGCGCAGGGCATAAGCACGGTGCTGCGGATCGCGCTGGGCGCAGCCGCACTCGTCAGCTCCACGCGGCTTGCGGCCTTCCTCAAAGAGAAGGGCGCTGCGGGGGCTCAGAAAAAGGCTTGAGCTGTGTGGAAGACAGTGGCTGAAGCTGGTGTGAAGCTGGTGTTTTGCTGGACATGTGGGCTGGCATATATGAGATACAGGCCAGTCCGTCCATAGAGCGGTGATGAACGTCAACCACTTCTGCAAGCTACTGTTGCTATTCATTGAGCAGAATCTACCAGGGACAAGATTAGAACCCTGCAGATCCTCAGCGACATGCGCTTGAGGTTTGCGGGGTGCTCGGCGTTGGTGTGAGGAGGAGATTCCACTGGGGCAGGCATGCGGCATGGTATGCATTTAAAAAGCCTTGTCAACAGAAGGTTTGTGCGTGATGCGGCATGCCAACCATGAGCCTCCTGAGCTCCAGCATGCTTGTCACTGTCCGATTCTAGTGCCAAGAGTGTGGCCCCATGTCAAGCTCTTCATGAGCATCAGCCGGAGTCTACCGTCATGGTTAGTTCGGCCGACATGGGGCATATTGCGCAAAACGGGCTCGTTTTGCACGGCTCAAGCATATAATCATGCTATTTCATTGGCGAAAGTGCTCCTCAAAGAGCCCTTCAGAGCTGTTCAGAGCCGCGCCAGATGGGCCGCGGGGCGCCTCACCGGGGTGCCTCGCGGGGGTGTCTCGCCATGCGACAGAATGCAAGTGTGCCATCCTCCAAATCGCGACCAGGTCACCACCAAACTTTGCAACAGCCTCATTGCGCCACCCTACGAGAGGTACGCGAGCTGTGTGTTGCCGTGATCGCTTCTGCCGCGGCGTGGTTGAGGTATTTCACGGACGTGAGTGGGCTCGTAAGGATAATTGTCTCAAAGGCCGCCGCGAGTTTAGGATGGGCACCAGGGAGGATGCGCAGGACTACAACGTTGCATGCGCCTTTGTTAAGTACAAATTTTTCTAAATTAGAATTAGTCTTATTTCCTGGACAAAGTGTACGCCCTTTGGGTGGGGCCGGGTTCTTTGGTCGAAATTGACACAGCCTACGGAACGGTCATTATGCGCTCCCCCAGGGGGAGCTGTTCGAGCCTCCTCGAACAGCATACGAGCGAAAACATTTTCCTAATTGCTCTCAAGGGTTGCCAAAGGGGAGTACTAGACATATCGGGAGACGGTCCCCATGGGTTCCTGGCGATCGGGACCTCAACAACCGTGCTCAAGAGCGACTAAGAGACGGCAGAGTCTCGTAAGGGGGCCTGTAGTTTACCGGAGCACACTTTCACGATGCTTGGATGCAGTTTGAGAGCACGAAGGCACCCCTTTCAGAGGAATTCTCCGAGAGCACGGAGATGTCGAGACAGCCCAGGCGCGATCGGGCGGGATGAGGTCAGACCGACAGCAGTAGTGTGGCGTCATGGGGGGCCAACAGGCCTCCATGGTGCATGGCATTCCCGTGCTGGACGTGTTCCGTGTTCGTTCTGGCATGAGATGAAGCACTGTGTCCGCGCCATGCGGCCCGGGCACCTACATGAAGGTGCCATGTCCATCTATGGTGGACCCTGACCGGATGCCACGCGTCCAAACGCGGCAATCTCGCCACGGCCCCACCGCGTGGACTGAGATACATAAAAGAGAACCGTTCCACCCTCCAGAACCATCAATCATCATCATTCACCATCTACAATAACAAATAAAGCAATAAAACTTCCTCATCCTCCTCGACACCTGATCGCCATGAACTTCAAGGCCTTTGTCTTCCTGGTCCTGCTCAGCACGGCCGCGACCGTGCCGGCTCGCGAGCTCAAGGGCGTCCCTGGTGCGTTCAGACTGGCGATGGGCATTGTGATGCTTTATAATGTACGGATGCATCATTTTGAATTGCATGTGCGGCGTGGCATGTGCTGCATGTCTCCCATTGCGAAACGCGTCATTCCCGGCGGCACATCCCATTCTCTCACCGACACCCGCAGGCCGCAAGTTGGCCCAGGCCAGTGCAAATGCCGTCGCACAGGCGATTGCCAGCGGAAATGGCGCTGCATTCGCCAATGCCGCAGCTCAGGCCACCGCCAGTGGTGAGAAGGTTTGGAGGAGACTTTTACCCCTGCCACCTTCGGGATCCGAGACGCCTCCGGCATCAGAGGAGGAGGGGGAGTGACGGTCTGCAGGCCCAACTGCGCCATGTATCATTCATGCCTCACCCTGAGCCATCACCTTTCGTACCACAGGCAACGGACAGGCCTCTGCCCAGGCCGTAGCTCAGGCGATCTCCAGCGGCAGCGGCCAGGCCGCTGCCAACGCCGCCGCCCAGGCCATCGCCTCCGGCTCCGGCTCTGCCTCCGCCTCTGCTCAGGCCTCCGCCCAGGCGTGGACCCAGGGCCTGGCCTCCTCCATCCTCTCCGCACCCACCGCCACCGCCACCGCCCAGGCCATCGCCACCGCCTTCACCTCCGGCAACGCCGGCCTCGCCACCGCCACCGCTCAGGCCCTGGCCTCCGCCGCTGCCACCCCCGCCGGCTGCACCGCTGCCACCCAGGCCGTCGCCACCGCCGCCGCCTCCGCCCAGGCCTCTGGCAAGGGCGTGGCCTTTGCCACCGCCCTCGCCCAGGCCACCGCCTCCGCCAGCACCCCCGCCTGCCTCCTTGGCGGCGTTGCCCAGGTGAGACCCTCAGCATGTGGGACCTGGGAGTATAGGATGGACCCCCTGATGGTGCATGCGGTCACACATGGGGGGTCACTGCCCATATCGCTCGGATCCAGCTTACCCTTCCGCTCACCAAATATCCCTCCCACCCCTCCTCAACAGGCCACCGCCACCGCCACCGCCCCAGCCACCGCCTCCGGCACTGCCACCCCCGTCCCCACCCCCATCCCCACCCCCGTCCCCACCCCTACTCCCACCCCCACCCCCACCGTGTCCGGCGCCTCCGCCCAGGCCCAGGCCGCCGCCCAGGCCACCAGCAGCGGCTCCGACCTTGGCAACCTGATCTGCACCAACCCTTCCGCCGCCGCCTCCGCCCTGGCCTCGGCCTTCGCCTCCGGCGCCGGCTCCGCCCAGGCCAGCGCCGCCGCCCAGGCCGTGGCCTTCGCCGGCAACAAGTGCTGCTCCAACCTGAGCTCCGCCCTGGCCTCCGCCTCCGCCTCCGCCCAGGCCAGCGGCAGCGGCAACGCCAATGCCTTTGCTCAGGCCGCCGCCTCCGCCCAGGCCAGCGGCGGCATCCCCGCCTGCGCCCAGGGCGCGCTTGCTCAGGCCAGCGCCTCCGCCCAGGCCTCCAGCAACGGCGGCAGCGCCAACGCCAATGCCTCTGCCAACGCCTCCAGCAATGGTGGCAGCGCCAACGCCGCCGCCCAGGCCAACGCCTCCAGCAACGGCAGCGGCAGCGCCTCTGCCTCGTCCCAGGCCAACGCCTTCGCCGGCGGCCGCTGATGAGTGAGCGGCGTGTGCGAGCGTTCAACACGACCTCCACCCCTTTCCTGCCATGCGCCAAGAGCATGAAACTCTCCAGGTCTCCCCACATGAGACCCAGCTTGCAGACAGCAATGCCCCCCAGTACTCGTGCCAAATGTGCTGCACCTCTTAATTCCTGATTCATCCGAGGCCCCACAACCTACCCCTTGATCCCCCTACACACATTTAACCCTACCTTGTGCGGTTGTAAGAAGTGTCCATTAAAGTATCGCACTCAAAGAGGGGGGGTGAAGTGCGAGGTGGGATGCACCATGCTCTGAACTGATTGACATCCTCGCAAAGTAAAGGGCATAAATCATCCAGCTCTGCAGTGTTTGCATTCCATCAGCGGTGATCAGTCATTCTCGAGAGGTAATAGGATTTCACGGGTGTGTTGTTGCCTTCCCTAGGATTACAGTATACATATATCTATGATCTAGGGCACAGGCTTGGCGTATACCCAGGGAGGGTGTGGAGACCTCCGCCCTGCTCCTGAACCAAAACGGCATTTTCAATCGCAGAGACTCAGCGGCTGACAACTGCCCGAAGCTCACCAGGACCCTTTAGGATGGGTGGCACGGGCTTGGCTCCAACAAACCACACGTACTGGATCCAGGATTGCGAGCAGCGAGTGGCCCATGCTGCCTCCTCCGCTCTCCGGGAATCCCCTAGGATCCCGCTCCTCAGGCCCTGCCTCCTCCAGCCCCCGCCGCCCTGACAAGGCGGGAGAAGACGCCACGGCCCCTGGCCAGAAAGCCCGGCTCCCCGCTTTCCACCAGGTGCCCGTCCGACAGCACCAGCAGACGGTCGCAGTCCATGATAGTGTGGATGCGGTGGGCGATGACCAGGACAGTGCGCCTGGCGCGACCGTCGTCGCCCGCACCGGTCTTGCTGAAGGTGCGCACGGCCTGTGGGTGGGGTCGAGTGGGAAGATTGATTTTGCTGTGCTGAGAAGGGTGGCGGCGCCCAGTACTTACACTCTGCAGGCACCTGACATTGAGAAATCCCAGCCACCGTTTCAGACACTGCAAACCCTGCCACGCTGCCGGGTCCCCCTCAAGAACAAAGCCCATCACCTCCTGAATGAGGACGTCGGTCGCCCGGTCCACATTGGCGGTGGCCTCGTCCAGCGCCAGGATGCTGGCTCCCTGCAATAAAGAATGGAATAGGATTGGATGCTGGGCGTCCTTTAGGGGAAGGGATTGGATCTATTCTTGGTCGGTCCAGCACATTGTCTCTGCCGGGGCCTGGAGCCGCACAGCCAGCCTACTCCCGAGGGTATTAGCACTTTAAGGCCCCCCACAATCCTCCTCCTTGGCATCCTAGTTCCACAGGCTGTCAGGGCTGACATCCCACACCATTGAAGTAGGTCCTCCCCTTCGAAATCTTGCACATGCATGCCCACCCAATCCCGCGTCTCACAAAGTAGGGTCCTTCGCTTACCAAGATACAACCCACTCTCCTCCAACCCTACACAACATCCAACCCCCACACCCACCTGCAGCAGCGCCCTGGCCAGGCAGAAGAGCTGGCGCTGGCCGACGCTGAGGTTGTCCCCCGCCTCCTGCATGCGCCCCTCCAGCCCGCCCAGAGCGCGCACCACCGGCCCCAGCTGCACCGCGCCCAGCACCTCCCACAGCCGGTGGTCGTCGAAGGCGTTCCAGGGGTCCAGGTTGCCGCGCAGGCTGCCGGAGAAGAGCACAGGGTCCTGGGGGATGATGGCGATCTGGCGGCGCAGCGCGTCCAGCGCCAGCCGCGCGGTGTCCACCCCGCCCAGGCGGATGGCGCCGTGGGTGACCGGGATCAGGCGGAACAGCGTGAGTAGGAGCGAGGACTTGCCGGATCCGGTGCGCCCCACCACGCCGCACGACAGCCCGCCCTGGGAGAGTGAGTTGGGTGGGCTGGGGGAGGGTTGCAAGCCTGTGGTTGGGACTGGGTGCCAATCAAGCAGCATGCGGTCCAGGCCCCAGGCAACCGGCCTGAGGGGCGGCCAGGGGTCGAGGCTGCAAGAGCCACCAGGATGCCGTCTCTCATGATCACGCTGCTCCCCACTGCAGGCTACCATGGCTCTCAGGCGCCGCGCAGCACACAGCATGCCCTGCCGAATGACACCAATAAATGGCCATCCCCCTCCAGAACCCACCAAACCAACCCCACCAACCCAAACCCAGTCCCTGCTCAATCACCCCCCCAAACCACCACACACCTCCAGTGTGAAGCTGAGGTCGTGGAGGACCGGGGGCAGGCCCTCACGGTACACGGCAGTGACGTCGTCGTACTGCAGCATCCCTGCCCCCGGCCAGCCCTTGGGCGGGGGGGGGCCGCCCTGGGCCAGGGTGGGCGGTTCCTGGGGCAGCCGCGTGTAGGCCAGCATGCGCTCCACGCTAGTCATGTGATTCTCCACCTCGGAGGCCTGTCGCACCGCCCACTGCAGCATGCCGCCCAGCTGCAGGCTCTGGGACAGGCCAAGGCCCACCAGCCGCGCCGACAGCGAGTCGTGCACGCCCATCATGAGCAGCGGGGCCGCCGTCATGAGCAGGGCCACCAGCAGGTCCAGTCGGAAGCCCACCCAGCGCGCGCAGGTGACGAAGACAAACCACCAGGCGCCGTTGTCAGAGAGGTCGCGCAGGAAGCGGGCGCGGAAGCGCGGCGCCGCGGCGTACGCACGGATGGACGGTAGGCCCTGTTAGTTTAGTTTTTGGGGGGGGGAGGGGGGGCGACTTGGGGTGGGTTTGGTGGTGTGGTGGACTCGGGGCTAGGAAGGCAGCACGGCGGAACTAGCTTCAGGCCTGGTGGGGCAGCAGAGGCCGGGTGCGCAGGCCAGGGATGGACCCTGCACCCTTGAGATTGAGCCATCCCTGCGTCGCCCTCTCCCACCAACATGTGCGCACCAGACCCCTCCTCCCCCACCTTGAGGAGTGCGGAGAAGGAGGCGTAGACCGGGCTGCGGGAGGTGGCCTCGAAGCGCTTGACCTCACGCGAGGTGCAGACGTAGCGCCGGTAGACCAGCACAAAGGCGATGCCCAAGGGGATGAAGATGGGGATGATGAAGGGCACGACGACCATGAGCTGCAGCAGGCGAGGGGTGGTTGAGCTCGGGTTTGGGGAGGGTGGGTGGGAATGGGGCATCTTGGGTGACTCTGGGGCGACACAGAGCACAGCGAGGCAAAACATTGAGAGAGCGGCGACTTCCGTGCGTCTGGGCATGGCCAAACATGCGCGCTTGGTGTGTGCTCAAGGCAACGCGGTATCCCTTTTGATCCAGCTCGCAGAATGACATGGACAAGAGCCCGTCCAATCAGCACCCCTGCCCACCAGCACAAAGCAGCCCAGGACGATCATGGCGGCCTGGATGGCATCAAAGGCCACTGTCGGGAGCTGGTCATCCACGGCCCCCTGATCCTTGCTGCATGACGGGAAGAGGAGGAGGGCTTGGTGTGATTGCCATGGAAGCCCAACTGCCGCCAAGACCAGGCATGCACCAAGCATGGCCACGGTGCCCGAGGGTCCAACCAGCGCGCTTGCTTCTGGGTAAGGACCCACCTCTCTGGCCCCCACACACCTGAAGCGATTCAGCACACGGCCAGTGGGGTTGGTGTGGAAGAAGGAGAGAGGAGCACGCATCACCTGCATGGGGAGATGTGATCATGATCAGTCGCAGGGGTATTAGGAAGGCCCCTTGCTTGCTTTACTGGATGAGTGAGACACAGGATGGTGGGGAAGGCACGCTTTCCAGCGGCAGTACCCAAGGCCACAGCAGCATGACTTGCCATCCGAACCACCCCACTCACCCGCTCGATCATGGCATGGTGCATGGCCGAGGACGCCACCAGGGTGTAATGGAAAAAGAGCTGCGCACGAACCAGGGAGATGGCCAGGACGCAGCTCACCATGATGGCGTAGCCCCAGATCCAGAAGGCCTGATGCGGATTTGAAGGTGGGGCGCAAGTGGGAGAGGGCAGCAGGAAGGGGGTGGGTGGGGGAAGCATGCTACCATAAACCACAGAGTCAACGCACTCACAGACACGTGTCCCTTTCATCCCAGCACACACCTCCTGCTGCTCCGCCTCTGACTTGGAGGACCAGACCGCAATCCAGTAGTCACCATAGAGATACACACCCTGGCCCACAAACATGGCGGCTGCGAGCGAGGAAGAGTGGATGGCTGGCTTGTGAACGGGCACAGCAGCGAGGGATTCGTGGGAGGGGCCCGGGGGCTTGTCGAAATATCCCAACCAACCCAACTCATCGTCGCACGTACACCATTTTGTTCAGTGCAACGATCCCTTCATCGATTTGTTCCCAAGTAATGCGCAGACCTGCCTGCGGGACCCAGACCCCCATCCAACCTGCGATGGTGATGACGATCGACCAGGTCATGTAGCCACAGTACGCGCCATACACGTGCCAGTCCACGCTGCCAATCTCCCGCTCCTCCGCCAGGATCAGGGTGCCTTGGGTGGAAAGGAAGGAGGGTCGACGATTGTCCATTGTGTAGGGCACAGGTACTAGGAGAGGCTCACTGACAAGGCCGCTGATGCCTGTCATGTACAGCCCAATCACTGCCCGTCCCCTGACCTCACGACTGCGCAACAATGAGAGTGTCTGTGCTGTTCCATCGCCCTGGCACCACCCCTCAACAGGACCCTTGTCTTCACCAAACACCCCACCAAGCACCCCACCTGCAGCCGCCATGGATGGCTTGGCAGCCTCAGCAAAGGAGCTGCCCTGGTCGATCAAGCGCCGGCGCGTGACCTTGGCCAGCAGGCGGCTCACTATGGAGGGGTGCCTGCCCGGCCTCGCCTCGTCGCGGTCTCGGTTCTCTGCCGGCGTCCTGTCCGGGGCTCGCTCCGGTCTGGAGGCCGGCGCAGCGTCTGTCTGGCATTCGGCATCCTGTGCGGCGTCCTGGGTCTCGTCGCCAGGCCTGGCGTGGGCCGCCACCCCCTCGTCATCCACCTCCCCTACCTCCTCGTCCTCGGACCCAAGCTGGCCGTCATACGTCGCGTCGTCCAGCGCCGCCTCTGCGCAGTGAGAATCGATCATCCGAGGTTGACAGCTGGCAGCTGGGGTCATTCACTGCGCGGTGCCCGCAACATTGCGGGGATCTGACGACACCTCAGGCTCCCCCCTTCCTGCTGCCCACCCTCTTCCTCGCCCCGCACGACCCTCATCTTACCCCACCCAGTATCCATGGCCGCCCTCCCCCCTCCCTCCCAAACCCACCGTGCATGGCCGCGGCCTCGGGCACCCCCCGCGCCGCCAGCTGGGCCATGGTCCCGCGCTCCGCGATGGCCCCGCCGCGCATGACCAGCACCTCGTCGCTGGCGCCCAGGTGCTGGGTTTGGTGCGTGGCCAGCACGCGCGTGGCCCCCGCCATGACCCCGCCCGGCCCGATGCAGGCCTCGAACAGCGTGCGGCCCACGCGCGGGTCCACCGCCGACAGCGGGTCGTCCAGCAGCTGGACCTCTGCGCGGCTGTAGGCTGCGCGCGCCAGGCTCAGCCGCGCGCGCTGGCCGCCGGAGAGGTTGACGCCGCGCTCGCCGAGCTCCGCGGCGTCGCCGCCGGGGAGCATGGCCAGGTCGTCGCCCAGGGCGCAGGCCTGGACGACGCGCGCGTAGAAATCCGGGTCCTCCTCTCCCCCAAACAGGATGTTCTCCTGTCACGCATGGGTGTGAGGGGGTGGGTGCCCGCAGGCGAACTGTGCAGGGGGAGCACAGCGCTGCGCCAGGGCGTCCAGAGGTGCTCCATCCATTCCTGCACGGGCTGGGATGGTGACCTCATGGCCAAGCATGGACGCCCTCCCCCGCCTGAACAAGAAACAACCCCACCCCACTGCACCACCAACAACAACCTTGACGGTGCCGGCGACGGTCCAGGGCACCTGGGAGACATACGCCACGCGGCCGCCAACGTCCACGCCGCCCCCGGCCGTGGGCTGCAGCTCCCCGAGGAGCACGGAGAGGAGGGAGGATTTGCCAGACCCCACCTCGCCGATCACCCCGATCAGGCGCCCCGGCGCCGACTCCAGCCGGATGCCGCGCAGCGTCAGCTTGCCAGGGTCGCGGTTGGGCTGGGTGTCTACCCTCTCCCCCTGCCCCCCCTGGGCATCCTCATTCTGTCCGGTCTTCTCTCTAGCATTGCCTGCCCCCACCCCCCCATACGCACCGCTGCCCTGGGCCCAGGGCAGCACCTCCCAGTCAAAGTCGAGACCGGGGACGAGGAGGGTGCCCGGCGCCGCGCTCGAAACGTGGTGGTATGGCGGCGGGGGCTCGGCCAGGCACAGAAACTTCCCGATCCTGGCCATGCTGACGCGCAGCTCCGACAGCGCCTCCACCGACTTGACGAAGAAGTCGGCCATGTAGAGCTTGGGCAGCTGGAGCAGGGCGATGGTGTAGAAGACGTTGGCCACGGTAAGCACGTGCCCCGTGCCGCGTGCGGTGGCAAAGGTGATGAGCGCCGCCACGGGGGAGATGGCAAAGGCCAGGCCCATGTTGAGGGCGCGGATGCGCGCCTGGGCGCGCACGAAGCCCTGCTCCCGCCCACGCACGGCGTGGATGCGGGCCAGCAGCCCGTCCTCCCAGCCCAGCATCTTGGCCGCCAGCACGCCAGACAGCGCCTCGCTGGTCAGCTTCACGCGCTCGTCGGTCTGCAGCGCGGTGGCGTGGCGCAGCCTGACGATGCGCCGCCCCAGCAGGCCCTGTGGGAATGTGAGCATGTTGGTGAGTGTTTACAAGAAGGGGAGGGGGGGGTGGTGTCGCTGGAGATGGCCCCGGTGAGCAAGGTCAAGGAGGGAGTCGCACTGGCAAGGGAAAGCCGCAGTGCAATTCAGATGCTGGCCCCGCATGCCAATCGCAAACGATGGTCTGCAACACAACATACACATTTCCCCCTTGACCTCACCCCAGTACAACACAGCACTCCACCTTGCCTGGATGGGGATGAGTAAAAGAGATGTGGCCACGCCTGCGACGGAGGCGGCAAACCCCATCTTAAGGCCGATGAGGACCAGGACTATGGCCAGCTCCACGGGCCCTGCGATGAGGAAGACGCCAAAGGTGCCGGCCTCGTCGAAGCGGCGCACGTCATTGGACACCAGGTTGACGATCTTGCCGGCGGTCACGGCCGCCACGCCCGCGGCGTTCAGGCGCAGCACCTTGGCCTGCACCGCGGCGATGGCCTGCAGGCGCATGGTGAAGCCGTTGCGCATGCCCTTCCAGAACAGCTGGTGGTGCACTGCGCAGTAGAGGTAGCCCATGAGGGCCAGCAGGCCCGACCACAGCCAGCCCTGCCAGGCGGGGAAGGCCGCCGCGTCGCCGCCGCTGCTCTCCCAGCCCCAGAACCAGGTGATCAGCTTGCGCAGGATGAGGGGGGAGCCAACCCTGAGGGTGTGGGTGAGGTGGGGTGTTGGGGTGGGAAGTTTGGGGAGGGGAGTGTCCCAATACGATGCGGATGGTGGGAGGAGAAGGGCAGCGTGAATAGGGTGAGCTTGGGGGGGTGTTTTGTGCCTCAGCAATCACTGCGGTCTGCTCCAGTAATCCAAGCGTCCGGGCTGCACCTGTTCGACCTCCCTGCGCAGTGCAACCCCAAACTCTCACCTGCAGCCGACCTCCGCAAAGGCCCATAACAAGTGAACCAGAATCTTTATGCGGTATACTTTCAGGTAGGTCCTCCACATGATGGCGGCGGGCGTAAGGCCGGGCCGGGACGACACCTGCCAAGGGTTGGGGGGGTGGGGGATATACGCCCATAACATACAAAAGAGTCAGAGGTGCCATGAAAGCATGTCATGATGATGCAGCGCACCTGCACAGGCCTGCATGAGGTAATGTCCTCTTCTCCTCTGGCGACCCACCCATTGCCCCCCACCAGCAGTAACACACCTGCTGGTAGACGGCATCAAAGGTCTCCGACAGCACCTCTGCGCGGTTGTTGGCGGGCAGGAGCTCAGGGCCGACATCCTCATCGATGCCACCCACCGCTCCCAGGCTCAGGAGGGAGCCCACGAAGGAGTAGGTGAGCCGACCATATACCCCAGCATCCGCATAGGTCTTCAGCCCTGCCCGCAGCCGCTTGAGCCTCTCCTCCCTCCCCTCGCTGGATGTCCAGAGCATGCCACACGCTTGAGGGGTGGGTGGTGCCCTGATCTTATATTGGAGCGGGGTCCTCACATCCGATGCCTAGCATGGAAGTCGTGCTGCTGGGCCACACGAATCCCGTCTCGCCTGGCATTGCAGGCGCACACTGGCGAGAATGGAGTTCCAGGTCGAGTTTTGGTAATGTAATGTCTGTCTGTGTAAGCCTTGCTAGTTGCTCTGATTAGTCCCTCAGCGGCATCACGTTTGGGTGAATGTGAGAGTGACGTACATGGCGGTCCGTCCGGTGGGGACAATTTCTCACCAGGGGTGCCGCGAACTCCTCGAGCCACCTACCATCGCATGGTTTTCCTGTGAACGCATGAAACCGGGGGGTAGTTGCACCGGTATCCATCTTAGGCTGTCGGAAAGATGCCTGATGCCGAGAGACCTCCTCGTGTCGGTCCCGTTGCCGAAGGCGTGTCCAAGCCATACACCACCCCCAAAGGATTCGTACCGCCCACGATGGGAGAGCAATTTCGATATGTGAGCATGACATGGATCGATAGGCAAGGTCCTGATCTGGAATCTCGTGGGCAACCCATTCTACAGGCTCTTGCAACTTCCCTCCCTCCTCACCAACCCTCCCTCCATTCCCACAGGCATACTTGAACCATCCTCAGTACAGATACGGGTATGCAGCAGTGTTACTGGTGGGAATTATTGCTGTGGTGGCAGCCTACGCAGATGACAAGCCTATGGGAGCCCTGAAGTCCAAGGCAACACCCTCATCAAAGAATAGTTGATGCGTATGGAGTGCAAGTGCAAGTGCCGAGGCACCAGGAAAATGCTGCAGACCAGCCCCTATGGCCAGCCATTTAGGGAGATCGGCCTTGGGTGTGAGAGGAGCGTCGCCTCAGTATCCAATGTGCGCGCCGCTCTGCACTTGGAGCACCAATTGCCTCCTTCATGGCCCCGCCTAGTGCTGGGGGGGGCATCTGCTACCCAGAGCTGGAGGTCCAAGGAGGGCCTACCCATGGAACACTCTGAGGAGATACAGACAGCTGTGCATGCTTGATATAGGCATGACGCCTGTCCCCCGCCATCAGCTCATCTGGAACCGCCACAGGTCGACCTCTATGTCCTTGGACTTTAGCCTGCAGTGGTGGGAACCCATGTTGTATGTATCCGACTTCCACGTCCTGATCAAGATGAAGCAGTGTCCTCCAGCCTTCTCAGGGTCCCGGTTGGCTCGCCCTTTCGCCCTGTGAGTGCAATCCCCTGCCCGAAGAAGACCCTTTTGGGCCCCCCTGGCCCACCTCCAGCCCCTGGTCTGCCCACCTGTGAAAGGCGTAGGTGGGCGGCAGGTCGTAGCGCAGCTGCGCCACGACAGTCGCCGCCCCAGTGGCCAGGCCCAGGGTCTTGACCGCAAACTTTTGGATGAAGTCGCGCGTCGACGTCTTGTGCAGAGAGTACACGCTGGTGCCGGCGATGCCCGCCGCTGCCCTGAGGAAGTCCATGTCGACCCCTGGCAGCAGTGGATGAGTGGGGTGGCTGCCGATTCCGGAGGGTTTGAGCAGAAACTGGCGCCCTCGCGCCTGGGCAGTGCTGGTCCTGCTCGGCAAGCCGATGCGAGATGCTTGGATGGTCCTCCTCGATCCACTGCCCACAGGTGGGAGGCCATGTGTACACTCACGCTCCGATGGCTCTCTCCCAGACCCAGAATGCCGATTCCCCCTTCCCTAAAGCCACACCTTTTTGTCTGGTGCCAAAGGGCGGGTTCATGATCACGGTGTCCACATGCAGCCTGGGCTGCTGCTCCGCCAGCAGCCGCACATCTGACCGCACAAACTCGATCTGGGCGGTGGCGGGAGGAGATGCTGTGGGCTCGTGCAGGGTCAGAGGGAGATGTGAGAGGGGTTGGGAAGTGCGCCTTGGGGACCAGCGAGGGTGGCCTCTGTGAACCCCCGCGACCCTGCGAAGACACTGGCAGGGGAGTCATGCACGGTCAGACCCATATTGCCTGCCTCTTGTGTCACCTGTGCCGCCCCGTCATCGTCTGCCTCGTCGTCGCTGTCGCCAAAGATGCCGCGCACGTTCTCCTGAGCGGTCTCCAGAGCGTCCTGGTCCAGGTCAAACGCCAGTACCTGGCCAGCGCCCAGGGCTGCAGCGCCTATGGCCAGCATTCCCTGCTTTCTCGAGGAGGAGTGTGAGGGTACCACGCTCTGAGAAATCGGGGCATTGTGCATGCAGCCCACCAGCAGCACTCGCAGGCTCAGGAGGGGGGTGTGGAAGAGGGGCTGGATTTCCTTGTCCACCAGCCCTTCCCGTACCCAGGCTTGATGACATACCCATGTGTGATGCAGTCATGCAGTCCCTCTGCAACCCCCTGCTCGCACCGTTCCACAGCCGAGGTCAGCCACCACCTTGCCTTCGAACTCGCCATAGCTGTTTGCCACCTTGAGTTGAATTTGATGGATGACATGGTGAGCCTTGCCCTCTCTCCAGCACCATCCGGGCATGAGCCCACTTCAGCGAATCAAGAGCCTCAGGTGACTCTCGGGAAACAAAGCAGTGTCATACGGGAGTCCGCCTCACCGTGTATAGGAGGCGGGACGCCAGATGTGCTCCGGTTGGATACTGCTCCAATTCTACCTTGGGCTGCAGGAATGGTGACACCTCCTGAAGAGCATGGGGAACAGGGGAAACGGATCTTGATCTGAGGGGGAGCCCACATGCTAACAGACCAGCAACCCTTCATATTCCAATAAATGTACCTGCATGAGGGATTCGAGCTCCTTGAGCTTCATAGTATGGGTCGGTCACAAGCCAGGAGACCGGTGTCAGGACGTAATACACATCGCAACCATGTATTGAGAGGTCGCCCAGGACGTATATATTCAAGGAGATTGATGTAGAAGAGTGCCTCGGTAATCGTGCATCGTGCTGAAACCATGTCGATGTTGTTTCCCAGGGCGCCTGACATAGGCAGCGCGCCCTGCCTTGCGTCCTGCGACCTATGGAAGGGCGCCAGACCTTCCACAAACCCGGACTGCAAACTCCAGCCCAAACAAATCATGCAGAGGACAACTTGCACAAACGTAACACGCAGCTATTCATTGAGTGGTGATCTGTAGGCCAAGCTGCACGATATCCGTGAGAGAGCAACGGCACCTTTCGGAGCGACCACCCTGACTTGGGCGTGCGAGAAAGAGAGCAGGGGGCCGCCGGCGTAACTGGCACCCAGTTTGAGGAGTACTAGAGGTCACGCGCATGGTTCACCGCGCGCTGGTCCTGTTGGGCGAAGCGGTGCAGCGCTCCTCGCGGCTGAGGCCACGTCGGGCTGCCCTCGAGCTCACGGACTCAGCCGCGACCCGCATCAAGCAGCTGCTTGAGCAAAGACACAAGGTGGGCACGCGAGGATCGGACGATGCAGATATGATCCGGACGGGGTGTCCTTCGCATGCGTTGCGCTGTGGTGGTGCACCAGTCAACCGCACATGTGGGGCTGACTCCAGTATGTGACCGACCACAACCCACAGGAGTTCATTAAGCTGGGAGTGAAGACGCGGGGATGCAATGGGATGGCGTATACTCTGAACTATGCCGGTACGGAGGCTGTGGCGTATGGAGCAGAGCTCATTAGGTTGCTCTTGTGAGAGTGTTGCAACACCCCTGCTTCAGTTCTTCCCATTCTCCTGCCCGCAGACTCCAAGGCGAAATTCGACGAGCTGGTGGAGGACCCCCGTGGCGTCAAGGTGCTCATTGACCCAGCTGCCCTCCTCCATGTCCTGGGCACGAAAATGGACTATGTAGAGGACCGATTACGGTGAGCTGGGGCCTGGAAGAGGGGGAGGTGGGAAAGGGGCAAGGATTCCCAGCCCGCTGCTGGCTTGAATGTTATGGTCCAGCTCCCTGACCCTGGTCTGCCCCTTCCCGCAGGTCCGAATTTGTGTTTGTCAACCCCAATGCCAAGGGGACATGCGGGTGTGGCGAATCATTCACCACAGACGTCAAGTCTGCCACGGGCTGATGGCTTCCTCTTCTGTCTGCTGTGGTGCCATAGCTTGCCCGCTGCCCTGGGGCGTTTGTAAGATAGAAAGATCATGGCGGCTCCAGAGCGTGGTGGGACTGGCAACAACGCACTTGGATTGGGTACAGTGTGTAAGAGAAATCTACATGGACATGCCCAGGCAGCAATGTTGCCGTGCACTCCACAAACCCCTGCTCCTGTGCAAGCTTTGACAAGGCGGGCACCTGCTCACAGATCGCCGTCGTCCGCGTCATCCAGCTCGGGGGCTCGGCAGCGCTGCTCGGTCCCGAGGCAGCCGGTGAACAGACGGCGGCCACGTGTGACTGCGGTGCCCCGCTGGCAGACGCAGTCGGCCCGGAGCTCCTCGCCGGGTCCCGGAGTCATCACCTTGCGGGGGTAGCCGGTGTCACACCACACCTCCGTCCCTGGGCGGCAGGCGCGCGGGTGGTGGTCGCTGCGATTGTTGCTCCAGCCTTGGTGTATCAATGCGGTCACTGAAACGAGCGCTGCACTCAGCAAGTAGGTTGTGTGCACGTCGAATTTATCTCCTTTCACTGCACTCAAGCACCCCAGGGCAGTGTCCACCACCCTGGGCCGGCGAAATCAGGATCTGAGAGGTACCCCGACCCTCTTCCTGCGGCCGTACGCTCCTCGCCGTCCAACCCTCGACCCACCTGCCGCCTGGCTCCACCCCGAGTTGCAGGGCTGCAGGTCCTGGGTCGGATCCTGCACCACCCCTCGCGGGCCCCTGCCCCCATCCAGCGCCTCGATGCGGAGGAGGAGGGGGGTGGGCCTGCCGTCCGCGTCGTAAAAGGCGCCGACCACGTGGCCCACCAGGTGGTACTTCTGCGGTACAAAGTGTTGTAAGGCATGTGGGTGTCTACGCGTATTGCCCTGGGTGCCAGAGGGACATGAGGTCGTGGAGAGGTGATTCGAGGCCGCCACTCGTGCGCCAAGGCGGCGCCCACCACTCAGGACCGGCATCGCATGCGCTGAGGGTGGAAAGCACCCCCGATGCAGGGCAGGACCGGCCGAGAGGAGGGAAGCTGCCCCCTGGCCGCGTGCCCACCCACCGTGCTCTTGTGATAAAAGTCGCGCCACTTTAGCACGGCCTTGATCTGCTCGTTGCTGAAGTCGTGGATGTCGTCGTGCAGGTCTTCCACAAAGTTACCTGTTTCCCAGGGGTGGCATTTGGGCAGGCCCACGGGTGAGGCGCAGGGCAAAAGGGGGGGGAGGAGCCACTGCACAATCTGGAGTCTGCTCCAGAGGCTACCACTCACCCCTGCCCCCCAGGGGCTGGCAACGGGGACCCTGAATCAAGGGAGCATTGTCATCAGCCCTCACTCTCCCCAGTGCAGTATCACCGTACCCGTTGCTAGAGACCGGCTGGCATCCTTGCCTGCCAGGCTGTGGTACCCGCCCCCCAGACCTGGGCACAGAAAAAAGGGAGTGGGTGAGCAGAGCCTCACTGCCCAAGGGTATGAGACGGCCCTCAGCATATTGAAGACGCCATCTTCCTCACCCCTGCTCCCCCACCATGCAAGCGCCCCGTATCCCAGCGTGCACAACAAGCGCCTGACCCACCATAGTGCCGCTTCCCTGCAGAAACGTCGTAGACCTCCCCCATGACCGCCATGAACAGGCCCAAGCCGTGCTTTCCATCATACTTGCTCAGCTCCTCGCGGTTCAGCAGCAGGGGTGCCTTGACGAGGAAGTCAGGGGACCGAGAAGGATGGGCATTGGGCGGGGCAGAAGGTGCTTCTTAGCTCTCCTGGCCGGCCCTCGACCACAATCAATGCCCCCTCCAAGGCCCCCAGCCCACCTGCCCCGCATCTAAACCGGCTCTTTCCCCTCTATGTTCCAAGGAGGCCGGCGCCGGGCGCCTATGATAGAAGATGAGCAGCCCCGCAGCCAGAAGCAAGCCAACAAGCAGCAGCATCTCGCTGCGCACTGGTGTCGGGGAGAAAGTGGGAATACCGGGCTTGGATGCGCAGCATCATCACACTCGCTGATTGATTACTCACGCTTGCAGGCACACGATGTCACAGGCACAGGCACGTCCAACTCACGGGACGTTTTGATGGGGCTAGCCCTCCCAGAAGGGGGCCTGCGTCTTGGCACAATGCCTGCAATGGGGCCCTTGGACGCCGATGAGAAATTGAGGGATCAGTGTTCCCCGCCTCCCATGGTGCTACACCCCTTACTCGCCCCCCCTCCCCCTACTACACACACACACACACACTTCCACCCTCGCCACCATGATCGACGCCCGCCGCACGCAGATTCGTGGGTGGTGGGCCGGGGTTCTGCAGGCCCACCTCTGTGCAGCGAAATTGGTGCGCGGCAGTGTCAGGTGCATGCAAGCCAAGGAGGTGCCTGGGAAATTAGCCATGATGCATGGCAGGACGCCCGACGTCCAATGGTACCATGCCGCACCTGGGTTACGCTGGCGCACAGTATTCCCAGCTGAAGTGTACCAGCTCATTCTTGCAAATCGAGATGCGAGTTGTGAGCGTGGGCGGGGAGACTGTCCGTGCCGAGGGGATTGCTCGACAAGCTAGCGAAGGCACCTTCCCGTTTGGGACTTTTTTCCCGGTGATCCAGATGCAGATCAATCAAAGAACTCGGATTATCCGCCGTGTATGTAATAGCTAGGGGTCCAGGAGCGCCAAGATGCAAAAAGGATTTTTCGGAAACAGGTTTCGATCCTGTGACCTCGGGGTTATGGGCCCCGCACGCTACCTCTGCGCCATTCCGAACGCTGACAGCAGCCAGTGCCCATTTGATTGGGCCGAACTTCCTTGTTGCATACCGAGTCCAATAAACTCGACCATGTTGCGGGAAGAAAGGTCATCATCGCAAACTCAGCCAGAATGCTACAAGAAATATCTCGGTCAACGGGTAAAATGAACCTACCATACAGTTTGATATCTTGGGATGAAAGGGGCTATCAGGTCCACGGAAGGAAACATGTAATCTATCTGACCCTGTAGCACCGTCATGCACATTGGCTTCTGCAAGGAGAAGCACAACATGGCCGTCCAGCACTAGTACAGCAAGCATATTACTAAGAAGGTCTCCTCGCATTCAGGTATTGTCCTAAAACATTCATGCTGCCAGGAGGTCCCACCCCAGCCCAGCTTTGGAGTATTGATGGGCGAGGACCTCGATATTGCGGAAACCCCTCATTCTCACACTCCTCCAATCCAGAGGGTGGACTTGATCCAAAAGCTTGTGGAACCACACCGGGGTAAGCCGGCCCAGGAGGATCCTAACGCGGGAACACCGCTGAGAAGATGAGATGAAGAGGAATGTGCCTCTCGTTTATGCGCGCGATTCGGACCCACCGTGTCCAAGGGCTGCGCACCAACCAGAGTGCAAGCAGTGATTCGGTCTTTAGGACCCGGGAGAAGGCTGCGTCGTGAGATATTGGATGTCATGGTGTTCTCCGACCCGTGGCAATTTCGTAACTGTCAAGGAGGAGGAAAGGAAGGATCGCCATGGGGGCATACGATCTAGGGGGGACCGGCCCTCTCTCCCTGCTGTCAAGCTCGTGTGGGACCAGAAGAGCACTCGATTTCCAATTGTGCAGCCCAGCGCTCGAGCCTAGCGTGTTCATCTGCACAGTCCACCGTCCCGCCCAAGGTCGCACTCAATGTCAGACACGGGCACCTGAGCATGCCGATCCTCAAGGTCCTGCAGTGTCCCGCGAAAAGATGCAGGCTCCTACCATGGACTCTCCTTGCGGCGCTCGTCGTGGCTGGACAGCTTCCGGGCGGGGCCTGCCTCCCGGCTTCAGCGGTCCTCGCCACGGACGGGGAGGTCGTGGATCCCTCGGCTCGGCAGATCAAGCCTTCCAGCCCCCTCCCGAACCCTGTCGCCCCTGGCGTGGTGCTGAATGCCTCCACACTGCTGGCCGCGCTGGAAATGCTCGAGTCTGCGGACGACAGTAGCCACGCGGACGGTGCCCCTACCCAGGTGGTGTTCCTGCCAAACGGCAGCATCAGCATCCCCACCCCCGGCGGGACCAGCACCACCGCACCCCAGGACGCGTCCCCCGTGGTCGTGCAGGACCTCGACCAAGCCGCAGGGAGCGGCGACGGCGACGGTGACTTTGACGACCAGGAGCTCTCCAGGCTGTCCCCCGAGCACGGTGCCGACCTGGGCGCGACCTCCTTCCAGAGCCCTGGCTTTTTAAATGGGGAGGAGGGCACGCCCGCAACACAGCCGTCTGTCCCTGTCATGACGGGCGCGTCCCTGGTGGTGCATGCCCCGCCGGCGCCCCCGCTCCCCCCGGCGCGCGCCCTCCCGCCGGCCCCTGCGCCGGGCGAGCCCTCCCCAGCCCCAGAACCCAGCCCCGAGAGCGTGGGTAGCGCCACGGAGACCGTGACCGTGCTCTCGCCTGAAACAAACCCCAGCCGGGAGGGGCCCCTGCCCCTGCCCTACCCCAAGTCCTCCGTCGACGGCAGCGGCAAGAGCCAGACCATCGCCATCGCGGTGTCAGGTGCATTTGCTTGGTGGGTGGCTGGCGCTTCTGGCGCACCATGCCTCCCTGGCCATTTTGCGCGGCCCTGATGTCCTGCCAGCCCCCACCCCCTGAACAAGGATTCCTGACTTCCCCCCCCCCCACCCGACTCTGTCGCAGCCTCCGTGGGCGGCTTCGTGGGCCTGCTGCTCCTCGCCTCCATCCCCCTGGTCATCTGGCTGGTGAGGCGGCGCCGCGCCTGGCTGCGCGAGCAGTCCCGCCTGAGCTCCGGCTCCGACCTGGAGGCCGGGCTGGGGTCGGGCCGGCGCAGCAGCTCCCCCCTGGCCAAGCCTGCGCCCAACGATCGCGGCGACGGCGACGGCAGCCTGGTCACGCGCCCCTCCACCGGCATGCTGGGCCTGCTGCCCCTGCTGGGCCTGGGCGCGCGGGAGGCCCCCTCCCGCATGCAGTTCATGGTCTCCGGCGGCGGCGGGACTGGGCGGGACCCGTCGCGGCGCGGGATCGGCAGCAGCGACGGCGGGGCCAGGCCCGGCGGCGGCGGCCCCAGCGGCTCGGCGTCTGCCCAGACGCCGCGCAGTGCGACGGCCCGAGGCGGCGGCGGCGGCGGGAGCTCGAGTCTCACGGACAGTGTCGCGCCCCCATCCCCTTCCACCGGCGCCGCGCCGCCGCCGCCGGCGATGGTGGAGGACCTGCTGGAGGACGAGCTGGCGCCGCAGCGCTCGGCGGCGAGCTCGCAGCTGTGGCCCGGCGGCTCGGGGGCGCTGCCCTGGACCGACGGGCGCGTGAGCCCGGAGGAGATCACCATCGCGCTGCGCCCCGACGGCAGCCCCTGGCTGCTGGGCGCCGGCGCGTACGGCCGCGTGTACCGCGCGCTGCGCGATGGGGTGCAGCCCGTGGCGGTCAAGGTGCTGACGGGGATGGAGAACAGCCGGCGCAGGGACGAGTTCATACGCGAGGTCACGCTGCTGCGCTCCTGCCGCGACCACAACATCGTCCAGTTCATCGGCGCCTGCATCCAGGTGTGTGTGTGTGGTGGTGGGGATGGGGTGGGGGGGTGGGAGGGGGGTCGTTTGGGAGGCTGCGGGGGGGGGCCCAGGTATGTTAGGGGAAGGTGGGGGGCAGAAGGGCGGAAAGGCCGACGACGTGGGCACTGGCGTCGTGCTGCGGAATGTCTGAAGCGTGAGCATCGGCGCGGCTGGTAGGTCCCTCAGCCCACTGGTCTGCTCGGCCGCCTTGGCCCCGGCCCAGACTGGTGCCCCGATCAATCCCCAAACCCTCCAATCCCCGTCCCCACCTCACTCATGTCCCCGTTTCTTCCCCTCTCACCCCCAACCAGGGCGAGGAGGCCATGCTGGTGACGGAGTTCATGGAGTTTGGCGACCTGTGGCGCGCGGCCACGCTGCGCTCACCACGCGGCGACCGCATCTTTGGCTGGTGGGGCCGGGGCCGCAAGGTGGCCCTGGACATCGCACGGGGGCTGCACTTCCTGCACTCCCGCTCCATCGTGCACCTGGACCTGAAGAGGTGAGCAGGGGAAGTGTGTGTGTGTGTGTGTGTGTGTGTGTGTGTGTGTGTGTTGGGGGGGTAATGCTGGCCAGCCGGCGGCCTGCCCACAGCCCGCCTTGCGCGTGCTCGTCCAAAGCCAGGCGGCTTTGGTCCTCGCAACCCGATGAACGTATACTGCATCACTCCTCGCCGCCGACACTCCCCTCCTCACCCCTCTCAAAATACACGCACACTCTCCCTCGCAGCGCCAATGTCCTGCTGATGCGTGACGGCACCGCCAAGATCGCGGATGTCGGCTTCGCGCGCGTCATGAGCAAGAGCTACATGCTGTCCTCCACGGGCGGCCTCGGCACCTTTGCCTGGAGGTGGGAAGTTTGTGGTTGTGGGGGGGAGTTGGAAAGTGGGCTTTGGGGGGTGGGGGAAAGGCACTGCTGCATGAGGCGGCGTGCGGTGGGCGGCTCGACACCAGGTGGCAGACCGGGCCTGGGGTGGGAAACATTCAGGATGCATGGGGGCGACAGGCTGTGGTTCTGCAGCTTGGAGACTGCAGGGCTGCATAGGGCACATCATCTGGCCTGGCCTGGTGGCAGGGACTGCACGCGCCATGCTTTGCACTCGCCCGACCCAATCCCCAAGGGCGCCGTCGCTCAACGCTAGGACCCCCCATCCCCCCCAACTCCATGCAGCGCCCCCGAGATGCTCTTTGGCGACCGCTGCAGCGCCAAGTCCGACATCTACTCCTTCGGCATCGTGCTGTGGGAGATCGTGACGGGGGAGACCCCCCTGCGCGGCGACATGCGCCCCATGCGCGTGCCCGAGGAGTGCTCCCAGGGCGTGGTGGACCTGTTTGACGCCTGCCTGGCGCAGGACCCGTCGGCGCGCCCGGACACGCGGTCCCTGGTCACCCGCATCCAGGAGCTACTGGACGAGCCAGTGCCGGGCGCGGCGCAGGGGGTGGAGCTCGATGCGGCGGGCGACCGGGGGGTTGGCAAACCTGCTGCGGCGGCAGCTCAGGGGCCCGGCGGCTCTGCGGCACCGGCTCAAGTGCCGGACGCCGCTCGGGCGAGGGCCGACGCCCCGCCCGCCGCGGACGCCTGAGGGCGCCCAGGCCTTGCTTGACCAACCCCACCCCTCTACCAACACCTTGTTCTCTCTCAAAATTGCATGCCCTGTCTGGGTGGGGCGCCAGCCGGGCCCTCCCTGGACATCACCTCTGGTGCTGCTGCCCTGGCATAGCCAGCCTTTGTCCGCCCCTGAAACACTATTTTGCTCGCACTGACACACCCACGCACCGCACTCAAGACCACTGTACATCCTCGCTGCTACCCTTCCCGGCCGGCGCCGCACAGTCACGCCGGCCGGCGCCCCCCCCCCCCCCCCTTTTCCCCGACCGGGCTGACAGCAGTGCTTCAGATGTACATGGGGCCCCTCGGCAGGAGTCAATGGCACAGGGTTCCAGGAGCGGGTAACACTGAGTCCTGCAAAACTGCAGGAAATGGAGGAGAGTGGTATCGCCGGCAGACGATGGCCTGGGCTGGGTGAGGGTGCAAGGTGAGCGGGGAGAGGGGAGCGCCGTGGGCTGGGGCGTGCGCTGTCGGCAGTCAGGGGGCAGTTTGGAGCGGGAAAGAGGGTTCCAAGGGCGGCGGGGGGGCGGGAGGCCTCAGCCCTGCATGGCGGACAGCAGCTGCACGAGCTGCGGCGCAGTGGGGCGGGCGCAGGGGTCCTCTGCACAGCAGGTGGCGATGAGCGCCGCCACCTCCACGGGGCACTCCTCGGGCGTGCGCGGGCTGCGCATGCGGCCCCGCACGGGGCCCTCGCCTGTCACGATCTCCCACAGCAGCACGCCGTAAGAGTAGATGTCGGCCTTCTCAGTGCACCGCCGGCCAGCCAGGACCTCGGGGGCACTGCGGGTGGGAAGGGGGAATGGTGGGTGCGGGTGGGTCTTGTATGCATGGCAACCCTAGGATATCATGGACACCGCCGCCACTCGCGTGGGCTGGGGAACAACGGTGAGGCCCTCCGCCCACTGCGCCCAGCCCAGTTCCATACATCCTTGAACGACCCCGACGCCCCACCCCTTCTGTATAAAACCCCCGCACCTCCACGCCAGCGTGCCCAGGCCCGACAGGACGGAGAGGTAGGACTTTTGGAGCACGCGCGCGAAGCCCACGTCGGCGATCTTGGCCGTGCCCAAGCGCGACAGCAGGATGTTGGCGCTCTTCAGGTCCAGGTGGACCACCTTCTGGGCGTGGAGGTAGTCCAGCCCCTGCGCCACGTCCAGCGCCACGCCCGCGCCCCTGAGAGAAGTTTGTGTGATCGATCAGGTGATCGTTTGAGCGTGCATGAGGTGGACCATGCCTGGCAACTGAAGGAAGTGGGGGGCCTGTGACCAAAGGGTTTCTGCCTTTGAACACCCCCCCTCCTTCCCTTCCAACCTGCAGCGCCAGGAGAAGATGCGTTGGCCCTGCGCGTCGGTGAGGGGCATGGCCCGCCAGAGGTCACCCAGCTCCATGAACTCTGTCACCAGCATGGCCATGGGGCCGGAGGTGCATGCGCCCAGGAACTGGGGGGAAGAAGGGGGGAATGACAGGGCTAGGTGGGGGCCCTGAAGCGCAGGCGCAGGTTCAGGCACGAGGAGAGGGGGGCGGCTCCGCAAGGCTTCCAAAAGCCCCAGGGCACTGCTCAGCACACTCAGAAGGGGGCAAGCAGGGAGGAGGGTGCATTGCAGATGACACGCACTGACTTGCGCCCCTTGCTTGCACACCGACATCTCAACCTCGGCCCCGACTGCCCCTGGTCGTGTACCTTCCCCCAGTGCCGGGTCCACAGCCCACAGCCCCACGACTCGCCACAAGAACAACCCAGCCCAGCCCACCTGGACCACGTGTCGGTGGCTCAGGCTCTTGAGCAGCGTGACCTCGTGCACGAACTCGCGGCTGCGCCGCTCGTCAGCGGCGCGGTGCAGGACTTTCACCGCCACGACGTGGCGGTCGCGATACACGCCCTTGAACACCGTGCCAAAGGCCCCCGCCCCAATCTGCAGGAAGGTGCCGTCCCCCCGCCGGCAGATGGTCACCTCCTCTGGCGCCAGGTGCCAGGCCTGGTCGGCGGCGCCGGGGCCCGCGGCGTCCAGTCCCGTGTCCGAGGACGTGGGCGGGGAGGCGACAGCGTCGAGCGAGCCGCGCAGCGACGAGGAGCCCGAGCCCTGCCGCCGCCGCTGCTGCGCGGCGGCGGCGGCAGCGGCGGCCGACGCGGTGGCTGCCGCCGCCGCCGCGGCCCACTCGTCGTCAGCGGCGGCGTCGGCGCCGCCCGCGCCGATGCGGTGGCGGGGGTCGGGCCCCTGCAGCAGCGCGGAGTAGTCCACCTCGGCGGCGGGCGGCGCCTGCAGCCGCGCAAACTCGTGCAGCAGGTCACGCGTGGAGCCGGTGACGGGCGCGGCGCCGCGCCCCATGCTGCCCAGGAAGTCGGAGGCGGTGAAGGAGGCGGGGGCCGCCGCGTCCGCGACCACCACCTCGGTGGAGGCGGGCGGCGTGGCGGCGGCGTGCCCGCGCCACGGTGCCAGCGCCGCCAGGTCCGGCGGCACGCCCCGCCCCGAGGACGTGGCCTCCAGCGTGGATACAGCGCCCGAAGCATCGGACGAGGCCCCCGCCGACCCGCCTGAGGAGTGCGCGGTGCCCTGCGAGGCGGCCAGCGAGGCGGGGGCCCAGGCCGGCGCCGCGGTGCCCGCCAGCCCCCCAGCCGCCGAGTGCACGGTGACGTGGTGCAGGCCGGACTTGGGCGCGGGGGGTGGGGGGGGGGCCATGGCCCCTGAGGACCCCTCGCGGGGGCCCGTGCCGCCCGCCCCGCCTTCCACGTCCAGCGCGCCCTTGGCCCCTGCGGCCGCGGCCGCGGTCGCGGCGCGGCGCCGCCGCCGCGCCATGATCAGCAACATGACCAGGATGGCCAGGGCGGCCAGGCCGCCAAAGGTGGAGGTCAGAGTGATGAGCACCACGTGGCCCGAGGAGGAGCCGGACCCCGGCGGCGGCGGCGGCGGCGGCGGCGGCGGCGGCCCCGGCGAGGCCCCTGGGGCCGGGGGCGGCCGCGGCGGCAGCGAGGCGATGGGTGGCAGGATGGGCAGGTTGGCCCCCGCCATGTAGGCCGCGCTGTAGGGGTTGAGCACTAGTGCCTCCTCCTGCAGGTCGGCGCGCTGCGGCACGGCCTTCAGGATGCCCATGGCCCAGCTGGTGTAGTCCATGCCACGCGGGTAGTAGGCGAAGCCGGTGCAGGCGCTGGTGAAGCCGCAGGCCGCCGCCACATCCTCCAGCCCGCCGCGCAGCGCGCAGGCGCCGGGGACGATCGTGTTCGCGCAGTCGAAATCGTGGGAGGAGCCGAAGTCGAAACCGATGGCCAGGGTGTAGCCGGGCACCTCGCGCGAGGTGATGATGAAGGGCGCGCCCGCGATCAGACCGCTGTCCGAGTCCGTGGTCTCCATGTGGATGTCGTCCGGCTCATAGGCTGAGAAGCCGGGGACGGAGAGCAGGAGACAGGTCCCCGCTGCAAAGGTCGTGTTCCCCGCCCCGCAGCTGCTGTGTAGCGTGCACCTGCACAGGTGGCGGGTGGAAAGGAGGAGCAGGGGTCGAGGCCAAGGCATGGTTGCGCAGGTTGTATCTGATTGGCAGATGGAAGGGTGGGCGAGCTGCATTGGAACACCGTGCGATGCCATGGCACAAGCGGGAAAGTTCGTGGCACGAGGCGAGACGCGCAAGACCAGGCATCCCCATGCCAGGCCACTGCCATCACGGCCTTGTTCCAAAAGGGGTCCCATTCCAAGACAGGCCGCGTCCGGTACGAGCCTTATCTCAGCGCGACTCAGGCTGTTACCTTGCGACACGATCGCCGGCGGTGCCCAACAGCCCCCGCCCCGCACGGCCGTCACACCCACGTGCCTCCACACTACAAACATGCACGCCGCGCACCACTGCCAGGCATCGCAGGACGTGTTGTCGTGGCAGGCGGAGCAGCAGTTGTTGACGGTGGCGTTGGCCGCAGTGATGTTGGACAGGATGTAGGTCGTGCCCTGGGTGTTGAGCACAAAGTAGGCATTCTGCTTCACGATGCATTGCTGGGCCACCAGTGCATCCTCCTGGCTCTCCACGGGATTGGGGGGGGAGCTCCCGGCCGGGGCTGCGGGGTGCGGGGTTCGAGAGCGAGGTGGGGCAGGGCCGTGCCAGGTGGGGGATGGTACCCCCACCCTCCCGGCATGAAGACCTCGCCGGCCGCGCGAGCCTCACCTGGGACGAGACCGAAAGTCTGTGCCGAGACAAACTTCGCGCCGACCAGGGCCCAGAGCAGCAGCAGCAAGCGGTAGAGGTGTGTCCGCCTCATGCGACCCCATGGCTGTGGCAGACGGTAAAGCCCGGTGCCCAGGGAATCATTGCCGTTCGCGAAGCTGCCGGGGGGCGAAATGCTAGATCACGTACATTAGACTGGGAGGCAGTGCGCAAGACAGAGGCATGCGATGTGTACTGCCTTCTGCGGGAGGACGCGCTGCACAGAGTCCCCGAGGTCAGAGTGGCCCAGGTTCCTGCCCAACTCCGCAGCGGTGTTCAGCTGCGCTTTCGAAGCCCTGCGTCGCGACACACGCATGCCTTGGATATCGAAACTGAGTACCGGTAGTATTCCCGGGCCGGGATGGAGCGATGCGCTATCGCGCGCCCTTCGCGCATCCTGTTGCCACAGCGGTTCACCCTTTCCCACGAAGCCGGACCCCGCCCCCCAATTCCAGGGGGGGGCCCCGCCAGCGTCGAAACCCTGATGCCCTGCAGCGAAACCTGAAGACCCGTGCGAGGTGCCGCTCGTCATTGGAGAACTCCCTTGAGCCTTCACATATCTGAGATCATAGTCTTTCGTCTTTGGGCGGCCTCTGTCACCCTTCATCCCTCGCTCCATTCAGAAGGGGTTGCCGGGTGGGGTGGTGCCAGCATGCAAGTCTTCTGCCTCCATGCATCCACGGCGGTGCCGGCCCAATTCAGGGCATTCACTAGGAGCTCAGTGCCTAGGAGGTGCACTGTTGGAGCTCGAAAGACGGCTGGAGCAGCCCCTGATCAGCAGCAAGGTCGCCCCTTTGCAGACTTCCTAGAGGTGAGCTGGACCCGGGCCGTGCGGACATGTGCACCCCTGCTACCACTATGCATGGACCCCACCACGTCCTCATGGGCCTCTCAAGTCCCTGTGCCACTCCGTCATGCATGGGCAGCCGAGCCGGCCCGCACAGCTGGAGCCAGAGGGGCTGGGGCCCGAGCGAGCCGCAGACGTGGTCGCACGCGCTGTGAGCGCTGCTGTCTTGTGAAAGGCCTGGGGCTGCCTGTAGGTTGGTGCAATGGCACGTGGAGCTGGTAACATGGGCGCAGCTCCCCTGCCCAAAGACCTGCCCTGCCGACGATGACTGCCACGGGCACCGCCCCAAGCTAACCTAGATGGTGCACATCGCTTGCCTTTTCCCCTCCCCCCCCGCCTCAACAGCCCCTTCTTGCATCACCATGACTCCTCTCCTCACACCGCCTTGCCCCGCAGGAGGCCCTGCTGGCCTCGGCACGGGAGGCGGTGGAGGCCATGCGCCAGCGGACCCCGGCGGCGGCCCGATCCCCCAGCGGTGCGGGCGCCGTGGAGGAGGGCGCCGGGGAGGAGGGCCCCGCCCAGCAGCCGCGCCGCACGGTCACCCGGGCCGCGCTGCCGTCTTTTGACTGGGCAGCCGCCGCCCTGGAGGCCGGCGAGGAGGGTGGGGGTGGCACTGGCGCCCGGCCACCGGCGCCGGCCGCAACATCGGTACCCGCCGCCACGTCAGCGCCAGCCGCCACATCAGCGCCCGCCGCGCGATCAGCGTGGGGTAACGCCACCGGGGCCCCCGCCTCGGTGGACTCCTGGTTCGGGGGCAAGGTGGACACCGGCCCCGTCGCGCAGAGGAAGCCGGCCGCACCGCCCAAGAACCGGGCCGCCGGCGTCCAGGTGCTCGACCGCCCCGTGCTGCCAGACTCGCTGGAGTTTGCGGCCGACCTGCCCGAGTCCTTCGAGCTGCACTTCCAGGAGGACCTGCCGGCGGCCGAGCCTGGGGATGCGGCCCTGCAGCAGGGCAGCGCAGGTGAGGGTCAGGGTGTGATGCTGGGGATTGGGGGGGTGGGTCGATGTGTGGGACCCTGCGACAGCACCCTGGCTCTCTGGTGCAGCTCGAGGGTCGTGGCTCCCCTGCATGTGCGGCCACCCAGCCCTCTTCCCCCTCTTCCCCCTTTCTGTACCGCCCAGCGCCCCAGCAGGCGTCTGGGCAGGAGTTTGGGCCTGCGGGCTACTGGCACCGCTGGACCGAGTCCTCCGGCCAGGATGAGGGCGGGGCCGTGCAGGTGAAGCCGCAGGGTGGTGTGCGCCGCATGGGATGGCTGTGCCTGCTCCGGTGATTGCGAAGCAGCACAGTGCACCAAGTCACCCACCCCACCCCGTCCTACCCATCCCTTGCCCCGCACCTGTCCAGTGGTACGAGCGGTGGTGGGAGGTGTCGGACTGGAAGGGCATGAAGGAGCTGGGTGCGGAGAAGTGGGGCTGCAACGCAAACGGTGGGTGCTCCTGGGTGGGGCACAGAGTGTGCAGCTCCCTGCCAGGTTGCGCGCGAGCCCGGTCGGTGCTCCAGGGGTCAAATGCGTGGCTGGATGCTTGGTGGGTCTCTGTTCATAGCAGTGGAGTCCCTCTCCCAACCCAGGGCCCCACCCTACCTCGCCGTTCCCCAACCCATGGTCAGGCGATGCCTGGCGAGAGACGTGGAAGGAGACGATCTCGGTGGATCCCGCGACCGGGCAGCCGTCGGTCGCCCGCAGCGCACACAAGTGGGCCAACAACGCGGCGGGCGACGAGTGGGAGGAGAAATGGGACGAGGGCTACCTCTCAAAGGGCGCGGCCTCCAAGTCCGCCTCCAAGTGGGCACGCCAGGGGGGCGAGGTGTGGCACGAGGAGTGGGGCGAGGACTACGACGGCGCAGGTAGAAAGTGGGGAGGGACGTGGGCGCGTGATGGAAGGGTGGAGGGAGACGGTGGGCGACGCCGGTGTATCGCTGACCGATCTGGAGTGGCCAGGGGTGGAACTGCTCCGCGACATCTCACCTTTGCCATTACCCAGCTCATGCTTCAGCACAACTTTACATGGGCAGGTGGCTGCGTCAAGTACACGAACAAGTGGGCGGAGGCCGAGGAGGCCGAGGGCGGGCGCAGAGAGGTGGGTGGATGCGGTGAGGGAGCATGATCATGTGCGTGACGGCGCAGCAGGGGGGGAGCGGCGGAGGGGCGCATGCCTGAAGTTGGTTGGGGGGTCCATTACTGTCTCGGAGCTTTAGTTGGGACCTCACTGGGGCAGTGGTTTCCATAGGACAGCCACCAACCGCGGACCCTTTCCCACATTGCCACAGTGGGGTGACAAGTGGGAGGAGCGGTTCAAGGATGGCAAGGGAGCAAAGACGGTGAGGTGATGCTTTGGTGCATTGGATTGAGGGATCGGAAGAGCAGTCGCCGTGGCAGTCGGGGAGGGAAGTGCGCCTGCGAGAGCACCGCGCACCAGTTCACCTCGGGATCCCTTACTTGGATGGGGCCGCGTCTTCAGGTGCACCAAACCCGTGTCTACATCTCGCCATTCCTTATACCCCCTCTCACCAAATCAACAGGGTGAAACCTGGAGCGTGAGTGCTGCGGGCGACCGCTTCAACCGCTGGTGGGGCGAGGACCACTATGGCGACGGCAGCGTCCGCAAGCATGGGCACAGCACCGCAGGTGGTGGTGAAGGGCGATCCTCGCAAGGGGGGACAACTGTCGGGAAGCAACCTCTGTGCGCCGCCGTCACAAGCTCTAAACACCCACAGACCCCTCTCCCGTCCGCTGATGTTACAGGCGAGGCCTGGGACGCTGTAGAGCAGATGGACACGTACTACAACCCCATCCCGCACTTTGGCTATGAGCTCGCGCTGGCCCACTCCCCGCAGCTGCGCAGCGTCCCCACGCTGCCCTGGGAGGACGAGGATGACCTCGGCGACTCCGGCCTTGGGGCCTTTTGAGATGGGCGAGGGGGGGCCCAACAGGGGCGCTCCCCTCACGCGTGCCGATGTGCAGGGCGCCACAGAGCCCTATTCACACGGTCCATGCCTGCCTGCACGCACATGGCACCCGCACTTCAGTGTGCCCCTGGCGGATCAGGGCATGGCAAGTACAGGGAGAGGGTTCGGCAAGGCCTGGAACACTTTTGGACAGATACACGAGAGAGAGAAGACACATGAAGGGGCTGAGTAGGCGGTGGGGTGTGCGAGTGACGGGTGGGTGGACTGAAAGCTGGCGACCCTCCCAGAGGACGAGCAAGGGGGGGGCTTCTGTACTGCAAGGGCACCCCCACTTCTCTCCCCCTCATCAGGCGCTGGCGCGGTCGACTACGGACAGGCCGTCCAGCCCCACCATGAGCTGGTCGAAGAGCGCGCCGGCGCTGCCTCCCCCGCCGCCGCCGTCGCCGCGCGGCGAGACCACGGGCGAGAGCGGGACCGAGGCGGTGGCGGCGTCCAGCGCTCTCAGCTCCCAGGCGGCCAGTGAGCGGAGGTGTGCGGGTCCCGCGCCGAAGCAGATCAGGTCGATGCCCGGGCCGGTGCCGGGCGGGGGGGTGCCGCGGTACACGCGCGTGCTCAGCACCTCCCCCGTGCCGGTGAACACCTCCAGGCAGGAGTGGTCCAGCAGGATGCGCAGGTGCAGCGCGTCATTGGAACGCATCGCCAGTGGGCCGCCCACGCGCCGCAGCTCCTGTAGGATTTCAGATTTGGGGTGTGTGGGGGAGGGTGTGAGGGCGTGCGGCACGAGGGTGCATGTGTGTGGCAGGGGGGGGAGGGGGTGACGTGGACCATGCGCCAGGCCTGCCCAGTTCATCCGGAGTATCACCCCCCTCGCCGGAGAAGGGAGCAGGTGACGGATTCGCCTCGACCGTGCACCTCCCCCTTCGAGCCAACTCCGACACCCTCCCACCCGCCCCCCACACACCAAACCCACACACTCACCGGGGCGGGGGGCGGCGCGGGCGCCTCGCGCGTCGGCCCCGCCAGGTCCTCCAGCAGCTGCTCCAGGGTCTCCCCCCCGCCGTCGGCGCGCGGCGTGCCCAGGAAGCTGGCGGTGCGGCTGACGCCGCGCCCGGCGCCGCCCAGCAGCGTCGTGTGCGGCGCGGGCGTGGGCGCGGCGGTCGAGGCGGCGCTGCCCGCGCCGTCGCCGTCGCC